CCACGTCTTCTATCGTGAATCACCGGATTGTTCCGCTAGGATTCTCCGTCCATTGCTATGCGAAAAGCTACAAGGCTGCAGCAAATACTCCTCATTTGGTGGCCAGAATAAAGAGCATAGCGCTGCGGATGGAGATGTGGACGCAATCTAAAGAGGGTTTTAGATACATGTCAGCAGGAAAAACCGAGCAGTCTTCCACCTTTGCTGGGACGTGGCTTACCGCTTGGACGTTGAGGTCGGACCTTGTTGTTCGTTGTTTTGATGCAAAAGAATTCCAGAAACATCTAGTACCAAAGTGGGTAGACAGTTTTAATAAGACCATGGAGAAACTGAAGCAAGACAAATTAGGACACTTCAAGCTTACTACAAAGGAAGAGACCATGTGGAATGATTTAGCTGGTTTCTCAGATGAAGAAAAGGCTCTACTGTATATGAAAAAGCAGGCGTAAACTTTCAGGGTAGTCGGTAGTTTTTCAAGGTGAGCATTTAGGTATAGTATTATCACTTCATGGCGAGCATGTGCTAAAAGTAAGAAACAAAAAATGCATTTCAAATGCATTTCACATGCGTTGCACATGAGTTTCACACGCGTTCCAAATGCGTGACTCATAAGTTTCAAATGCAAATCAAACGCATTTGAAACTTAGGAAAAACAATTTCAAATGCTAACTCCTATTTGAAATTCGCATTTGCGATTGTTTTTACAAAGTTTCAAATGCGTTTGATTCGCATTTGGAACTTCTAGGGTATGCATTTGAAATGCATTTGAAACTCATGTGAAATGCATTTGAAATGCATTTGAAACTTATTTGAACTGCGTTTTTTCTCTGATAGAACTTCTTGAGCCCACGACCTTTAAATATATTTTTTCATGTGTATCAAAGTTTTCATCCTTTCCGGATTTATGTTCATCAAGTTTTTTTTATGTTGCCCTACTCTTCTTAGACATGTTGAGAGACAGGCTTGGCAAGGATGTGAATTCCAATGACACGATAGCACTGCTGTATGAACAGGCGCGATCTATTATGATTCCGAGGGTCTTTCAGGCAGTATGTAGCTCTCCCTGAAGACGGCTTGTGAAGATGTAGGACGCGGGGTCGTGGAAGGTCGGTGTTCTCTAACTCATGAAAGTAAAAATGTACGACAGCGGAAATGTGTTGCAAAATGCGCAAACATTGTTGCGTTTATAAGAACTGTGTCTGATGTTCGCGAAGTCTATGTCTTCTGTGTCTGGAAAATAACAGCTCTGTCGACATCAGTCATGTGGGCTTGTCTTCGTAGGGCCTCAATTTCACTCAGTATAAATTCTTACCATTGATTCGGCCAGATGAAAGAGACTAGGGCTCTATCTGTAAGCAGATACACAGTCCAACTGGTGCAGCGTTTGTTACAGTAACCATGCGTAGTCTGCTTGTTAAGCATATTATCCTTATGAACAAGGGCCAACCCATATCAGTTAGCTACTCTGAATCTTAATTAAGTCCTGGCCAAAGCAGTAAGATTATTTGAGATTTCTACACGACTTGTTTTCATTGTACTAAGGTAAGTTTGTAAGAAGACGTTTGCACGCTGTGCGCAAGTATTTCCAATCCGTTGCATATCCTTAATTGTTTGTGACGAATTTGATTCATCAACAGAATATGGATGGCGACGAAGGGGGCCTTACGACCCCGAAGCGGTCGACGTCGAAGTCCGGCAAGACTAGGGGGCCAACATGTGAACAGCGGTGGGCCTCATCAACACCAAATGCGCGAGCTGATCTTCTTGTTCGTGAAGGATTGAAGATTCAGCCTAACGTTGCAGGAGATCAGACACTGCTCAACAAGCTTCGCAAGGATTTGAAGAAGCCGATGAGGCAGAACCTCACCTACCGAGCCGCCGTCCAGCTGTACGGTAAGTGGGATGAAGTGGATAGTCTACAGAAAATCCAGAACAATGATAACGCAGCAGACCGCTGGGAGAAGAATAATAAGAAGCTGGATATGCAGCTGCGCCTTTTACCTGGAGGAAATATCGAAGTTGATGCTGCAAAATCCTTGAAAGCCAAGTCCAAGGACGTCGACCTTTTCAATATCACTGCAGTCGAGCGTGCGAAAATTGTGGTACTTTTATTTTACGATTATGCGACATTTTTCTTAGATCTAGGTAGCCACTGGGTGAAGGAGCCTAGACCATAGGCTACTGCCGTTCTGTGCAGCCACGCAGGACGCCGAGGTGGGGGCATCATGTCGAGCCTGCTTAGCGCAGCGCGACGCCAGCAGCCTCCGCTGCTCTCTGCGTCTGGGTTCTTGTGCTGATCGGTGCAGAGTGGAAGACACCTCAGCCAGCGCTGGAGCGCACTAGACTACACCACTCAGCGACAGCTCTAGCACCTCACCCCCCCAGGGTTGCCCCGTCCTTCCTGCCAGGGTATTACTTCCAGGGGGTCAGAAGTCTAACCCGGGAGGCTTGGGCTTGTGGTGTCACTTCGCGCGCCTGTGATGGCTGCCCGACATTGCAGGCCGGACATGCATGGGGCAGAGGTACGCGCGTCGTCTCTTGAAATTTGGAGAGTAGTGCCGCCGTGTTGTGGCCCGCGCCGTCTCGCCTGTGGTGTAGCATCTCGCTGAAATGAATCACCTCGCCGCGCATGTCTTGAGGCTTTCTGGATTCGAGGGGTGGGCGGATCCATGCAACGAGGTGAGCCGCTACCCCCATGCCATGGATGTGGTCAAAATTCGGCGAATATCTTCGGAAGCTCGAATATCTTCGAGGAAACGCACAGCAGCAGCGCCGCTACAGCGGGGACAGACTGGGCTTGCGAGTCGATCCGGGGAGAAGCAAGGAGGACGCGGTGGATGGCCGGAGGGCTGACTTCTTACAAAGGTGCAGGGCGTCGATTGCCATTTGAAAAGTTCGCGAAATCTTTGAAAAATCTTCGCGGAATCTTTCCGAAAAGATAGACGCACGAAGTTCTTTCCGAAAAGATAGACTTGTAAACTTTCCGCAAACATTTCGCGAAGATTCTGAAGCTTTCGTCTTCCGTGTTTTTTTGGTGAAGGCATGAAAATGGACCGCCAAGAACAAACTCGCGACAAATTGCAGCGGGAGCGCATAAGACTCCGCGTCTTCTGTGTCTGCTTTGTGTGGTCTTTCTGTTTCTCTCTCCAGAGCTGTGCAGCCTTTTGGGCTGTGCATTTGTTTGGGAATTTGTCGGGCGGCTGCGTCGCAGGCTGGCTCGTTGGCTTGTGGTGCTCTCAGTGCAGTGACCGGGCTGGTCGTGTGTTGGTTCTGTCGGCTCTGCTTTCAGAGGCTTAGCAGACGCCGCGTGAAGTGGACAGGCGTGAAAGCGGCGCGCGTGAGCCCCGGCAACTTTTCGCCAAGATTCTCCGCCGTCGGCAGTCTTCGGGCGCGGCGGTCTCCACGGGTGTCCTTTCTTTCATCACAGCAAAAATTGAAGGGCAGTAGCTGGCGTTGGTTTGGAAACTGTTCAGGGGTGTGCACATTTTTCGAGAATTTCGGAGGGGTGCTTTGTCGGTTTGATGTACGCACGTGCGTAGAGTATGTTGCTGCAGATTGTGCCCGAAATTGGTAGAAGTTGTTTCTTCATGGTTTGAAAAATACCGCTAACACCTCAAGGGTCGGCCGTTTCTATGTTATTCATGTCGATCAGCTACGCACTCGCCCGCGCGCAAAATCTTTTTCGTTTCGTATGATTTTTACACTGGTAAATAGCTAGTAGGTTGAGAACCTTAAAACGCTAAACATACTAGGCAGGTAGCCTTTAAGTTTTTGAAGTTTTTAAATAAGAGCAGCAAGATTATACTATTAGCTGGAAGCCTTCTTTTATATCTACTTTTTCCGAGTTCAGTACTGCATCCAAAATACGCACACTACAGAAATCGATTACGAAGAAGTTGCAAGAAACCAATCGATTGACGAACTACACAAAGGCGGTGGAGTATTTGTCGGGACATTATTCCACGCACCGCTCTGAAATGCGTCGCATGATGCTTCCGAACCAGTCTCTATTGGTGTTAGAGAAGAAGCAACTGCTTAGCCTCGCGTTCCTGAAATCTTTTCAAGGAGTAATCTTCCAGAAGAATACGCCGGAAGAGCTGAGAGCGTGGTGCAGAAACTACTTCTTGCTTTTAGTCTGTAGCAACTTTAATGCTTATTTATTCTTTATCCAAGTTTCATCGCTCTTTATGATGATGGTCTTGATGGGGTATATTCTTTTCCATTCAGTAGTAGTTGGACACTCAGACCTCATCTCCATCTTCTCAATTCCACTCAGGTTAGACACGATCGACTTAGACGTGCTGAACTTTGTGGGTATTTTGGATTGGTTTCAGGCCCTTGGTTATGAACAAGGCAAGCCTTTGACAATGAACCCAACCACCCTGAAGCCAGCAGATTTAATTGAGAAAGAAGGCGATATACAGAAGGAAATCAAGCGACGCTTGCAGGCGGTGCTTGTTTTTTATTTGGCATTGTAGCCGCACTGTATAATTTACGATGTATCTGATGGTGTATATTCCTAGTATATCTGCAAGACCTCTGAATTTTTTCAGCTTCTGACGGACTCTCGATAGGACTACTAGAACAGCCTACAGCTCAACTTATTATACTAGATATTCAAACTCCTTATGTGATGACTATAAACATTTCCTCAACCAGATCTACAACAAAGCGTTGCAAGACCAAGAGAAAATTAATATCAGCACGGCTGTAAGAGAACAAGCAAAAGAAGATGAGACTGATGGCCAGACCGGCACCACCATCGATTTGATCGTGTCCGAAAAATGGGACACATTTCAGATTTTTTCTGCTTTGCAGCAGGTCGTGGCAGATGAAGCAGACGCAGACGAGAGGAAGTATCAGGCAAACATGGGGCAGAAGAGTAATCGCACGAACCTCTACTACATGACCCGCGAAAAGGTATTACTTGTTTACTTATGTATGCCAGGATGTAAGCACACAAATACACGCCCTACTTTTACTAATTCTATTTGTTTACTCGATTGACGCGAGCTGAGTACTTTTTTTGGTAGATTAGTGACATACTTCATGATGTCATCACTTCCGTACAATTTGTTCAACCCATTGTTTTCCAGGCTGATCTGTTGATCGAGGGCACGAGCAATTTGGTCGAGAAGGCTGATCGGATGGATTATCAGCCTGCACCTGTAGCTCAAGTAGATCAAATTGCGCAGATCATTCAGCGCGTGTACATCGCTTACGAGCAATGCAGCAAGTCTGACCAAGTCGTAGGTCTTTTTTTAGGGCCAGAAGTTCGCACTGCTGCTCATCGAGCACAAGTCGCTCTGGGCCCTAAGTGGAATAGCTACTTCGATCAACAACGCAGGAACAGTCTGAAGTGGTTAAAAGAAATGGACCCTGACGTGTGGAAGGGGTTGCTACTAGATGAGCTCATTGAGGAGCTGGCAAAAGATGAGCACAAAGTCTTATCGTCTATAGCAGAAATACTAGAGCACTCCATCTACGAGACTGCGCTCGCAGAAGTTTCAGCACAAGCCTGTGAAGATTTTGCCGGAGAGTTGGAGGCTTGCCACCAGAAGATTCAAGCCGAAGAATGCTGCAACAAGGATTCGAGATTCAAGCGTCTATGCCTTGAAGCTCTTACGCATGCGCGTGAGAAGCTCGCTAGTTGTGGTTGGTTCACGGCCGCTCAGGATGAATTTGCGCAGAACTTGGAAGATCGTGCAATCTTTTACCTTAGCCTTTTACTCCTATAATTGTAGAGGCAGCACGCAGATGCTTACTATGTATTATTGTTGTATCACCATATAGCATATGACACCTATAATGATTAGGCTTGTTCTCTTGTAAGAAGACTTTTACTAATCGTGATTTTTCAACGTTTCCTCAATGAACTCAATACTCCTCTTGAACAGCTGACGCAATGTCGTTCGAGGATGCGTGTACGCTGGCAGAAGATAATCTAGTGCGATGTCTAGAATTTTTTGGGAACGATTTCAAAGACTTGGGCATCCTTTTCGAGAAATTGATGGACATTAAGACGCGCAAGAACCCAGATAAGCAGCTCGACATCGCGCGCGCGGATATCAATGCAACAGACGTGCTGGCGGAGTTTGGCCTGCAGAACCCTGCTCATATGCTTGAGGTGAACAACCAGATGCCAATACGTTTGGGGCAAAATCGGGAAGGACGAAACGAAGAAAACAACAACCCTGCGCAGGCTGGAGGAGCAGGAGCACAGCAAGCAGCTAATCCTGCTCCGATTGGAAATGTAGATGCACCTCCCGCTGTTCCTGGTGCTGCTGCTGCTGCTTTTCCTGGTGCTGCTGATGCAGCCATCAGTGGCGCTGTGGTTGGAGGCGCGCCTGCTGCTGTCGCCGGATATCCTGGTCAGGTTCCTCCGGGAATCGTCAACAATAATGCCGGCTCTAATCAAGGTATGAATGTGAACAACGTCATCTACCCTGGACAAGGCGCGCCTCTTGCTCAGCCCCCAGTTGGTCTTGCTCCTGGTAGTGTTCAAATTCCTCCTCTTCATGGACAAAACCCTCAAGCTGCCATGGTCGGTCAGCCTCTTCAGAATGCGCATCCAGTAGTTCCTAGCAACATCAGCAATAGTGTGATCATGAGTCCGGGTGTGCCGGGGGTTCCTGTGATGATTCCGGGTGGTCATAATCCTGTTGTCATGAATCCAGTGAATCACGTGGGTGCGCCCATGCAGCACAACGCCAACACTCTCCATGCTGCCATGGCTGCGCCAGGACATCAACAACAACAGCAACCAAGTCATATTATGACGCATCCACAACAACTACAAGAACAAGTGCCTCATCATGTTGTGCCTGGTACGACAGTGCCTGTTGCAGGAAAAATGAATGCAAGCGCTTCTCATGTTTTATCTAACCCGAATACTCAAGTCAACAACGCAATTAACAGTACTGCAGCAAACAGTGCAGATCTGGCTGCTCTGGGTGCGCAGCTGGCGGCCACTCTAAATCTTCCACCTGTTTCTTCTAGTTCTACCGATGGCCATTTGCCTGCACAAGATAGTCAAGTTGTTGTCCAACACCAGCAGCAGATGGGTCCTGTGCATGCCGATCCTGTACATGCGACAACTTTGGCAGGTCAAGACGTTGATGTAGGACAAGCGACAAGTATTTCTGCTGGCGCAAACATTGTAAATGGGAGCAATTCTTCTTCTAATAATGATCTCAACAATATTCATCATTCAGCGGGCGTTTGCCAGGCTAGTAATCAAGGACAAGGACATGTTCAACATGGGCAGGGGCAAACTTCTTCCACAAGCCATCTACCTGCTGCCATCGGCGCAGCTGTTGTTGCTCTTCAGCAAAATCATCATCAAGCTGTAGGACAAGACGTTGCTGTGTCTGCTGAAGGCGATGCGGCTGCTGCAGCTTCAACTATTGGATATCAACCGCAGGCACCGGCTGCACAAGCTGGCCACATCACTGTCGTGCAGCCTGGGGAAGTTCAGAGTACTGACGTGAGCACCAGCACTACGCATCAGGTTGCGGCTCCAGGTGCAGCTGATCACGCTGCGGAAGTTCCTTCTGCAACGACCGAAGGACCTCCAGTTCGTCCTGAGTCTGAAGTTGCTCGTCTGGAGTCTCACGAAAAGAAGAAGAAATCGAAAAAGGATAAGAAAGCAGCTGGCGATGAGAATCAGAAGCAAGACGAGAAGAAGAAGAAGAAAGGTAAAAAGGATAAGAAAATCAAAGATGACGATGACGCCAAAGGCCCCACTGATGATGTAGGTGGTGATCACGAGAAGAAGAAAAAGAAGTCTAAGAAGGAGGAGAAGATCGCACCGAAAAACCAAGACGCCGCTGCTGATAAGAACAACCAAAAACAGGATACGCCTTTTCTTCATACGACTCCTACGTCAACATTCTCAGGCCCTGGCCCCATTTTTGTGAGTGGTGTGTTTATCAAGCAGGAACTTGTGGAGAGCGATTCTGCTGGGGACACTGCTGGGGAGGAAGTCCCGCATGAGGTACTTGCATTTTTAGCGTCGCGCTTTTCTTTGCAGCTTTAGAACAAACTAAACGTTTTCTTTCTTTGTAGTCGTTTCGGTAGAACCACCTAGAGTGACGCGCAATTGAAGTCGAAATCATGAAAATAGGTTTTAGTATAAATGGCCTCCATATACCAGGTTGGTCCTGCTATCACGACTGCCGCCATTTCAGGGGATCAAGAAGGCAATCTTTTAGCATCCACCTCAGAAGAGGATAACGCACATCAAGAGCAAGCAAAGGCCTCTGGTTCTACTACTGGGAATGCAGTGCAGCCCATTATTGGGGCTGTAGATGTAGCTGTAGGTGGTGTGGTTCAGGCGAAACAGATTGCAGACATTTATGGTGGAACGAATCCTACTACAGGCGCAGCTACCACTTCGCAGCATCTGGCGCAGCAGGGCCCTGTCGCCGCGCGGGATATCACTATGCAACAAGTTCAACCTGGCACCCAGTTACAACATCAGAACATGAGTAACAAAACTAACAGTCCTCCTTCTACGCAGACTGGCACTACTACGGGTGTTGCCCTCGACGTGCATCAATCTGCATCAAAGAAAGGGGCTTTTCAGAATACTACTAACAACGTCGCGAAACAAGCTGAGGCAGGTGCACCCGCGTCGCCGTTGCTACCCGCTGTTGCTACCGGTGTAGTTGTAAACTCGAGCAAGAATGTCACTGCGTCCTCTCGCCCACTTCTGGCCACTGCGCCTCCACCTCTGCCGAACGAATATGCTTCAGCCGTGCCGATTACGACTGCCGCAAATCACGTGATGTCCCAGAAGCCTGCTGATGTAGTGCCTGCTGCTGGCGCAACCTCCTTCACAACTACAACAAACAACGCTGCCACAACTACAACAACACTTGGAAACGCTGCACAGCCTCAAGCAGAAGATGACTCGAATAAGAGAGTCCGAAGCTTGGGAAGTACTACAGAAAGCATCGCTATCATTGCAGTTGAAAACGCCGCTACCGCTCTTAATCTTCGCAAAATCCGAAAAATCCGAAAGCTAACGGGCGTGATGGATCTTCCTGACGGTATTCGTCCATTCTCGATACTATAGTCCTCAAGATGTAGAAAACGAAAACTAAAGTTTGTGGATAATTTGGCACTCTTTCATGATTAGGCTTCCACTTAGTACGGAGATACAAGGACACCTCATGGCGATGAAAACCAACTCACACCACTCAAATTTGTTGCATCGTCTCTGTAACAAGCCTCCTTCTCTCATTTTCAGATGCATACTTGGACGTGTACAAGCAGATGAATGGTGACGATGAACCGAGTGCCGATTCTGATGACGATATGCAGGTCGAGTGAAAAGGATCTGGCGGCTCGGTGATCCCTTACGGCCTCAATGAAAATCGACGGCGGAGAAGCTGAAATTGTCTGGGTCTTAGTTGTACTCTTCAAGGATGTGGTTGCGTCATTTGTTCCTGTACTAATCGATTGCATATCTATAGACTCACTTTTTATTGTAATTAATATGGAATGGCTCTACATGGATATTGTTTATTTTCATCTAATCCTAGGTGTTTTATGTCTTCTGATATATTATGGCGTTGAGCCATAAAGTTGCTTATCCAGCAGGCCGTTACACATTGATTAGAGAATTAGGATGATGCTTTGATGATGGATCACACTTCAACACTTTCCAGCTAATGCGTAAGAGAAGAAGAAGCGCCTCATCCTAATAAAGCACGGCCATACATGATGACGCCTACGAGCGATCTTATATCTTCTTGTACAAGTAATTACACAAAGACAACAATCATAAAAATACTTTAGGGTCGTAATTGGTACTATAATTTTCCCAGATGTAGCACAATTTCAAGGATTTCCATAATTGCTGGTAGTTTTTCATCTCAATTCTTTCGTTAGGTCCATAAATCATGCAAGTCAAAACTTTTTCCATATGAAGAAATATGAATGTCTACTATTGCGGGTGGCACACTACTGAGAAGCAACACGAACTGTTTGGCTTTTTTAGCCTCTGCCCGAGGACTATCTGCTTAAAGGTCCATCTTCGGCCTTCATCTACATATATTGCATTATGAAAGGAGACCTAGACTCTCACAAGCTGGGTCTTTCACAATGATGCTCCCAGTACGTTACTAGTCGGAAGATAGTTTCGGTAATCATGAAACCTATCGAATTTCATACATGTTGAAACAAGGAGCACGCATATAAACTAGCTACTAGTGACGAACCACACACGAAGAACCTCAAATATGAATCAGCGTTTTTTTATATTCATACTGAATGGCTTCGTCTGCTGGCGTTCCCCACATACAACACGGGTTTTTTATATATAGGCTGTACGATAAGCAGTGCATCAACATGATGCCGGATCTATCAAGAACTACATGAAAACTGCACTCCTGAAAGGTGCAACTCGTTTGGTCATGATGTAGAGACCTCGGGAATGGTAGAGAGTTTCGAGTCGTCGCATTCGTTTACGCCTATCGTAGTTTGAAGGATGTGGATGCGATTTCTGCTTTTACCCATGAACTGACCCGTTTCGAATGTTATAGAAAACGAGTCGAGGGGAGTGTTGCGCATTAGCGTAGCAATGCGTCAGAGATGGCATCTAATCGCAGTTTTAGTTTCTGTCGCGAAACTTTACCTCGAGGCTCTGTCGTAGAAGACTTTGACGCAAGAGCGAGCGTTTTATCGTTAAAGACGAGAAGCATCAAGCAAGATCGAAGGTCGATGACGAAAGAGAGATAGAGGGAGAAAAGGAAAGCTTGATAGTGTCGCACACGAGAATCTATCTCAGTTTTCAATCTGGCAGTGACTCTTGCTTCTTCACAGGCTAGCAATGACTTTGCTCCCCTCTTTCACCAATTCGTGGCTTGATCTCTTGTTTCTTTTGTGTCTCTGCCTAGTGTAGAAATGAGATCGGCTGTGAACGTCTAGGAGGTCTTCAAGTTCAACTATGTACTTACTTCAGTCGACGTCGCCTTGGGATCAGTATATTTGGAAGGAAAGACCGATCACGCTGCGCAGAAAGATCAGTTTTCATACGCCGATGCTATTACTTTATCGAAATCCAAGCACAAAAATGGCCTTCGTGTTCAATCGATTACTTGGCTGTGCGGATCTCAAACTCCACGAAATGTCGCTTAGGCACCTCCTGAATCTTCTTGCATGCTCAAAAACATACGATTACGACCGTCGACTGATCACGTTGATTCCGTGCACCTTATGACAATTCAAATCTCTATCTGATGCTGGAAAAGTCTAAAGGAGTTAGTAGTTCAGTAATCCAAAAGGCATGGCCCTCCTTCAGAAATTCAAGAACTGAAAAAATTTCCATGATTACTAGGCATGTTGATCTTCGGGGGAAGGGCTCTCGAATGCTTGTTAGGCTTGAAGCGATAAGTACTACGAGGCATGATTATGATGAGCCTGATTTACAATAATTCAGCCAGTAGCAGATAACTGAAACTCGGCGACTAGCTTTTTTTTTAGGAAGACCAGGCCCCTCCGTCCTTCTCGTGATGCATGTGCACAGCAGAGCCGGCGCGCAGAATGTGGCAGCGCGCCAGCGATATGTCTGCCCTCTCTTCATGTTAGCACCTCGCCCCCGGCCGGGAAAGGCACGGGAGCGCGCCTAAGTCTCTCGACATTTTGCCCACCTCCCTGCATTAGCGCAGGCTCGTCAGTCAGGCAGTCGCTTGGCCTCGGCAGCCGATGTGAGTGCCTGTTTGACTTTGTGCGTGTTTTGCTTGCTCTTGTGTTGGTTTTCCTGTTATTTCGTTTCCTGGGACCGCTCGCGAGGTTTGTCGGGTTGTTTGGGCTTTTCGTGTTCCCGTCTCGGTCTTTGTTGTTTCCTGGTTTTTTCTGTTATTCTTTTTGCTCTTGGTTTGTTGGGTGTGTGTGTGTGTGTGTGTGTGTGTGTGTGTGTGTGTTTTCTCGGTTTTTTCTGTTATTTCTTTCTTCTTTCGTTGTGTCTTTTGTGGTTTTTTTCTGTTTTTTGTTATTGTTTTCGGCTTCTGACGCCGTGGGCATCGTCTCTGCTGCCACCGTGGCGCCGTTCGCCGTTTTCGGTTTCGGTTGTCCTGCCTTCCTATGTTTGGGTGGGTTTTTTCTGTTGTGTTTTTGCCTGGTGATTTTTTCAGCTGTTTTATGGTGTTTCTGGCTCTCTTTTTCTGTTATTCTTTTTGTTTTGTCGTCGTGTTTGGGTCTTTGTTTGTTTGTTTGTTTGTTTTGGTGTGTGTCCTTGTTGTCTGTGTTCTGGCTCGTTTCGTGTCCAGCGATCGCGCACGGCTTACCTGTCGGAGAGCCGTTTTCTTCTTTTTTCGTGTTGGTTTTTCTGTTATTTTTCGTGGTGGAGCTCAGGCTGATTCTTGGCTCCTCAGGTTTTTTCTGTTACTTTTGCTTATTTTTCCTCGTCTCTTTGTTTTTCTTCTGTTTTTGTTGTTCTTGTTCTTTTGGGGTCTGTTCCCGTTTGCACCGTGAAGCCGCCTGTTTGTCTTCGTGTTTGGTCGTTTTTTTCTGTTATTTTTTCTCTTGTTTCTGTCCTTTTCTTTTTTGTTGGGTTTTTTCTGTTATTTTTGTGTCTTTTGTTGCTTTTGTGTTGTGTGTTCTTTTTGGGGTCTTTTCTGGTTTTTTGTGTCGTTGTTTTGGGCTCTTTGGGCTTCGTGTGGTTGTCGAGGTTTTTCTGTTATTTTGTTCTCCTACCTTTCTGTCGTTTGGTGGTTCTGGTAGCGGGTTTCGCGTCTTCTTGCTGCCAGGTGGGTCGCGGTGCTCTTGTAGTCTCATGGCTCTCGCCTCGTGGGGTTGTTGTGGTGTGGGTGTTGTGTCTGCTGGTGTGTGTTGTGCTCCTTCTGTGCGTGTGTCTCGCTCCGTGGTGGTCGTGGTTGTCGTGTGTGTGTTCAGTCTTCTGTTGTCGTGCCACCGGGTTGTTGGGTGGTTAAGGGCTTCCCCCTCACAGGTCGCCGGGTGTTGGTTCAGTTGTCATCGGCGGGCTCGAGGGGTCGGCGTGTGGTCGTGGTTTCTGTCTTGTGTGGTTTGTTCTTGTCATCGAAAGACCTGCAGGTCGGCGCCGTTGTTGTCATCTGCGTCTTTTTTGTGTATTCCATTGGTCGGGCCTCAGGTGTGTAGTCGGTTGGGCACGGGTTGCCGGTGGCTTGTGGTGTTCTTTCGTCGAGTGTTCCAAGGAGTTTCGGCTCGGTCGTTCGTCGGTGCATAGGATGAGGGAATTGAGAAGCATCGCGCGTCGGCCTGTGCTTGTGTGAGGGGTTTGGGGCTCCTGGTCTTCTATTAACATCTCTTGAATGTAGTATCTTTCATAAAACAACGAATGGGAGGGCTGATGCCGGGTTCTCGGTCTAGGATTTCTTGCTTCTCATCGCTCCATATCATGCGGGACCGACTGACCCTGGGGGCCGAGTTATCTCAGCTGCCCTCGCTCCAGATCTTTAGTTGTGGCGGGATGATGTGAACCCTTTAGGTGCTTCGACTAGAGTGCACAGGTTTCAGCCTCGTGCAAGTATCTCATCTCCCTCGAGTTTTTCTCGCTTCGACGTGGCGCTTCGAGTTAGCGGATCGACGTGGAACACCATGAAACTAGTCTGACAATTTAAATCCTTGCTCAGCGCAAGCGCCTGATCCTTATATGATATAATTATAAGTTCCTAAATAGCGACGTTGGGTGCCCCGCCAAAGTAGTTAATGAAGTGGTAAAATGCTTGTGCTGTGTTCGCACAGGCAGAGAAGTTTGACTGAATTGGAGTGATCGTTATCCAAAATTTTACAGCACAGAGAATTCAAAACAAAGGATCCACATGGAGCGAGTAGATCAAAGGATGTGCGTGCCAAGCTCCCAAGATTCTGGTCAATTATATCCTGGAAGCTTGCACTGATTGAAGAAAACATCCAACATGGGTAGAGTGATGATCTTCTCCGAACGATGACGAGAGTGACGGTTCTTCTGCTTCTGACAGGGTCAAACGTTCATACGCAATCGGTTGCTTTATTACATTTAATCTAAGACTTCTCATACATGAATTCAATTCGGGTATCGTGTAAAAGTTATGTTTTTTTTCATTTGCCTACTTGTTTGTTCCCTCGTCCACCATAAGGAAGCTTGTAGCTCAACACTTGATAAAAAAACTTTCAAAGCGTGTTTTTCGAGTTCGTATTTCGTGGCATGACTGGCCACAGATCTTCTCGATGCAGATGACCTGCACAGAAGAAATCTACAATGGGAGCAACCGCTTTCGTTTTGAAACGCTCAAAGCTCTTCCTTTGAAGTAGAGGAAGTCCGCATGTTTTTATGCATAGATACTTACTATGAAACAAACTAACCAGTACAACTCGATTGTACCGCCTTCACGCCGTTCTTAATTTTTTTATGCACTTGCTCGTCTCCATACCTGCCTGCGTTGTATAATTGTTCCAAGGCTGGCGCCTTAAGCTGAGGACCTTCATGCTTGATACCTGTTTCGTGCAGTACCCACGTGTTGCCCTATCGATCTTAGTCGTTAACCCACATTTCCTTTATAACCACAAGATGTTGGTAAGTACTTGTTCAAGATCCAATTCTTGAGATTTTGGTTGTGAGAGATTTTGTTATTTGTTCTTCAAAACTTGCTTCGTGTAAAATTTTTTCAGTCAACAATTTTTCAAAAATCTTAATAAGCAAATTAAAACCATGTCGAAAGAAAGTGTCCCTCTGTCTTCCAGCTGCTCAGAGCTCCCAGCTCTCACAGCTGAAATTGCGTGATTGCGCCGTAGCGATTTTAGAGGACGTCTCGCGTCTCGACAGTGGTTCTGCCGGTGACGTTGAGAGAATAGACTCACAGATGAAGGAGCAGATGCGTAAGTAGATTCGAGGCATTAGTGGAGGAGTATCAACAACAGCGAAATTTTGGCGGTTACTTTAAGGCTGCTCCTAATCCATCTCTGTAGACATCCCTCAAGCATATGCACACCAATACCAGGTAGATGCTGACGCACATGCTTAAGAGATTTCCCCAGGGATGAATAGGGGAGCGGTCTAATCACCATGGTAATACGCCGACCACCTCGAGCAAAGTGGCACCTCGCTTGGGCTCGTGGGAGAAGCAGAAGGCCATAGCGCGACTTGAGAATGCCCTTCGTAGCGGTGATCTCATACTTGGAGACGCGGGAGTAGATCGCGAATCGGCCGTCGCAGGCGCGGGCCTCTCCGACACAGACACTCCTGCTCAGCGTGTGCAGCAACTTGAGCGAGCCGGGGTCCGGACCACTGCCAGTCTCGAACGTGAAATAAGTGGTGCAGATGGAATTCTTATGTCGCCCACGTAGGAAACGATCCATGCTGAATTGTTCTTGAACTTAGTACACGGTTTAGTAAGTACAGGCTGTGCTTGATGTCTGACTGAGGGAAACCACCTCTAATTGTTGTACACCGCTTCGGCGGTGTTTGTTTTGTACATTCATAACAGTAACCGGCGCAAAACATGCAACGACAAAAGCCCTGACTCAATGACTTTGTGGGCCTATATACTTATGTTCCTTTATGTACAAGTCGCCGGCCCTGTCGCTGGGCATTTGTAACAAGTACGCCCAGCAAGGTAGCTCTAACTACGAGCAGTCATGGGGACGCCCGATATGCCCATGCCGCGACGCAGTGTAGCTCCTGCGAAGCCAATACAAGACGTTGGGAGGACAAGACGTTGGGAGGCATGTTGTGTCTGCCGTAAGTTTTTCCAAGCTTGTTGCTGTGTAAGAAGGAGTCACTGCAGCATGCATGATATGAAATCATTACCTAGTAGTAAGTAGTAGTAGTGTTGTACCCATTCGTGGGGTATAGAAGACGGTCTGACTGTAGACCACGCTACCACAGGCGGAGGCTGCAGCGCAAAGAGGGACTTCAGTGGAAATATTGATTTAAATGATTGAGTGCGTACATGGTAGAGGTAGAGGTAGTTACAGTTCAAGTTAATAGCAAACTATGTCACTATCACTAAACAATGTGAAGTAGACTTCTACACCGAAAGTAGAGAGCGAGCGTTGACTCGTCTAGTATTGATTTGCGTTGAAGATAATTTTTATTTTCGTTGTAGTCAAACCAGCACTGACTTACTACACTTATTTCGAGGATATATGGCACGACAGACATTGAGCCGAATTTTTTAAGTTATCCTAGAAGAGCATGAAAATAGCTTGCCATACTAGCAAAAGTAATGTAGGAGCGTCCTAGTTTCTCATCATCTGATGCAGGACGAAATCGTCTTCACGACACTTGGTACAAGAATGAAAGGAAGAAGTCACAATATGGCCATGAAAGTATGTTTGTTGAACATCTGCTATCTTAGAGGCTGGCACAGCTACTTTTTAGTCAACAATATAATTTATGTCACTCTTAGTCAATATCAATTAATCTTCTATTACTCGTACTTTCTGTCAATGTAGTCACTTAGAGGCTAACGACTCGTCAGTCAATAATAAAGATGTTGTGATGACCACGATCATTCTCTTCAACCTGCGAGATTAGTTGCATTGCGTTGATCGTCCTGTACAGGTACAGCACATCGTCGCTGACGTGATCACTCTTTTCTTAATATTTTTTTGTTGTTGTTGTCTACTTGTCTACAAGTACGCGTCCTAGAACTTGACTTGAAGCACATGACCATGGCCGTGCATCTATTTTTGTCATACTGTGTTCGTCAGCTACTTCATGTGAGGAGGATCGTCCTGATGAGATGTGTGTCTTCCAATTTGAAAGCGTCAATCTAGTTTAGGATGACTACTTGTGACGCAGTGATGGTAAAAATGCAGTCTAGTAGTAGTTGTCGAGCATCAAGGTGAAGGACTTGCAGCGGCGATGCTTACCAAACGGTGAAGATGACAAAGTAGCTACACTGCAAGACACAGTATCAGTAGCTGCATTGCAAGACATAGAAGCTGCACTGCATGACACAGAACAGGGAGAGACCCAGGAGCGTTGACTCTAGTTAGTACTGATTTGCATTGATGACCATTTTCGTTGTAATGAGGCCAACACTTACACTAGTGCCGGTAGATGTATAGTGCCTAGAAGGCTGAACAGAGTCCATGCTCATACGAGCACTTTTTAGATGAGCAAAAGAACGAACTTTGAACTCATCATCACCTCACGAGTATGTTGCTTATAGATGACCAAAAGATAGAGAGCGAGAACATTTTTCAATGCCGAAGAAAAGAGCCAAATCTTAAAAGATGAGACGCCACAAGTCGTTTTCGTCCAGCTCTTGACTGCAACTTGTGCACCCTAACTCGGACAGCCCCTTGAAGATGAATATCGGACAGCCCTAAGCATGGCTGTCTCCGACGGCGCTTCTCAGAGTCAGGCTGCTCCAACGCTAAAAGACTTTCAAACGACGGATTTTTGCGAGGAGGCATTCATATTTTGATTAGAAGCGCTGTAGGAGGAAGTGCTGTAGGAGTTGTTATTTGAATGATGAGTAGATAAACTTCGCGTTCGCGCATTCATTATGAAGAAGCTTCTACATCTACAAGTATACCGATTTATATCTCGACGTCGAGACGAAGTGTCTTGCTGTGTATCATCTACCCTAGGAGGGATCCATAACCCAACCTAAGCTGCTGCTCCTTTGCGTTTGTAGTAGCTCGTCCTCAGTCATCTTCTACGTATACCCCTGCAGTGGCTACATTCACTCACTCACTCACTCACTCACCACAGGCACCTAAGGCCGATAGTACTGGAGCAGTTTATGCCGCGTCAGCGTCTAGTGGTGGAGCAACGATGCCTGGCGCTATGTCCGCCTTCGCTTTCACACACGAGGTAAATGCCAACAACGCCGTTGGACATGACATCAATGCAGCGAAGAGTCCGTTAAGGTTTATTCTAGACACTCGCTATCTCCATCGGGTGTGAGGTGACTGAGCCGGTTAGCTAAGGCTGCTAATTTGGGTACACAACGAACTTATAACTACTACTACTCCTACTACGACTAGACGCTCGCTATCCGGTGTGAGGTATCCACGATCACGCCCGATTAGTTGTAGTGTCGTCTAGGATGGTTCTAAACTGGTTTCTAGACGCTCTCTATCTGTGATTTCTAGACCCTCGCTAGTATCCGTCACGTCCTGACAACTTGAGACGTGTTGCCGCTGGTTGATAATAGAGGGAAAATTATCAAAAGGAGGAAACAGGAAGGAAGCAATCCACTCGATCGAACTAGATAGAAGTGAGTGTCTAGCACTAAGTCCAGCACTTGGCTCGCAAGAGGCTGGCGGCCGTAGTCCAACTCCTACATCGTCTCCAGCGCCAGGAATGGTAGACAACAACAAAGAAGATCCTGGCGTTACGGCTACCGCTGAAGCATCCTCAGACAGCGTCATCCTTGGGCTCTTTTTTAAAGGGAAAAAGAGGCATCCTCCACGGACATCATGGCACTCAAAGAGGAAAATGCGAGCGCGGTAGTTCTAATGGAGGAACTAGTGTTCTCCCTGGCGTTGCTCCTGTCTCATCTTCTTTATGGACATAGAAAAGCTCCATCTCTGGGAGGCAATAAAAAACCGATTCGAAATTGAAATTCTTCAACTTCGTGCTCTTTATCTTATCATAAGATGGAAGCAGCAGATGAAAGATTCTTGTTCATCTTCAACTTCATGCATGGATGAGGTTGGCGATGAGTTAAGGAATTTGGGCCTTAGATTTAGATTTTCTGCACGTGGTGCGGCGTGCTGTACAACGTACAGAACATTAGCATTTGATATTGCGGATTATTACAACTTATCTTTGCCACAACTACAGCTAGAGCTACAGTGTCGACTTGTTGCAACGTTTCCATCTCTAAGATCAGATGTAGGAGGTGAAATTACCAAAGAACAGCAAAAAGCTGCAGTTGCCGGCACTCCGACGCCGGGCGTTAACGTTAAGGCTATGTATTGGTGAGTCAATATGAAGCGAGTCAATGTGAAGGAGAGGCAGGGAGAAAATGAACAGAGTTCGTCTATTCGACCAAAATGAATCTGAGTGCTTTCCTCGTCTGTAGAGACTCACCTTGTCTCTAGGATCTACCTTGTCTCTAGGATCTCGCAATCTCATGTGTAAAGGCTTTGTTTCGTGTAGTTTCACGACTTCATCCCCGTCAGTAGCCCCTCCTGCTGTACTTCTCACCCTTCTACTCTAAAATCCGAAGTAGTACTAAAGACGGAAGTAGTCCACCTACAACAGGCGAACAAGAAGCTGCGAGTTTTTAAGGCTTGAGAGAATCCATCTTCCCCATCATCTTCTTCCCTTTTTGAAGCAGGACGCAGGACGCTTAGCAAGATGGATTTTTGCAAGGTCTAAGCTAAGCAAGCAGGCGAAGGGCAAGAAGCTGCGAAGCAACTTCCACCAAATGCGGCAGTTGTTTCCACAGCTGGAGGGCCCGTCTTGGTTGGAGGGCAACAGATGCTAAGGCTAATTACCGCAATGTATAGATACTTATTCTGAGAAGCATCCGCTGAGTCTATAGTACATACATGACTGTAGTGTGTTGGCTTTCATCTTTGAGTGCCCTTTTTGAAGAGGGAAACTTGTCGAAGGTGAGACGTTCTAGATGGGTTCTTCAGTTCGCGTATCTATAATAGATAGAACAACACTCACGGCTTCTACTTACTTCTAAAATTGGTGCGAATGCATCCAGGGATGGCTGGCCTTGGGGGACTCAACGGAGCCGCGCTCACCACCGCAATGAGCACAGGACTCTTCAACTTGAATCTTACGGACAGGGACAGACTAAGATTTCTAAGAAGTAGCAGGGACGTCTTCTATTGTTGTTCTTCAGTGTCCGTGAACGAGCAAACTTTTGAATGTAAAGCATCCATCTTCGTCTTGATCTTCACTGACCCTCTGCTCCCCAGCACATTTCTAATCCTTATTGCGCCGAGGCGAACCCTGCTCACCCGAGTCATGCCATGTACTTGCAGATGAAGGCGCAGATGGAGTCCATGATGGTTCAAAATATGGCTAGTAGTTGATATCCCATGTGGACTATGCTTGCTGAGTGAAGACAGCGCGCGCTTTGACATAAAGGGGAAACAATAACAAAGGGGGACGCAAGGCATATCACTCAAGCTCGAACGATAGTACACAACTAGCGCTAATCAAAGCGGGCAAGACCTTGAAGCCATTCGGCAGGCCCAAGCGAAAGCGGAACGTGAGAGGAAAATCAACCAGCTCTTTCATTTCGTCCGCAACATGGGGTTTGATAAGGTAGGGAGCAGTCAGAAAAGAAAGTATAATTGCTTCTAGGAGCAAGAATAAGGAGGCCGGCAAGAAAAATATCTGAGGTTTCTTTGATAAAAAGGAAAAAGTTGAAGTATTATCACGAGTACGTAGGGGTAAGGAGTCACACTCAGGAAAGAGAAAGATCAAGGGTCGTTTCTTGGATAAGGTTGTAAGTTGACGTTGAGGCACACCTGAGCTAGACTTCTGGGATCATTCGAGAGCAGCAGCTCGCCATGTTTCAATACTTTCCCATTTGCGACTAGGACTCTCCTCTCTGCTACAATAAAGCTCGACTGACCGCACTCGTATCCTTTCGAACCTCGTCTAAAAAAGCTGCGGAAAATGGTTGTTGCGAATCAAGGACGTGATGACGCATTTCCGACAAAAGAGGACTTGAAAACTTACGAAAGTGTAAAAAAAAATGCCTTTCCTCACTTTCCTGCTCGATGCTCTCCTACGTGCGCGCATGTTTTCGCCCCGATGAGTCCCTTTGTTGCTGGTATTGATTTTCTTAAATTAGTTTCGAGCTTTTTGCTCCTATCATAAGGCAACGGCGTCCGCTACTTGCTATTCTCATTATATTACGTCTCCGCACTCTCGTCCCTCTCTGCTGGATCTATATCTCCTCTAGTACTCAGTCACTTATATGATCTGCTGAGATAGAGACTATGACTTCTAACTTATAATATATGATCTGCTGACTAATTTGACTAGAGACTAATATGATAGAGACTAATATGACTAATATGATAGAGACTAATATGACTAACAAATTATATTGACCAAATATTGACATCCGCCTTCTCCTACTTCATGACACGGCGAAAGATCCGCAAGGGCATAGTTTTCTGCATTGGTCAGCTTTAGGTGGGGACGAGGACTTCTGTAGGTGGGCCGTGGACGAAGTCGGTATACCTTGTGACTCTGTCACCTTCAACGGTCAAACTTACGGAAGATTACTCAAGCTGGAAGAACCTGAACCTGAAAGGTCCTCAAAACTAAACTAATTCCCATCAGGATCACCTTCTTACTCTTATACATGTTGTTGGATAGACGCTAGGGCGCATTGTGTGAAATAGACACTCATACTTGTCTTATTTGTGTGTCATTTTTAATGATAATTTACTCCATTTTTATTGACCAGTCCGGGTGGCGCCAAGCTCTAAGAAACGCCTCTCATGTGGGCCACATTACAAGGCCACATCCAAATTATGCGGTTTCTTATCGAAAGAGGAGCCGACATGCGACGAAGGGACTCACTGGGAGCCACACCATTGCTCCTGTCGATGCAACATAAACAGTACCACATATCATACAGGAATGAAATCGAAGCCATATACAGGAGCTCTACTCTCCTTTACAGACCTCTCATATGAAGAATATGATCTCCCCTCTCTACTTACTTAAGTAGGAAGATACTCATTTTACATAAGCCAAACTCTACAACGCCTTGCCCTTCACTCCTTGGGTTGTGATCCTTTACAGAGCTATACTTCCTCTTTATAGAGTCCATTCTCTCGCACTAGCGTCCAGTCTCCTTCTCCTTCGCAAGCCTCTCGCTCATCTGAAGAAGATGGTCTCCCATATAATGTCAATGTGTGCTGAAGAAGATGGTCTCCCATATAATATGTGCAAAGTAGAACCTGAACCCTACCACGACGTGTGCTTCACTTCTTGAGCGATCCTTTCAGGGAACTCCCTTCACAAAGCTCAACCTCAGATATATTGTATCTATGAGCCTGAAACTGACACCCCTTCCGTTCCCCTTCAGGAAACTCCCTTTCTTCCTGCTTGTCCATCGAGATCGTGGAGCCCTCGACGACGTGGATATCAACGGCTGTGGCGCAGTGCACTGGGCCGCTTACAAGAGTGACATACTGTTATGCTGGGGCTGCACTTGTAGACGAGACTCTTAGACTTATAATGAATGTTCTTAATATACAAGACTTCGAGTGCCGCTAGATTTTGACTGCCACGCACAATATGAGTATTGTCATGCTGAGGCTGTACTTGTAGAGACATGCTACTCTTTAAGGAGGCTACTTGGTGGTCTAGAGACTACTTGGCTTTGTAGAGCCTTACTTTTGTGGAGGGGGCTCTGTCTTACTTGGTTCACTCTAGCACTAGTGCTAGATCTCGGAATGCGAATCCCTACCATCCACCGCTACTTCTTCTAATCTCCGCGCTGAAATTCCTCGACTATTTTCAGGCGGACTTGAATGCCATAGACTTCTCACGGATGACGGCGCTCCATCGTGCAGTGATCGGTGGAAGCATAGAGGTCTGCGAGTTCTTACTGAAGAAGAATTAAGGCCTCACCTAAGAAGTCCCTCATCTTTTAGAAAGTTCATCTGTGGGCTGTTTTCAAGTAGATGAGAAAGAGAAGTCGACGCAGATGACGCGAAAGATGCTGGATTGTAGAGTTGTTAGCTCTAAAAGAAGGTGAGCCCGTATTTGAAAAACAAAGACGGAGAAGACATACTCAAAGTTGCGGAAAAGGATAAGAGTACTACTTTTCTAAGAAGTATTTTCTTCCCACTTGTACTTCCTAACTCTTCACCCCTGTCCCCGACGTCCAAAGACACCATAGATAACTAACCGTCGTCAGAAGATAGTCCTCACCTTAATACATGATCTGTATCAATCTACTAGAAGAAGAAGCCCCAGCTTCTATTTTTGATCCTGCTAAGAGAATGCTTAGTACCTTGCATGATCTCAGAAGATAGATAATCCTACAATACCTTCTCTATCCTTGCATCTCAAAGAGAATACTTAATGCTACACGATCTCTATTCTCTTTCTCAGATAATCCTACAATACCTTCTCCTTCTCTATCCTTGCATCTCTAAGAGAATACTTAATCCTACAATACCTTCTCTATCCTTGCATCTCAGATAATCTACACGATCTCTATCTTCTACTTGCTCTGCAGATAATCCCTATCTTGCGTCGGCGCTTAAGGAGTCGATAAAGAAGTACGCCGATCCCAGTCACGTTCCTGAACAGATCCCAGAGGCCACAGTGATAGGATCTGCTGTGGAAGAGCCCAAAGGAAGCGAAAGTCCCAAGAAAAAAGATGCGGGGATAGCAGGTATGATCATTTGAGTTGTATCATTTGAAGAGTTGTATGATCTGTAGCATAATGTGAGTAATAGGAAGAGACCACCTCCCTGTAAAACTTAGGATGAAGTTTGAAAGGCAAAGGTATCATCTGTAGTAATGTGAGTAATAGGAAGAGACCACTTCCCTGTAAAACTAGAAGCGTTTTCCTTTCGTTGTTTGAGTACCACCTCCCTTGTGAGTAACTAGAAGCGTTTTCCTTTCCTTGTTTGAGTACCACCTCCCTTGTGAGTAACTAGAAGCGTTTTCCTTTCCTTGTTTGAGTTTGGTCTGTCTTGTAGTTTCGCAACTGCTCTACGTAGTTCTCTTTTACTCTTGATATTCCATTCCAGTGGCAGCGAGTCCCTAATAGGCATATTTCCCTTGCTGCTCCAAACATCTACTGAAGCGTCTAAATGAAAACGAAAAACGAAAGCACGACGCGTCTATTGATCCTGAACATCACAAATCATCTTGAACATCACAAATCATCTTGAGCTCAGGTGACATCAAGTCTATGGTTGGCGAGCCGGACTTTCAGAAGTATGCGATTCCGAGTATCTACCTCGGTTCCGCGAGTTTCGCACTTTACTTACGGCTATTTATTACTGCTTCCCCATTTGCATCCCTCAGAGTACCATCGTCTTGGAGGGAAGGGGGAATAACCACGCTAGTCGCTTCTGGAAGGCAGACTACACTTCACTTCTTCTAAACTACACTGTACGTCTACTACACAGTGTCACATGCCAAGGATGAATAAAGAAAACTACACAGGCCAGGTGGGAAGATGAATACAGGAAAGATACAAGGAGCTAGAGCTAGGAGAAGGAGATGAATAGAGGAAAGATACAAGAAGTAGAACGGCCAGCACCGTTCATGCTCTAATCTCCGTCCACGTCCAGTACCTGATTGTAGTAGGCCCGCAAGTTGCGCCTTTCCTTACAAACCTGGTGTGGTTCATGGTGCCAAGCGCGATGGCTTTGTTTTTATGGCAAGTAAAAAACTGTCCATGGCTGTAGTACTGAAGAGGACACTTCTGGTGACTGATCGAGATCGCACTCGGAGACTTAGGCTACTCAAAGTAAGCAAGTAACAGAAACGATAACCGAGTCTGTGAGATTATTCGCTGGCATGCTCGGCTATTTCCGTCTTTCGACGAGTGCCTCACTCATCTGGTCCTCCTCGTGGTATAATTGATCCACTGTCACTTCTGCTATTGGCGCCTTATTCATCTGGATCTGGGCTTCGTATTGGTGTTGAGCTCCTTTTTGTGGCCAGAAAACTAAGAGGAACACTAGGAGGAACACTAGGTTCCGCCTGCCGCCGGTTTGCGAACTGGATAAAGCTGAGGCCGCTCTTTCAGTAGCCCCAGGATACAAAAAAAAAGAAAACTTTTTTCTGAAATCTCCAAATCCAAATCTCAAAAATGTCAAAAATGTTGAATTCAGTCTCTTTACTCTAAGTCTCGTCTACCTGATGAATAGTGCGCCCGGTCACTGGGAGAGGCGGCCTATTGGGCGTAGTGCAGTCGAAGAATTGATGGCGGACATAGACTCCGATACTCCTGTTGAGGATCAGCGCTTCTCTAGGCTCTGCACGGAATGCTGGATACAGAAGGACCTCCGGACAAAGCATTGCTCTGTTATTATGGAAAGTAGGTAAAAATTGGATGCAGAGTTTCGAAAACTCAAAATAAGCGAGTTACTGACTGAAATAAGGGAGGTAGCTTTGACAGGGCTACTCTTCCTGGTTCAGTGTCTCGCTTTTTTTCAGTATTTACTCGCTTATTTCAGTTTTTCGAATAGCTAAAAATTGGATGGAGAGAGATAGGACATTATGCTCGTCGCCACGTCGGTGGCGGAGGTGGTTCTTAATATCTGCCTGCTGTCTTTCAATATCAATATTACAGGAGAACTGTTAAGTGATTGGAAGTATCTATACGCTGTATCGTTTATCGGAACACAATGGAGGCTAGACTCATTATCTGTCATCAAGCAGAAATACGCTGCGTCACAATGTCACGGACGATGCTCTAACCTCCCCAACATCTGCGTGCGTGAGTTTGACCACTATTGTGGATGGCTGGCGGTTCCAATTGGGCGCAACAACAACCGGCAATTTGTCATGCTCGCCATCTGGGAACTCTTAGCGCAGTTAGCCCATCTTTTCCTTATGGTTATATATTTATAAGCAGGCTATTTTCCTGTGTAATGCGACCAGTAACTACTAAGTAAAAAGATAGTACAAGTAGAACATCCATCAAGAAGTTAAAAATATAGTTTCGTCTAAGTAAAAGTAGTGCATGTCGTTGAAGATCGTCGTGGTTCTTTAATCTACTGAAAGTGAAAGCTAATTGAACTAGTATTGATAAAGATCGCGGCTTTCGATGTCTTTTTTATCCTACAGGAGCGCCAGCATTTGCTTTGAGAAATACACGATGACGCAAAGCATTGCCTTATTGTTTTGTATATTCATATTGCTACACCATTTGCCTCTTGTTGACATAGAAAAAATCCACGACAAAGTAAAGCTTCCTCATTGTCTCCCATCACGATTCTAATTTCCTGGTCTTGTAATCTAGCCACTCTTAGTTGTACTACTCTTAGTTGTACAACTCGAGCAAGAACATCACGGCGCTTCTAGTTTCCTGATCATCCTTTATTCTAGCTCTAGCATGACTACAGCGCCGCACAATTCTAATTCCCTGATCCTCTACTGTGTCCATGCGGAGGCGGTTAAGGACCATGCTGGAAGATCTGCGGGAGGCATGGCTGTGATCGATGGAGTAGAAACCGCCGTACCAGACGAAAGCGGGCCCGGATTCTTTGGAACCATATACTTCGTACTCAATTATTTGTTTGCTAAGTCATCTTGGTCTTAGTTTATCCCTTGTCCACTCCATGCATCTACCTATCATAGCGCACCGCCGGTAATTGATCACTAACGCATTTTTTCTCCACCAGAACCGAAAATTTCCCATAACTTTCAGACCGTCACGAACTGCACGATGATCGCTTTTGTGGTGTTTTTGCACTGCTTGACGATTCCTTGGGTCTGCTGCTTGACCAGTTACCACCTCCGCCTTGTTGCCCGTAACTTGACGACGAATGAAGTGATTAATCTTTATGGGCAGGACTGCCTTGGGCGTTAGAAGAAGATCCACCCTCGTCTCATGCCTGTTCTGGCAAAGGCAAAGTGGCTACTAGGTGAGGGAGGGCATGATCTACTAGGTGAGGGATACAAGAATGATGACACTTCACAACGCATTCGCACTGTTCTTGGTGTCGAAGACTGTTTGATACAGATACTGATAGGAGGTAGAAGAAACTACAATAGCTGCAAAAATAGCTCAACTTCTAACCCGTCAACCGATACGCGCACTTCTGGACGACTGGCACTGATGCGAATGGCGCACCAAAACGCGAGTTTACGAATCCTTGGGACAAAGGAGGCGCTCAAGCGAATTGTCTCGACTTCTGGTGGTGGCGGACACGAGGAAGCTATTTATGATGACATATATGAACAAGAAGAACGACAACGAGAGGTCAGGACTGAGAACAAGATCAAGATGCTCAGTATGCGACACTTCTACTACTTGTCACGACTCTACAGCTTGAAACTATCGATCTTGCCGCTTCTTCTATCCACACTGTAAGGGCGGAGAGCCTGCTGCTCTTGTTTACAGTGAAAAAGCTTTTCATTTTTTTGTCGTGTGAAATCTCCTACTGTAAATACGTTACAACAAGTGATCTTGTCTGTTGATGTTGTTGTTCGTCGACTCAGTTATAAATGAGATCCACTGTAGGTGTAGCCCTAGCCGTAGGTGTCCCCTGCTCTTTCGTATTCTTCGCAGCCACTACCTCTCTTTCATATTCCGGAAAAGGCTACCAGAGCATCCCGATGCAGGAGCTCGATGGGATATTGTCCTCCGTCGGCAGCAGCTGAGGTCCGCCGATGCCCTTTGGTGGGGATGTGGCTGTCCCCGCTGCTCGTGCAGGACCGTCGCATTCCCATGCTGGACATTCCCATGGAGCTTATGAGGAGGAAGGAAGTAGATCTATTGTCTAGATCTCCGAACTACATTCTTGATTAGACTGCTCTACTTGAATACTTCTTGACTCAGCCAGGGATCCTCGTAGAGATGACGAGATTTGTCGTCCGTAGAGCAGAAGCAATGGTTGTAGCAGGTCGGGTAGAACTAGTAGAATACAGAAACGCGAATGATCTTACAACACTTGCCATGTGTCCGCATCTATTGAGATTTATGAATGCGAAGGGTTAAAATCTCTAATCCCTACACCAACACGGACATGGCGGTAGTGATCATGGGCATAGCCACGGAAAACCAAGCGGCTGAGGACATTCACACTAGAAAGAAGCACCTTTTTGGAGCATGTAAAGTTATGGATGGCGTTCCTTCCATCTTTACGACCATCGAGGCTGGCCCTTTTCCCCTTGAAAGAGTATAGGCCAAAGGGGCGCCTCGGTCATGGTCTGTCTAGATTATGGAAAAAACGCCATTCATAAAAATGGAATACTGAGCTTTCACCGAGTGGCAGCCATCAAAGTGTGGCGGCTCGGAGAAGTGCGGGCTGAAGAACTAATTACCAGAACATACATAGACTCTTTGTATACTTTTGTTTGATTATTGATGTCGATCATCCGCGATCCTACAATATAGCTCTGGTTACAACGGGTGCGATAACTAGTTCTCACAGCTCGTTCCACTGTGTAAAATGGATGCGACATCATGGTAGTAGTTACGAAGTAAAAATAAAGGCATTCTAGTAGTGCCTCAAGAAGATTCTCTCTGTCGAAGGTGATCACTTATTTTTTGAGCTTATCTATACCTATATCTTTGTGATGCTTCTGCAGTGTGTCACTCTCTCAAATGGTTTTAACTCTTACTTCATCTTGTTTTTTTGGGGAGCATATCACCACTCTGAGGGGTTGCAATTGTTCCTAGAAAACAAGTAATTTTGATACTTGTCATTGTTGAGAGGGCACACGTAAAGCGTGAGCTGATTTTTTGATAAACTAAAACTTTGAGCTGCAGAGTTTCATAGATTGAGTTGTCTTCATCCCTCGAGGTGGGATGGAAGCACTACGTCTCAACGGTTTAGCATTCAATTCCATCGTTCATCTACCCATCTAGTCCACAACTCGTATATGGATCATCTGTCTTTCTTCAATCGCGTTGATTATATTGGTACTATGCTTTGCTTTCGCTTACTCGATGCCAATAGATACTCGCCCCACTTCTCCCTCAATAGGCCTTCGAAATCTAGTATCCTCCCGAGTAATGTTTACCCCTCTGCTGTGTAAGTCAGCATCTAATTTTACCCATTTGTTGTGCCTTCGTTCCATAAACCCTTTGCTTCTACCTAGTGTGCCATGTTGCTTCATCATTCTTCAGATTCTATGTTGCGGCACTCGCTGAGAAGGGACTACTTGATTTCTTTTGTATACAGTAATTCACGTTCACGATCACAGCCCCGATTTAGCTACGGCTAGGACTACGAAGATATGGACACGGATGACTATCCTCATTCAGTTACATTTTCATTTGTTGTGCAGGTCGATGCACAAGCATGACCGTCAGACTTTTCGGAATGAGGAAAAAGAAATCTTCACTGGAAGATATTATAACGCGCGTCCTCCGTGGAAGAAAAGATCAACAGATCTCCTCCTGCGTTATCCCATGCGCGTGACAAACCTCAGAGTCTACAGATCATGCACTTTTGACTTAATACAGGAAGAAACCTCGCCCGGACCCTCCTGCTTTGCTGGTGCAGTCGATGATCTTGTGCCAGCAATGTATTAATATCAGGAGGAAAAGTTAGTAAGTGCGTCTGCGATGTTGGAGAAACTATGATCGCACAAAGTGAAAGTGGAAAAGAGCAAAAGGCAAAGTGTCATCTGAGAGAAAAGTCCACCCCGGTTGTCAACTTCTAAGAGAACAAGACAAAACTCAACTCTTGTAAGATAAGACACCAGATAATGCGCTCAATGTCAGAGATAAACCAGATAAACAACTCAGACAAAGAGTAGCACGCACTCCAGAGAAGGCATTAATACTTCCTCCCGCATCGCGAACGCGAAGAGTAGTTTCTTACGTCCTGCGTGTCAATTGGACTGACCGCGATGGAGCTTGACGACTGAAATAAGGCGCAGATTAAAAGGCTGTACCAGTTTCTCAACAATCATGCCATATCTATACAATCAAGAGGATGTACTGCTACGGCCCATGATGTCTAGTCTGTACTTTAGTGATTCTTTTCATTGTCATTCATCTATTGCTTCTTCCCCTGGCGCTGGCTCTTAAGGAACAAAAATGGCAAGACACCCACCTTCATCAGAGGACAGGAGAGGATGAAACGTCCAACACAGCGAAAAACAAGCCGAAGAGACTGAATCTTCATGGCAATCAGTCTTCCTGAAAGAAGACTGAATCTTCATGGCAATCTCTAAAATCTCTCTAAGATCCGGCGTCAGTTTCGCCTTATATACATGTGTTGGACGTTTCAACACAGCGGAAGACAAGCCGAAGAAGAAGAAGGCAACTTTTGATCCGTGGGCCTCGAAGCTCCTAGAGGAAGTCGAGAAGCAGAAGAGGAAAGTCCATGGGGAAGACGAGCGTAAAAAGGAGTTGTAGAAGAGGGTGCAAGAGTTGTGACTGATCGGGTGGCAAGCGGATGCTCTTGCGTCCGTTGTGGTGGAAGTTGAGGAAGAGGCGCGGCTCTACTTGGCGAGAAGCGAGATAAGGGGCAGAAGAGCAGGAGGCAGCAACACTTTTTTTTGACTTTGGAGCACGGATGCAGATCGTTCTTAGTAGGAGGATCATTGCGAGTAGAGCAGAAACTGAGATGCTGCAGATGATCTAGTACGAGCACTGATCAAGTACGAGATCACTCTAGCTAGTAGTGGGAGCACGGGTGCTGCCGCGTTTCCTGTAAGTGGCGGAGCGAAAGGTCAGGTCGCGGCTAAGGAACAAAGAAAAAGCATATTTTTATGTGATGAACAGCAGTCGTAATTTCTTCATGCTTCAAAATACTAGAGTGTTTTTCATACTTCCAACAGCAGCAAAATCAGGAACGAGCAGCCAGAGCTTCTCGAACAACAGCAACAGCAAGCTTTATCTTTTTTACACTTTTGCATCTTCCAAGTAGGTAGCATGCCCTTGTTGTAGGCAGAAGAATCAACATGAAGAGAGAGAGAGTATTACTATGTATGTATTAGTATTTTTTTATGGTCCAAGAACAGCTGAATCTCATACACGATCCCAAGGTGAAAGTGTCTCGTGCCACGTGGTAAGTACACAAAAAGTGGTAAGTTGCCCTAACCCTACGCGACAGATCGAGTTTCGCTTTGAAAAAGGCTAGAACGTCGGCACATGGACTTGCATACGTCAGCAGGGGGGGGTAACGGTAAGGACATGCACACGTCAGGAAGAATGTAGTTGGGGGAACAAGATAAGAGTGCAGCGCTCAACTGTCATCACCTGAGCAAGCGCATACCTACCCATACGCCAGGAGGCTTGCACCAGGGTAGCATGCGTCATCACTCTTCTCGGAATGCGAGCCAGTGTTCGAATGCTTGTTGTGTTTGAAGGAATTCATGTTCTTTTTACTTTTAACGAGACAACAATACATCATCGTACCAGCAACGTATTACGAGTAAAATTTTTTCAGTCAACATTTTTTAAATCAACAGTATCTTAAGAAACAACTTAAGACCATGTCGAAAGAAACTGTCGCTCTTCCAGCTGCTCAGAGCTCCCAGCTCTCTCAGCTGGAATTGCGTGATCGCGCAGTAGCGATTCTAGAGGACATCTCCCGCCTCGACAGTGGTTCTGCCGGTGACGCTGAGAGAATAGACTCACAGATGGAGGAGCAAATGCGCAGATTCGAAGCGTTAGTGGAGGAGTATCAACAACAGCGAAATTTTGGCGGTTACTTTAAGGCTGCGCCTAATCCATCTCTGTAGACATCCCTCAAGCATATGCGCCTCAATACCTGGGAGATGCTGACGCATATGCTTGAGGGATTTCCACAGGGATGAATAGGGGAGAGGTCTAATTACTATGGTAATGCGACGACCACCTCGAGCAAAGTGGCAGCTCGGTTGGGCTCGTGGGAGAAACAGAAGGCCATAGCGCGACTTGGCAATGCCCTCCGTAGCAGTGATCTCATACTTGGAGACGCGGGGGTAAATCGAGAATTGGCCGGAGCGAGCATTGGCCTATCCGACGCAGACACTCCTGCTCAACGCGTGCCGCAACTCGAACGAGCCGGGGATTGGACCACTGCCAGTCTCGAACGTGAAATAAGTGGGGCAGATGGAATTCTTATGTCGCCCACGTAGGAAACGATCCATGACGAATTCTTCATCTTGAACTACTTAGTACAAGTGTTAGTAAGTACAGGCTGTGCTTCATGTGATTCAGGGAAATAAAATCTAGTTGTACAACGCTTAGCCTGTGCGCCGATCAAGATATGGCAATCGCATTCATCCCAAAATATTTATAAGTAGAGTTAATATTTGGCTACAAATCAGTCTTCTTGAGTGATCCGTGGCTACTTTTGGTTATACTTGATAGTCTATCACTCGGTCCAATTGCTCTTCTTTTTAGAAGGTACAACTAGGCTGAATTACCTCAAGGCTACTTGACCACGTGGCTTAAGAGGGCACATGACATGACATGACAGTCTTCTTGAGTGACTGAATCATGGCACGCATGCTCTCCAAAATCTCTCTAAGATTCGGCGCGAGGTCAGTTTCGCCTTATATACATCATCCCCGACGCCCCATGAGCTTCCGCATGCGGATCCTTTGTCAGACACAGAACGGAAACTTCAATTAAGCGCTGAACAAGCATTTCATTTTTTTTACATGCTTTTGTTTTTCTCCCTTGTTAAGAATACGATTGTTTTTGTTCCTTTAAGATTAAGAATTACGATTGTTCCCTTAAGAATATATTTATAAGAGTGTTTCAAGTTCAACCTTAAGAATAAGATGGTTCCTTTTCTCCCTTAAGAATGTTTCAACCTTTAACAGCAAAGAGTTTCACTCCTGAGCAGCTAGTAAGTGGCGAAGTGTACGACATGCCCTTAACTCGCAAGGAAAAGATACGTGGGCTGTGCATCCTCCTGACCGCACTTTTTGTTAAGGTCAGCTTTAATCCATCTTTCTCAGTAGCTCGATGATACCCTTTTGTTTGCCTCGTATCCTTTTCATGGGAAACAAAGGGGTCGAGATGACGGGACCGCGATGAATCAAAGCCGACACTAATTTTCCCGTCCTTCTGATGATTATCTGGAAGCCACACCAACTTCCCGAAGGTCTGCACACGAGCAAGCTGGAGAACTACAATGTGTTTATCACGTCACCTCTCTATGCGTTGTCCGCGGATGAGACGCTGACGATTGCGCTGCACAGCAAAACCCAAGTCGCTGACTTGCGCATGTACGTTGCTCCTGGAGCAGGCAGCATCAATTAAGGCTAGTCGATCAGTAACACTTCTATCGGGTAGTTCTGGTGTTCTGGTGATGTGAGGCGACATATTACATTAGAAGGAACAAAGGCTGATAGGAGGAAAGGGGTAGGAACCCACTTCAAAGTGGGTCCCCTTCGAAGAAGTCAAGGGGGTTCTGTAAGTAAACGGAAAGACAGGTGGGATCCAAATCCATTGAACCAGAGATGAAAGTGATTGACTGGCGTTAAACTAGGTGGGAGGTCTTTCGCGCCGATTTCAAGTTGGTGTACGACACAACTACAAACACGATGAACAACAACGTTCTGCACAGTGGAGGAGTAAAGTATTGGTACCAAAAGGATGGCGACCAAGCGATGCGTACAGCCTTGTACGGAGTTACGGCGAATAACTCGCGCAGCATCCTCCACGAAGGGGTCTTGTCTTAAGGGAAGGAAGGATATCCTTGCGTCGTAGATAGGTCTAACAGTTTTGATACTGTAAGGTCAACAACGGGTACTGACACGAGTTTTTTTTACCTTCTGAAGAAGAAAGTGTCGGAATACGAAAGATCTCCAAATTCAACAACAATATGACGAATATTACGCTCTACAGATTCTGGTCTCTTCTGGTCAACTTGCTCAACAAGGTCATGATCAAGGGTTATGTGGCTACAACTCTTTTTACATACATCTACAGACTCATCAATACCTTTGTCCTTGTGGCAGTCTGCACTGAACTCTGTGCGAGATTAATTGTATTGTCTTGTATTGCTATTGTCATAGCTACACTCTAATTCACGCTTTCCACGAACGAGGAAGTCGAATTCTTCAAGACATTGGGTGATTTAGACACGGATGGCGTCATGATAGGTTCCGGCGGAGGTTCAGCATCTTCTAGTGGGACTTCAAATTTGCCGCTCTTCGCTGAGATTCACTATCTTCCACCTTCACCCAGGGAACTTACTTAAGGCTCAGCTTTCAATGGTCACCATTGAGATTGGAGTCACTGAGATCGAAGAAGCGACCTTCCCTTGAGAGTAGAACAGGGGAAAAGGAAGGGAAAGGGGAGAGCTTTGAAGGGAGGCTCCTCCGTTCAGCATCATGATGGCCATTGAATGCTGAGCTTTAACTTACGGAGCGAGAAGCGGACGAGACAAGAGTCTCTTTAGTACGAACCACGAAGCGCCGCACAAGAAGAAGAACTACGAAGGCCAGTGGTCTCTTTAGAATTAAGGCTTAGTACCCTAATGCATCTTCTGACGCATCTTAGACCTGTCCCGTAAGGGGAAAATAGGTCCAAGATGAATCCCGCGATGGATTAGGGTGAGCGCTAATAGAAGTACAGGAGTAGAGGACGACGTCTTCACCTCTCGAGGCGGCCTACGGATGCTGAGTGATTCCTCGTCCGAGCACCGCATAGCTGGTTTCAAGGTGCAAGTGGTCGAATTTGAATGGTTAGGGCACGGTCGCCTGTGGCTCGCAGCAGTGCTCTTTCTCGTAACTTTTGGTTATGACCTACTTGTGATGACACTAGCAAAAGGAAGGATTACTGTAAGTTGTTTAACAAGTATTTCAAGAGAAGATAGATGAGTTATTTCTCCATAAATTCACTTTAACAAGCGTTTGTTGAGCATACCAAAGATGAGTTTCAGGTGAGTCCTCCTCTTCCTCTAAAATCCTTTTATCCTTGCAGAAGTAGTCCATCGAGTATATGTGACTTTGATCGGCGCAACCGTCGGTCTCTTTCTCGTAACGCTGACACACGAGCAAATCCACTTACCAGAAGTAGTAGCGATGATCGACTTCGGCACGCTTCTGCTACTCTTTAGCATGATGTTATGAAGATGCAATGTATAGTTTTAGTTATGTATTCAATAGTAACATATGCCCTAAAGTATCGACATAAGTAACTCATCTGTAACATGATTTAGGATACAGACAATTCAAATTTTGGATATAGTTTTTAGAAGATATTATAGCCCTGTTGTTACTACTGTTCAGTATGATCTTATGAAGATATGGTAGGTGATGAGCAGAAATCAAAAGTCGACGTAGAAAATAGCCGTAGTCGCTTCCTTCCTATATCAATGGTTCTAAACTTCGTGAATGTCAATTTTTTGGCACAAACCGGTTTCTTTCAGTGGGCCAGCGTGCAGATAGTACGGCTTTCGTCGAAGCCTGTAGCTGACGAAGGGAGCTCAACTACCGACGTCAAGGCAAACGAGGTGAAAAACATTGCACCGCCGTCAATCCAAGCTGGAGCGTCAATACCATCTTCTGGAGCAGATGCAAGTGTAGCTGACGCTTACGACGGGGTAGATGAAGGAAGGACGAGAAATGATGATCTTTTGATCGGTGCGAGTCCGAGTGCGAACAAGAACACGAGAGCCATTGAGGGCGACCATCAGACTGCTGACGATGGCGGGTCGAAACAAGCTGTCCGAAGCCTCGACGAAGTGGCCCTGGCGCTCGACCCAGTGCGGCAAAAAACTGGAGAGGCTCCCAGCAATTTTGCTCTCCCTGCCTCCGTTTCTAGTGCAAGTGCAACCCCTGGTATGCTTTTATGGTCTATATCGTATATATAATTCATCTTGAGACTCAGAAGCATCTTTGTCCACTTTCCCTTTGAGGAGGAACACTTCGTTGGCAAAGATGCATCAGGCTCAAGACCGATTGGTGAAAGCTGCTCTAACGCTGGTCGACTGCAACTTGACGAGAGTGTTTTTTCTTCTCGCGAACATTACTGGTGTTTTGTCTGCTTTCCTAGACAACGTGACGGTCGTGATGCTCATGGGCCCATTAACCATCCAACTCGCGCGGACGTTCGGACGAAATCCTAAACCGTTCTATCTGAGCCAGGTGATCTGCGCTATTAAGGCTCGCGATATTTCATCTCATTCGTATCTGTCAGTACATCGATCGATCGCTGAAAAGTATTAGCATTTCCCCTGGATACATCAGCTATTATCAACAAAGCACGAGCACCAGGTCAAAGATGAATATCGGACAGCCCTAACGCAGCTGTTGGGGGAACCGCAACGTTGATCGGAGACCCGCCAAACATCGTCATCGGCTCAATGATGGACATTGGCTTCGCGGACTTCATCATCTACAATACTCCGCTGATCGTCATCTTGCTGCCGCTGAGTTCGTACCTTCTGTATCGGCAGTTTCGAACGGAAGTCGCTGGAACAGCCCGCATCGACTTGTCGCTGCTAACCCGCGACAACAGAATCACTGATCGGTATTATGAAATCACGCCCGCGTGTTTGCTCGCATATTTATCTTAGGCATTACGCCACATCCGTGCTGACTGCATTGATCAGCAGCGTGGTGGAAGCTGGCGGAAATTCGTTGTAGCGTTTCCCGAAACACTCTCTCTCTTGAAGGTGTCCCTAGACCTAGTATTCCCCAAGTATTTCTGATCAAGAGATAGGCCTTCACCACATACTCTCGTCTAATGCTGCATGCTACTGCAGGTTGGTGCGGTCTTCGCGGCGGTCTGCTTCGGCCTCTTTCTATCGCCATTGCACGGCCAGGAAGTAGCTTGGTTTACCTTTCTTGGTATGTTATTCCTCTGTCTCCTACTCAGCCACCACGAAATTCATCATGTCTTGGAATCCGTCGAGTGGGATGTGCTACTCTTCTTCGCATCGTTGTTCGTACTAGTGGAGTGCCTCGGTGAAATGGGGCTGATTCGCTTAGTCGGTGACGCAATGGCCGACGTCATCAGAGGAATGCCAGCCGATGCTAGATTCCCTGTCGGCATGCTCCTATTCCTCTGGGTCTCGTCGATGGGGTCAGCTTTTCTCGAATCTCTACCCTATACTACAACAATTATGGCGAACTCCTAAGAAACAAGTTTATTTAGTCCTCTAAGAAAAGAATGAGGGACTCATGTTTCAACAAGTTTCAGAAGTCCTCTAAGAAAAGAATACAACTTGTCAGGTTTCAGTCCACAAGTTTCAGTCCTCTAAGAAAAGAATGAGGGACTCATCTAGACAAAGTACTGAACGATTCTAGACGAAGTATATAACACCATGACTTTTGGGTGTGCGACTTGTACTAAAAAGGAAAAATTTCCAACCTGGATTTGATTTTTTCTATCTCACCTTTCGGGCCTGAGATACGATGAGTATAAGAAAGTGCTTACTTGTATCTTTACTATCTTCTCTAACCTCTTGTGTTATCTGCTGAAGGCGATGCACGTGGAAGAGGACTCGTTGGGCATCTCGGTCGGAAATTTCTCCTACGCCCTTTCAGTCGGTGCTTGCGTGGGAGGCATTGGATCGATCATGGGTTCATCTTAAGGTCGATCATTAGTAATGAACAGTTGTCATAGAGCGGAGCTTGTCATGTTCACAGTGAGTTACACTTACACACACTAGGCTGCCTTAGGAGTCTTTGTGTCCAGAAAGACACTGCTCCAAAACTTTAAACTAAAGTCCACCACCTCCTGCAACCTTGCTGTGCACAGTTGTTGTGTGTTACACTTACTACACACTGCATGACAGTGAAGCCGAGGCATCCTATCCTATCCTATCCTATCCCATCCTACTGCACTCTTTTTGAGACAGTCGTAAAAGTGTTTCCCGATTGCATGCATTTGCCGTTCGCATGCATTTGCCGTTCGCACTTACACAGAGAAGTAGAGCAATAAGAATTCCCAGCTTCTTGCTCACAGTCACAGTAGTTACACTCAATCTCATCAAAGGCAAAGGCAATGCTGTCAGTCTTAAATCAAACTCGTTTTCGTTTGTCCTTTCTAATGATATTGTTTAGTCTCCTAGATAGTACATGTAAGACTATGTGAGACTCATGCCATGCCATTTCTAATCTTTCGCAAACCTGGTAGCAATGGGCATTTCGCAACGATACATGCCAGCAGACGCGCCCGCAAACCACCGAATACAGGGTCGCGACTACCTGCGACATGGCTTCCCTCCACTGGTAGTCTTAAGGGTAGGTTAAAGGTGCTTTTCTTACCGCTTTTTATGCCTCTCCTAAGGAAGAAAGGCATAAAAAGAGGGGTAAGCAAGCACCAAAAACCTACCTCTAATAGTCCTCACACTCGTAACGTCGCTGTATCACTACCTGGTCTTTTCTGTCATCACGGACGGTTCAGTCCCTAGTTCCTGAGTGCGAGCAAGTCAAGGGGCTCACGGAGATCCTTTGGCAGAATGTAGTTGGAAGGATGTCTTTCTGGAAGAATGTCTTTTTAGAGGAGCGTCTTTCTCGAAGGACGTCTTTCTGGAAAAGAATGTCTTTTTAGAGGAACGTCTTTCTCAAAGGACGTCTTTCTCAAAGGACGTCTTTCTCAAAGATCTTCTTGCTCTAAGAACAATTGCGTAGAGTAGACTCCTTATCTTCAATAGGCGCCTCGGGTCGTCTGTAACTTTTTCTATGTCTATGATAGATTGTCAAAGAAGTGAAGATGTGCTTGTTGAACAGACGTCGCTACAGCTTTGTGCAAATGGTCATTGTAAAGAGAAGGCAAAGGCAAACAATACGGTAACGCCCAAGTGAGGAGAAGCCTCCTCAGTAAGAGCAAACTGGTATCAGCAAAAGAAATGTGTCAAAACGGTAACTGATAGACTTCGTGGACGTCGTGTCTGAGAAGAGAGAAAATTTGAGAGAGAAAAGCTGGAATTTAAAGGAATTTAAAGGAACTATAGCGAGAAACTGTAGACCCAGGCCCCCCAAAAAAAAACGCGGCAGGAGTTGGTGACCGTGCTGAATGAAGGAATGAATTCCCGATCTCTTCTCCCTCAAAACATGTGTGTCACTCGTTAGACAAAGAGAATCCTTATCCTTTCCTTCAGAAGACGAAGATACTTGGAACAAACTATTATAATCTATTATAATCAATTGGGTCTAGGCTCAGACTGTTTTTTGTTTGTTGTTGTAAAAAAAGTATAAGGAATTTGGTCTTCCTCGGTCCATCTCGAAGTCCAAAAAAGATATTAGTAAAGAGTATCCAAGAAATCGTTGAATATGCAATCCAAGGCCTCGTTCTACAAGCGAGTCGCACTCCACTTTTCGCTGTGTCGACTGGCGTGCGGTAGCCTGAACGTGAACGTCCATGAGGAAGGTCCCCCCTCGCGAGTCCGTCCTCAACATGCTTGGAAAAAAGTCCACCCTTCGTCGTCGTCGGCGCAAGATGAAATTGTTGCGGTGTTGCATCCGCAACGACCGCGTGATCCAGAGATGGAAAGCCGGATGCAAGAAGCTTTTAATTAAGGCTCCGACTTGGAATCACTTCGATTGGAATTATGTATGGTTCTGGTATTTGGTAACCGGAATTAGATCCTAAGGGTTCTCTTCTTGTTTTCCCTTAGGATCAAACTCAGGTTACCAAATACCAGAACCATACAAATTACTTAATAGAGGCTTTCGATTAAAAGGGTCATTGCTCAGGATCATTTAGATTGGAATCACTGACACCAAAAAGGAGACCCCCTGAGAGAACCAACAGGGTAGTTCATCATTTAGATTGGAATGCCTGACACCAAAAAGGAGACCCCCTGAGAGAACCAACAGGGTAGTTCATCATTTAGATTGGAATGCCTGACACCAAAAAGGAGACCCCCTGAGAGAACCAACAGGGCACTAAACTAAGGGAAATATACGGGGGATAAACTAGCACGGGAGAATAGGGCCGACCTTTAATTTGATCGAGCTTATGCACATTTTCTCGACCAATTCGACATGCAGGGCTACCGCCAACAAGCGGAGCAAATCTCCTTTCTTGCGGGTCAACCGGGTTTCAAATTAAGGCATGAATATTGAGAACGCTTAGTTATAGTAGTAGATAAGTTCTTACCCGACTTTTCTTTTCCGTAGGTTTTTGTCTTTTCCTAGGTAGGTCTGCTCCAACACGAATACTAGTCGTGTGTTGACTGAGTAGAAGAGGCACATGTACCTGTACGAGGTGAATGAATCAAGAAAATCGCTTTGAAAATATATTCTTTCTTCATGTTACCATGGATCAATCATACCATGGGTACTCACTGCATTCACATTCTTAGTTACTCGTCTTCAGATGCATAGTGAGAGAGAGTTCCTCTAACGTCCGCTGCAGTGGCCTCTGCGCCGCACTGTGACTTTGGGGTTCCACCTCCGCAGATGCCTAAGGCCACAGCCGTCGCGCCTTTTCCTGGAGGTATCGCTTCAAGGCTTTTCTTAAGGCTAGAAATTTCTCACTATCCCATGTGATCTATGCTGAGTGGAGCTGGAGCCCCACTTGATTAGGTAGAAAAAGGCGAATAAGAACAACTACAGTACTGGATAAGGAGAGGCAACTAAGGCGGAAAAAGGGGAGCACGCTCATTCAGGCATAGTGAGAAGCTGGCGCTAATTTTCGGAGCGGATCTGAGCCAAGTGGTCACTAAGCTCGCATCAAACGCGGCGACTGCGGGAGATAGCAAAAATGCATTTCCTGGCATTCTTATGGGTAATTTTTTATCAGGAAATGCATTTTTGCTATCTCCCGCACACTTATTATCTAGTAAAGAACAATTTATCATTTTCTCGAGAATACACCCTCCTCTCCCCATGTCAGACTCCGCCGCTCCCTAGAGTGCTTATAAAAAACTACTCCTACCTCCTTATAAACTACTCCTACCTTATAAACTACTCCTACCTTATAAACTAATCCTACTAGTTAGCAAAAATGCATTTCCTGGCATTCTTATGGGCGCCAATCAATTTGATTCTAGAGTGTCAGGAGACTCTTCCGTACTACGTCTTTGACTTACCCCTCGAATGGGTAAACTACTACTACTACTACTAATGCTACTACTACGCGCTACTACTAGTACGACAACGACCACTATGGTCTTTCTCCCTTCTCGAGAACACATGGGTCAATCGTTCTCGTCCTCTCTTTTCATTACCATGGCAACCCAGGCTTTGGCGCAGGGAGCGGGGTTAATCCAGAGCGCGATGCACGTCATCCTGCAAGTTGTTCCACCTCTCATTCCGCCACCTGTATGGATCAACCAGCCGCTTCCCTGTCTACCGATTTATGTATTAAATCTATAAGATTGATCTTAATCTTCACCGTCTTCTAGGCATAATGCCTAAGGCATTTCTCTTTATTCATAAGCTTGTTTTCCTTCTCCTCTTACTCTACTCTCAAGCGCGGACGACCTCGTCATTGAGAAGTAAGGTGCAATGGGCCGACAGGACACTAACATCAAGCAGAAGTAAGGACACTTTCATACCAACTGCTGCAACTACAACTAATTACAATCAAACCAGCCACCGCTAATCCTCGGTAACCGGAATGAACTGTCTTGGCTCAGTGCTCTACCCGATCACAGCTGCTGACTTTGTTACCGCGGACATCACGGACGCTCAGCTCAGTGGTACAATCGCCGATTTTCCCCGACTGTACAGAGATCGCATTGGAAGCACGTTATGAAGAAAGAACTTTTCGGAATCTGTTGGAGTCTTTGAAAAATAGAGTTCTCTGACAACGAATGGTTCTAGTATTTGGTAACCTGAAGTTGATCACAAGGAAAAGGAAAACAAGTTACATGCTTGTGGTAGGTGTAGGAGGTAATTTGAGAAGCATATATGTACTTACATGCTTGTGGTAGGTGTAGCAGGTAATTTGAGAAGCATATAAGTACTTACATATTCTGTCGTGCGCTTGCTAGAGTCGTGTCAGAGCTCCTTAGAGCTGCAGTTTATCTTTACTATTCCCTCCCCTGTTCATGCGTATCGAACGATGCGTACAAGGTGTGCTTTGGGGCGTACATGGGGATGCAGTGCGCGTCCGTCTTCCCAGCGTGCTCTACGATAATGGCCCGCGAAGAACCCGGTCCAGTTGGCCGTCTCCCCTTGTGCTTCACTAGTTGCATTTATGCTGTAGTTTTAATAAATTATACAGGACTACAACCACCACCAACGTGAATGGTTCTGGTATTTTTGGTATAGCCTGAATTTGATCACAAGGCTTCTCTTCCTGTATTTATACCTACAACTCTATATATTCGAGGATCCACACGACAGTTGTCGTTGTTTTTTCTAGCTCAAAGAAGGGTTAAGTTACTGCGAAATCCGAGGCAGACTTTGGAGCAGATTCGCGTCATCGCGTTACCGATGTCGTTCTTCCAGTTGTTCTTAGAATTAGACATGATTTACAATAGATGAATTAGGCGTAACTAATTGTATGCGACAAAGAAAGGTCTTGTAGTTGCCCTCCTCTTTCATACTCATCTTACGCTGGTCGCCTGTCCCGGTATCTGGATCACGGATATGAAGGACGAGTGTAGTATGGTCGCCGCCCCACCGATGTGTTCGATGGCCGTTTTCGTGAACATGGCGTTGCTTCCACCACAGTATCAAACCTTCGAGGCGTCGTTGGGTGTACCATTACGGCTTTTCATGCACCTAAATCCTATACCTCTAGTCTGGGTAGTACAGCACCCGTACTATCCAGGTTTTTAAAAAAGCGTTGTACTACTTCTATCCTCGTCAAGAAGAGACCATAATGCGGGCTAAAAATGACTACGTTCCTGTTCAGGGAAATCGGTTTCGAGGTAACAAATCATAGTCTCTATTTCAACGTTGTATCCGCGAGAGTATGTTCACCACTATGTTCATCATAGTGGTGGTAGTACGTTTTCATTCACGTTAATCATATCTTCCCGGAATGTGGGTGGATACAGTAAACGTTGTATTCTAATTACAGGACTAGGGTAACGTTATATCCTATCATTCATGTAGGAGATATATTTCTCAAAAGGCTTCTACTATTACGGCCAACAAGTAGACTTTTTTTCGGCGTTTTCAGAGTCGTGAATGCTCACCTCCTTGAGGCCCCCCATCCTATCCCAAGAGTCCGAGTGGCGGAGTAGGAGATGGCACTATCTTCACTGAGGGAAGAATCTTGGATATTGATGGATAGTTACTCTAAGATTCGCGGAATGCCCGCAGGCTCCGGCAAGTCTCGGGGCGTTGGAACCAGGACAGGAGTTTGATCTCTACAGCGTCTCCGAAGCGGGACCGAGTCCATACGATGCAGCAGGAACCGGATCAGTTCCGCATGCGTTCTAAGCAGTAGATGTGGAGCATCTGCACCGTGTTTTACTGTTATCCTTACATATTTTACTAGCAAAGCTATTCCTTGGCAGATCTCTGGCAAGGCTATCCCTTCAGAATGGTAGAAGACTTAGCATTTCTTATTGTAGTGCTATGTCGTCGTGATGAATGTTCAATGTTGTTGTAAAAATAGATGCAAATCCAGTTCTAGTACTATGATATTATGTTTGTTCATCGCATCGGGTTCATAATTTCTTTCCAGCTATTGCTCAACCACCTCAAAGAGACTCTCTTCCCATCTGGTCTCTCCATAACGAACAATGCTGTACAGACCCAAAAAATGTAATGTCCCTACCTGAGTGATGGAATGAATGAATGCCTTCCGATTTCAGTAAAAGATAGTAAAGATTGTGATCTGTTCTGCCTTATTCCGCTCTTGCACAGATTGACTGCACAGATTGATTTTTGCTTTTGGGTTTTATCGGAACGACCGTTGGTTGAAGTTGTTAGTTTTTTTTGCAGCATTTCAGTTGTCATACTAGTTGATGTTGCCACAAAAATGTTTTTTGTCAACACAAGAGTCAGATAGGATCACCAGCACTTACTAAAACTCAACAACATTTTTGAGCAAACACTGATAGTTTGAATTCCAGAACAACATCCTTTTCAGAAACGGAGCAAACAGAAGTTTTATGCAAGGGTGCTTCCTGTTCTCCTGGGTCTCGCACGGAATCCCTTGTCAGCGCGAGAGCGAAGAGTGAGACTTAACGCTGCTTGAGACATGCCGTCGATTGCATCAGCTAGGATCGAAAAAAATCAATGCAATCCTGTAGGTCACATGCAGGCACAAGCGATCCTGAAGGGAGTCCAAGGAAGCTCCATCTTTCATATATCATGTGTCCTCCTCATGCAATGTAGTTTTTCGTTGCCTACAGTGGTGCGGCTGTGGTTAGCACTGAATTGAAGGACAATGCAAGTTGAGAAGGAATGCGTGCCAATGAGAATACAGCTGGTTCATCTGAATGCAAATCCCTGCTGCAATCTTGATCATAATTGACGAAGGCGTTCCTGGCACCGACTGGATCTTTACATATACTGCACGACGCTGACTGGTTTTCTTTTTTCATGATATTCGTTCAAAAACCGACTTCGCACTAACCCATTCTATGTATTCTACCTTCCAGGGAGAAAGTGCAAATATCCACACCCATGAAAGATGAGAGCCTAGTGCAGGACCTGTTATGGCGACCGGCATACGTCGCCCGGCGACTTGAATGCACACCACCAACGGCCCTCATCGATCACTCCACCAAACGACGAATAAAGAGGTACTTAGACTTATGGCTATCTTTCTTCTGCAGAGCTGCAGCATCTATCGCTTCTCCTTTTCAGTATTGAGTCCGTTTGTTCTTCTGGTGTCTATCTGACAGTCTCAGACTGATCATGTGTCTGCAGCACAGAGACAAAGGGCTTAGTGGTTGATGTACTTATCTTATCATGTATCAAATGCTTCTCATTCATCTTTTCTTCAAACATAAGCATTCACTCCTCCCATTATTCAGGCCGATTGGATGGAGTTCCGCTTTCGCAGGGCGAGCGAAGGAGGAGCTTCCGTCTCTTGTTCACACGGGATAATCTGACGATGCTGATGCCATGAAGGGCGAGGCGGCTGAAGCTGCAGCCGCTTTCTGTACTACGAAACGGCTGCTCATTTCCAAGAAGGAGGCAGTGACTGAAGACGACGAGCATCGAGTCAGGATCGGATACAGTCTCGAGCACCCATAGACGACTCAGGAGATGACGCAGGGGGAAACATGTGGAGGAGATGGAGACAGGCTGAAGAAGACTGCTGTAGAAAAGTAAGGAGATGATGGGGCAGGCTCAGCGGCTGTCGCTGGACGAGGATCCACGGCTCTACAGAGTAGCATGCCGGGACGACCGCGAGCCTGTTGCCCAGGTAGGCGCAGCACAAGACCTGGCAGCTTTAGCGAATGCTAGACAAGCTAGGAGATAGCTGCAGAACAAGACCTGGCAGCTTTAGCGAATGCTAGACAAGCTAGGAGATAGCTGCAGAACAAGACCTAGCAGCTTTAGCGAATGCTAGACAAGCTAGGAGATCGTAGCGAACAGCAATAACAACAGATCTTCATCAGCAACATTTGTTTATGTAGATCGCCTCCGAACATGGTAAAAAAAAGGAGTTGCTCCGTACGACCCACCTCTGCACGGCCAGCGACGACGGCGATGGTGCTACCTCCGTCGATCGAGGATGCTGTAGTAAAGGTTTACCCGAGCGGGCGGGTAACTCCGAAGATATCGTGCCGAGGCTGCTCTAGCGTGCTCATCGGATGATCCACCGGGCTGCTTTAGCGTGCTCATCGGATGATACAGCGAGCGGCGGGCGACCCTCCGGACTTCGACAAGAACTACTACAAGAAGACAGAAGAGGAGTTAGAAGGCACTCGAGTAGTAGAGCGGAAAGCCAGTAGTGGGAGACCGCGCGCGCAGGATGAGAAGCGGAGCTTCGTTCGCTGAGTAGACCAATGGAAGGAGAGGCTACAAACAACAGCAAGCCTGATGCGATCCCTCAGCGAATTTCCTGCGCAGCGGAATTTCACTAATACAGCGAGTAAACGATGGACGCACTACATGAAGAATTACATATGATGTAGATGAAGTTCGATAATTTTTTTATATTCGTAGTTACACACATATTTATAATGTACACATCATTTATATTGATTGAAAAGGAGTACTTTGCATGAAGACTACTGCACTTTGCATGCAGTTCGCGCTTCGTAGAGATTATAAGCATATCGTCAGCATCTCTGTTTGATATTTTAAATGTACCCAGCTGAAGTTGTAAAAGAAACCTACCAATTATACCTGTCTCCACTCCTATAAACCACTTTTTCGATTCCCATGAACTGCAAGCACTCACACTTGTTTCACTACTCGTCATGATATTACTGAAGATGCAGTAGATACTATACTTGAGTAGTTCAGAATGACCAAAAAAATGCGGCATTCCTGGTTGTGGTTGCACCTACAAGAACACGTGACACTGTCACTCATGACCCAGAGATGATTGAACCTGTTTCGCAATTCGTGAGTTTGGTGGAATTGGTGGATAGTTAATTCTTGAACGACGCACGACGCAGGTCGTTCTTGAACGAGACGGAACGAGACGCAGGTCGTTCTTGAACGAGACGCAGGTCGTTCTTGAACGAGACGGAACGAGACGCAGGTCGTTCTTGAACGAGACGCAGGTCGTTCTTGTTCTTGAACGAACGAGACGAGATGCAGGTCGTGTTGCCTATGCCTGAATTTTCGGCTCTATGCCACTGTGGGACAGTCTTCTGGCGCAGATGGGTGTCTTTCTCAGTATGTCGAGTGTCGGTCATGTCGTTTTCCTCTCTGTCTGTACAAGAAGTCTGGAAGAAGAACATTTGTTTTGTTGTTGCAAAATCGCGGGTCCCGATTGAGCGAGCATTGAATGGGTAGAGAGAACAATGAAATCAACAAGAATTTCTGACGAGGAATATTCATATTCTACGATGATCTGTGAGCGCCTCTGCGTAGGCGGCAAAATGTAAAAGAGAAAGCCGCTCAGCACAGTAGGAGATGCAGAGTAACTATAAGCCATCTAAATTCTTTTCTAAAGACCAGTGGAGGTACTCTCTAGCAAGAGCACTGGAGTAGATCTACATGCAACAAAATAAAAGTATCTATAACTATAAGTAAGAGCAAGGAAGACAGTAAGGTAAGAAGTGGATTTTCACAATTTCGTAGCCTTCCCAACAAGAATGTCTTCTAAGTCGAGCGCTCCACCGAAGGCGCTCGCACGCGTGGAGCAGATCGCTGAGCAGGTTGGCGTTAGTCCGCTAACAGTGAAAATCAGCGCAGGTGCCGCTGTGGGTGCTGCTGTGGGGATAGCTATTGTTATGACATAGAAAATCATGTAGTTCGAATCGCTTGTTTCCAAATTTACATGAGGATCAACAGAGAAGCGGATCGAAAAAAGTACATTCAAATACATACAGTTTCTCTCTGTATAGCTCGCTCAACCATTTTCCAATTCTCGCCATGGCAAGCGAGCACCATTCCCGATTGAGGACCCTCCGGTTAACACTAGTGAAACAGCGCCATGCTACGACGGAGACGGACCGGTGTGGACATGTGACGCTACGGCGGAGGTGTTTTTTTACTAGAGAGGAAGTTACTCAAATAACATAAAGTACTTGTACTACTTGCAGTGGTGAATATCATGTGTACTTCAATGAGAAAAAGGATCTTCGCTCCTTCACTTCTTCTAGTGCGACTTCTTATTATAGGTGTCCAACAGCGGACTTCTACAACTTAGAGAATCAAAAATCCGTAAACGGATTTTCGAAAAAAAAATCAAGGTCCCTATCCGTTTTTCGAAAGCGGGTCCAGCCTCGGAAGCACAATGTCCGATGCAAACGGTGCCGCAGCTACTAGAACAGTGCGTAAAAATATGTGGAAACGATTTTTAAGGGTAGTCGTGTGACCTATCGAAGTCTTCAATATCATGTACCAATACGTAATAACATAATTCCCAACATGATTCCTGTAATGTGGTCGTAGTGGCGTGGACCTATGGAGGATAAGAGTGACTTTGGAATAAGGGTGATGCGAGTGGCGATGGACCCCTTAGAAAAGTAGGAGGTCAGAGGGAGACAAAGACAATTTAGGAAACTAGGAGTCCAGAGGATCATTCTATTTATTAAATAGGAGGGAAAGGAACCAGGGGATTCGACCTCATGCCAGGCACATCAATCAATCAATCAAGGAGGCAAAGGCAAGAAGTTACTGAAGAATCCGGGACAGGCAAGTTACTCAATATTCTATCTAAGAGTGAGCACGCAAGAAGTTACTCAAGAATCCGGGACAGGCAAGTTACTCAATATTCTATCTAAGAGTGGAGGCAGAGGCAAGAAGTTAGTCAAGAATCTATCTAAGAGTGAGCACTTTCCTGCGAACGGCCTTGTCCGAAAAACGATGGCCAGGGCGCGCTTGCTCTGCATCCGTCGCTGTGGAAGAAGTAATGTTAATATCCGTCATAAATTGTGGCTCGTACAGAATGAGAATGGTCATCCGCCATGATCGTGGAAGTGGAACTAGATATGAGGACGACACAATTTTTCGTTCTAGTTTTAATGTAACCGCTCTAGATATGAGCTGACACCCGTAAATAATTACTGGGTAAGTATATCATCATCATCATCATCATCATCATGATGTTTCCTTAATGCAGTTGGACCTGGAAGCAGTATGCGGCAGACATAGTCACAGCTGCGAAAGGCTTTGTGGCGTTTGGCACCCCAAGATTCGGCACCATCACTATTTTCGGCTTCAATGCTCCAGAGTGGCTCATTAGTTCCATGGCGGCGCTGCAATTGTTAAGAATGGTCGTAGTAATTTTGATCATGTTTGCTCTACTGGTGATTACAGGGGACTACAGGGGGATTACTGGTTGATCATGTTTGCTCTACTGGTGATTACAGGGGACTACAGGGGGATTACTGGTTGATCATGTTTGCTCTACTGGTGATTACAGGGGACTACAGGGGGATTACTGGTTGATCATGTTTGCTCTACTGGTGATTACAGGGGACTACAGGGGGATTACTGGTTGATCATGTTTGCTCTACTGGTGATTACAGGGGACTACAGGGGATTACTGGATTGGGATTACAACTGGATTACTGGATTTCTCAACCCGAAGACTGGTGGTGACTACGAGGATGCCCGTCACGAGGATCTTCACGATCTTGATTTAATATACCCAGAGACCCCTTAGTTTTTCTTCAAGCATGTAAATACCATTTCTTCAGTCCGCAGCTGCTTCCCATCTAAAACTTGGCGGCAAAGTAGCCGGAATCTACCCGACGGACACAGTAGAACACTGCGTCTTCAAAAACAAGCTGACGGGAGCCACCGTTTGTGTTGTCGAGTTATGTTGAGTGCCGCTGTGCCTTAAGCCCTCTACTTACCCCCCGCTCATTGGAATTATTTAAGTAATTTGCAGCGGGTTCCCTTTAATACGTTGGGCAGTGTACTAGAGACTTGTGAACGTAACTACTGACCGATTCCATCCACGTTTTTGTTATCTTCCCTCCTCCACGCCATTTCATCTTTCGACGTGGATAAAGCCAAGATGGTGTTGGACAACCTGGATCAGCTGCCTTGCATGAAAGCGGTCGTCGTGTATTCGCCGGAGGCCAAATTTGAAGAAGTGCTGCCATCAAGCGATGGGTCATTTATGGAAACTAGAACTAGTGTTTTTCCTACTAGCTACTAACAATCGCCCTTTCGGCTTCGGGGGTTCAGATTTTTCTGAGATTGCAGTCCTATAATGGGTCGTGCAAAAGCATCTCCTTCTTTGTCTTCTTCTAATCCCTCAACAAAGTGCGCATACATGAGATGGGACACCATGATGATGTGGGCGAGCAGCCTAAAAACCGACGCTGAGATTCAAGCACGAGTAAAGCAGGTCCGCTCTGGTCATGCAGCAAATATTGTTATGAAGCAAGTGCTTGTTATTTTGAGTTGAAAGTACTGGTAATTTACTCGTTGAAAAGTTCGATGGATATGGATTACTGGAACAGGAAGGCTATTTGTGGGTAACGATGGTAAAAGCATACTCTTTGAAGATGAGTATCAAGTAGAGATCTAATTCTAATGATAATCAATCATGTGCGAATGACAACAGGTGCTGGAAAAGAAAAACTATAACTAGTAGTAGCACCGCTAAAATTCACCGCGGCTATCACGTTTGACGTTAGATAACTCAAGATATTCCATAGATACTCAGCTTCGTGTCTGTTCATCCCCTAGTAAAAATATGGAATCTACTTCTTTCTAATATCTTGTTTACGTCGGGCACGACAGGAAATCCGAAGGGCGTCATGCTTTCACACGACAATATTTGTGCAACATGTCGAGTCTTCCTTGCCACGATCGGTCGCAGCCAACTCAAGGCACCGCATCGAATCTTGAGCTACCTACCTCTGCCACACGTAGCAGGCTACTTCATCGATGTTGCGACGCCGGTCTTTTTGGTAACTTTCTAGTGCTTGATGTTCGTGATGATGAAACTAGGATATAATGGAGATAGGATAAGTAGATGAAAGTGGATTAATCAATCGCTAGTAAGGATATAAGTGCAACATTTTTCCAGATATGATACATCACTAATGGCGTCATTTGCTAGTTCCAACGAGGGACTCTCTCAACGCTACATCGGGTACATGATTGATGTTCTCTACTCTCCACAACCACACCAGGAGTAAACCTACCAGTAGTAAACAGATTCATGGAGTACCATCCGCTGAAATCCATTTTCAAACTTTAAAGGGCGCCGAAGGAGACAGTACGGCCGTCTATTTTGCCAGGCCATACGATCTCAGAGACGGCACGTTCGGAGCGCGACTGGCCTATGCCAGACCGACACTTTTTGTCGGTGTCCCACGTGTATACGAAAAAATAGCCGAAAAACTCAAGGCAATAGCAGCAACGGTGCACGGACCCATGAAAACGGTATCTGTTCCTATTCATGTTTGGTGATGATATATAGTTTCTTACTATCAGAACTAGAGCACATGCGGAATCGCACAGGCAAGATGAAGCCGCGAGGGCTCGAAGGTGGGCTTTTGGAGGCCTTCCCGCCTGGCAGTCCCTCGAGAAAAAGGGCCCGGGGCTGGTGGAGGTCCCCCTCGGGCATCGCGGGGGGCCTTCAGCCCTGAGCCCTGGAACGTATATGCAATCCCTGAAGATGATGGAGGATCGATTCGACGTGAAGGATCCACAACCTAACCTGAAACATCGTACTCATCAGATATCAACATGGGCAAAGGCCAAGAACCTAGAGCACATGAGGAATCGGCAGTATGGCGGGACTGGGGAGTATCCTGCGAATTTTGGTCCGGCAAACTTCGTCATGGGCAAAGTTCGGGCAAAGCTAGGTCTAGACAAGGCACAGGTCTTAGTTTCCGGTGCAGCCCCGATAACGCTCGAAACACTCGAATATTTCGGGAGTCTAGGTAATATTAGAAAGAGGACTTCTATTAGTTTCCGGAGTCTAGGCCAACACTTGTATGCTTACGAGAGCTACGCCAACCCTTGATAGTCTATCGATCGGTCTTTTTGCTCTTGTTTAATGAAGGTGCAGGAAGGCTGAATGACCTCAATGCCGTCAGTTAGAATTTATTATGGGCCACGATAGTTTGGAAACAACTTTTAAGTTTGGAAACAAAACAAGAAAAAATCCATCGCAGGTTTACAAATAGTGGAGACCTACGGCATGTCAGAAAGTAGTGGTCCGACAACGACGAATACGCCTCAGACAGTGAAATGGGGGTCCATCGGATTCGCAACTCTTGTTATGAAAACCTCTGTTCCTAACCTAACCCATGATTATTAACCGATGATCATCTGAGAAAAACCTTTGATTTCTTAGAGTAGAAGAAGTCTTCTTCTTTATGTTCAAGTAGAGAAGTGCGTGCGATTTCTTAGAGTCCTCAACTTAACTACTACGCTTGATGTCTAAGTCTAAGAACTACTAAATTTGTCATTTGATTTCTTACTCTTTGTAAGAGCTGAATTTGAATTTTTGGGATAGAAGTTGTACTCTGACCACGCTGTTGACGAAGAAGTGGAATGATGAACCACATGCACAACTCAAGGCTCTTTAATGGCCTCGAACGCTCGCCGCCTCATAGGTGAGCCACAGTAACCTAACCTGGCCTAACCTAACCAAACCTAACTCCCACGGTGAAGATCTCAGGACGAACCACATCCCTCAGAACCACATCGCTGTCCTTCATATTCGGCTTCGAGGTGAAGGTGGTGAACACTATGGAGATGAAAGCCAAGGGGTTCCAGCCAGTGCCGGCGTGCAAAGACATGATGGCATTAAGGCTACCGCTAGAGCATCCCCTCAATACCATGATCCTTGGTTCTGCTTTTTCTAGTGGAAAAAGAAGCCAAGGATGCTCTCAGGGATGCGAATGCGGTAGCTCTAATGGCACCGACGGAAGCGGAACAAGGCGAGCTCTGTTTTCGAGGAAGAAATATCATGATGGGCTATCTAGCAAATCCAGATTTGGGCTCAGACCACGTAGACTTATGGAGCTCATGAATCGGAAGTAGGCGAAGGTGCTAACACAGTGGCTAGAGTAGAGAACAACTACAATGGGAAGGTTCTCACACATCAATGGCTAGAGTAGAGAACAACAGTGGGAAGGTTCTAACGATCTAATGAATGTGTCTAAGTGAAAGTATTGCTGTACAAATACGCTAGTCATTGTTGATGTTCTAATGCAAGAGGTAAAAAAGAAAAACGAGGAAACATTCGCTCCTGGTGGCTGGATCATGAGCGGAGACAAGGCCTGCATGGATAAGAATGGTATGAAATTTGAAAAAAAAGGTTTTCGCATAAGCATTTGGATAAAATGGTTTTGCTTCTTTTGCTTTCAATATTTCATTGACCCCATCCCTCCTTTCCTCTCGTCGAACTTATCCCTCCTTTCCTCTCGTCGAACTTATCCCTCCTTTCCTCTCGTCGAACTTATCGCCCCTACCACTATAGCATAGATACCTACTTGACAGCATACACATCTAGTGTCATCACCCTCCCCCTACCACTATAGCATAGATACCTACTTGACAGCACACACATCTGGTGTCATCACCCCTTCAGGCTTTTTCCGCATTACTGGTCGTTACAAAGAGCTGATCATCACGGCAGGAGGGGAGAATGTCGCTCCTGTACCGATTGAGGACTGGATAAAGAGCAATTATACAGCCATTAGCAACTGCATGATGGTAGGGGACAAGAAGAAATACAACGTCGTTCTAGTCACGCTCAAGACCAAAGGCGCTACTGGTATCGCCTAAGAAGTATTTGATGATTCTTCAGGTGCGAAGCTTCAGCTTGCTTTACTAGTCGGTGAAGAGCTTGTTGCGTTGATGTCGATCTTTTTCAACTGTTTTGTTTATATTGAAAGTCAGATCTTATTCGAAGTACGCAGTAGTTGCTGCTTGAGATAATGACAGGTGCAGCACTAACAAGAAAACATTTCCACACAACCTTCAGGGGAGCTTCCCGGCAGCGACGAATTGGATGGTGAGGCTTTGAAGATCGCACCAGGCGTGACCTCGCTAAAAGCTGCTATCTTTATGGCTCCTCCAGACAGACATCTTTGCTAATCATCATAGAGGACAATGATGAATGGGCTGTTGGACGACACGCGGCGCCTAGAATAGACGGATCCTACTTAGCTTGGCCAATACTATAATTCTGTACTCGTATAGCCTTTACCTAACCTTACCTTTTTCCTAGTTAGCTTGGCTCCACCCGTATTATCGAGGACAATGATGAATCATCATAGTGTAACCATATTAAGAGCATAATCATCATAGAGGACAATGATGGGAAATACAACACGAACTTCTACTAGAACTTCTATTTCTAACATGGCGGATCCCCGAGTGCAGGCCTACGTGAAAAAGGCAGTGGAAGATGTGAACAAGCAACATGGAGTGGTCATATCCAACGCCTGCCGAGTCGTGGATTTCCGTATTCTGCCTCGCGACTTCAGCGTCCAGACCGAAGAGTTCACGCCAACCCTAAAGTTAAGAATTGTTTATAGTACCTTATCATATTATTTATCATATTTTTTATACCAGCTAGTATAAGATACCGAGTAGTATACTGCTCATCCTTCAGCGCAGGAGCATACCTGAAAAGTAAGACGAGGCACTTTTCCTTTCAAGTAGGTGGATCTTGCAGCTGAGAGGTCTCAATTCTGGGCAGGACTCTAATGAAGTTAAAACGCTCCGTGGCGATGAAGATCTGGCAAGAAGTGGTAGACCAGATGTATCCGGCCGCATAGACGGTGGACTTGGTGGCAATGTATCCCGCTGCGTAGAAGGTGAACTCGGTTAAGGGGTCGCGTGGTAAGGAAGAACACACGAATATTTCTATAGTGCAAGCACGTCTTGGTACCTGTATCATCCATGACGTCGAGAGTAAGACCTGTACTAGGCGTGCTTGTTTCCTTTATACCATTATTTTTTGATGACTGTGACTTTTCATATTAAGTGCTGAAGAATAGTGAAATAGACTTGCTAATATCGCTTCTAAAAGTGAAAGTAAACGCTTCTAAATGAGACCACCGGAGAAATGAAAATATATCTGGTAGACGATTAGTATGGAGTAAGAAGTTACAGAAGTACAACTATAGGCGACTGGATTACAACACAGCGCAGTTATCGTCCACAACAAGTAGGTATCCCTAAGCAGGTAATCGCGGTATTCTTCCCACTGCTGAGCTTGACGAGGTCACCTCAACAGCTCAGCAGCAGATTGGACTCTTTACGTCTGGGTAGCTCTTCATGACACCAAGCTTTTGTTCCTTGATCATTTTCCGACTTTTTAAGAGTGATACAGAGTTCTTCTTACTTGTCATGCGAATAAACGCCAACAGTAGAAGCTCCAGCACATCGCATTTGATGATAACATCAAAATGTGCATAGATTTCCTCTGTCGAATCATATTATACTACATGTTGAGAGCCATTCTAACGCATAGACACTCTCTCAACCAATCTTCTCTTCCTCGTTCTCTCTCTCTTTGCTTCGTTTCTCTCGCACTTAATATCTCACGCTTTTTACTACGTCATTCTAGTAACGCATATTAATTTTCCAGGAGTATGGCATGGTCACGAGCCATCTCATAATTACAAGTTCAAGTTCTTTCCGTTTCCCTGTGAGGAAGTCAGATGAAGTTTTCTTTTGTAATTATTCAGAATCTTCGCAGGATTAGAACTCCATACAAGTACTCGCTTCTGTAATTATTACTCTTATCGTTGACCTCTACAAGAGAAAAGTCATCATAGATATCGACGTGAGTTCCAACGATTGGGTGGGGGGTTTAACAAGTTGAACATACAACCAGATGAAATAGAAATTGTAAGAAAAAACGACGCAGCAGGGTGACATAGGGTTAATAGTTCCGCGGCCATCTTTGTGACACAATGTGACGGAATTACCTTGTCTCCGATGTCGAAGGTAGAAGATGACCACGAGAGACGCGCGACGATGAACAGAATAGAAGGTTTCGCTCAGCCTATATTTTAGGACTCAAGTAATCAGCGCATAGAAATAGAGAGGAAAAGGTCCCCCTGCTGGTGCGTTGACTTTTAGTCGAGAAACTTGTAATGTCATGTCATATGAAAGTGGGGTATTGGAAGGTGCTGTCCATGCGGCATAAATGTAGTCGTTCTACTCCGATATTCTATCTCGCTCTCCATCGAATAGAGGCTTAGAACAGAATGCAAGCTCGCCAAAGCGCGTGGTGGCGCGGCCGTGGGGTAGCCTGGCGCCGAATCAGCTCTAGTCGATATCATGGAGGCACTCTTATGGGTAAAGTTGATTGCCTCCGATTAGTGTATGCTGCCTCAGGATTGTTCGCTGGTAGATGACAACTCTCTTTCTCACTTGCTCTCTCTAAGTAGCCTTAACACTTCTGGTACTTGAATCTCACGCTTTACACGTTATTGAAATCGCTTACTAATAGGAGACAAGAAAACCTGAACCCACGTACACCGACCACGATTTCTACATCGCAGGGTTCTTACCCATCTCTAAAAAAGTGGAGCGTGTGCATAGTCGCAGTTATGGCACTGTGGCACCATCTCAGAGTGCAGCAAGAACCGTTAATCCGATTCGGCGACTCATAGAACGCACGAATGTTGCCCCAAATCCAGAGTTGGACGTACTGTGTTTTAGGATGTTGACTCAACAGGAGTCATAATATCATGAGTTGCTATTATTTTATAGGTGAAGGAACCAACATGATGATGCAGATGATCCCCTTTTCAGAAGAAGAAGTTCTTGGTGTAATAAAATCAATCAATCAAATCCAAATCGTATCTACCCTCTGAAGCATCAATATGAGCCTGATCCAGGTCATTCCGTTATCGATAGGAGATCCAACGCACTTCGGAAATTTCCACGCACCTTCCACTCTTCCGGCGAAAATGACTGAACTTTTGCAAGCCGAAAAGTTATGCCTCATACAGTTGAAAAATGTTGATCACCTCCTTCAAAAACAACTAGAGCACCAGCTACGTATACTTACAACAATTCTACGTGCTATATTAAATTCGTTGAAAAATGTTGATCATCTTCAAAATCAAAAAGAACATCAACTACGTATACTTATAACAACTTCGATCGAAGTTCTACTACGTATATATAAGAAGCTGAAACATCTAAGACCCTCCAACGGGTATGGGCACTCATCGGGGCTGCTATCGGCCCGTGAGAGCGTGGCTCGGCGTTTTTCAGGGCAGAGCAAATTCCCGCTAGCACCGGACGACGTGATCATGGCCAGCGGTTGCAGTCACGCCTTGGATCTCGCGATGCAAGTATTGGCTGACCCGGAGGTACAACTTTTTAATTTCAGTAAGCACTTTTTTTACCACTTGTTCATCGATCAGAATATAACTAGTACACAACAACACGACAAGAACATCTTGATGTTATTGCTACACAACCACGACAGAAACACAATATTCTATTGCCCCGACCCGGATTTTCGTTGTACGAAACGCTAGCATCCTCAAGGGGTATCGCCACGAAGTACTACCTTAAGGCTACCGCTGAAGCATGTCCTTAACTACTATGTCGTAGTTAAGGGGAAAAAGAACTCAAGGAATATGTCGTAGTTAATAGCATTACTCTCAAAGAAATCCACAGCGTCACTCTCACTCTTGGCACCTTTTCAAGGGGAAAAAGAAGTGTCCAAGTAAAATGCTCGCAAGGAACAAGTAGATGCGAAAGTCTCTAACTACCGTTTGGACCCAGACCGGCAATGGGAAATCGATCTAACCGATTTAGAATCGAAGATAGACGAGAACACAGCAGCTATTTTGATCAATTCGCCGAGCAATCCCTGCGGTAGCGTTTTCTCACGAGAACACCTCAACGACATCGTGCGGATAGCGGAGAAGCATAAGAAACCGATCATAGCTGACGAAATCTATGCCAACATGGCTTTCGATTTAAGAAATGTCGATATTATTGTTTCACCCACATCATGATAGGTAATGATGCCCTTAAGGCAGTCTGCGCTGAACTTTGTGCGAGGTTAATTGTATGATAGGTAAGAGCACAACTTCTGCAGTCCCAGTTATGGAAATGAACACTTTCTTGAATCTACCTTGGCCTGTCCCGGTCTGTGAAATGTTTGTAGTCTACCTTATGTCTTCCTGATATGCCTTTTATAATCACTCCCGCGAGAAACGTGTTGCTGAATGAAGTAAGCGAACGCGTGCCATTCTTGGCTACCGGTGGACTGGCCAAGCAGTACATGATCCCAGGTTGGCGAGTGGGTTGGTGTTAAGGAAGGTTCTTGGAAGCATATCCTCTAATAAATTATATTGGTTGTTCTTTTAAGTAGTGTTCATAGGCAGGATTCGTAGAACTCAAAAAAGATTCAGGGAAGTCGTAGGTCCAATCCGAATCGACTAACATCATTAGGCAGGATAGATAGGCCATCCAAGTGAGAGAGAGTCAACATAGATATGCAAGATAGAAAGGGAGAGGTCATCAACCTGCAAGTCCTAATGATGCCTAGTGCACGATCGAGGTGGCGCTTTCGACAAAGTCCGAGGAGCATTGCAAGACTTGTCCACGCTTCTGCTAGGACCAAGCACACTACAGCAGGCGGCGGTGCCGCACTTGTTGGACGAAACGCCGCCTCAATATTACGCCGACGTGATGGCACAGCTGAAGGGGAACGCAGACGTCATTATCAATATTCTAGGGAGCGAAGAAGAGGAGCTCGGGATACGCGTAATCAAGCCGCAGGGCGCGATGTACGTCCTCCTACAAGTGGACGTGGATGTTGCAGCTTTACATCCTGACCGCCCAGTGGACGACGTGGAATGGTGCAAGGATCTGCTCGCATCCGAGTTTATGGTCAAAACGCAAGAATGATGAAGTGGACTTTTTTTTCGAAGTGGACAAGGGGATGAAAGGTACCAAATGCCCTTTCTCCATAGAATACTCACAAGAAGCAAAAAAGCTGAGAGTAGGCGTAGGGTTCCACGAGGAATGAAAGTGCCCTGCCTCTGGTGACAAGAGGAGGGAGCCAACATCACACGAATAGATAGTGATATACTTATTCTTATTGCAGCAAGATAAATTAGGTGCTATCATACAGGCCTGTTCTGTATTCATTCTATTTCTAAAACGGTAAACTCATTCTCGTATTTGTTCCCGGCGATTATCTCAAGCTTACCAGTTTATCACAAAAACTCTGCTCTAATGAGGCAGTATTCGCCTTGCCTGGTCAGGTGTTTGGAGCTGATGGATTCATACGGATTGTTACGTCGCCGCCGAAGGCTAAGCTAGAGGAAGCCTGCGCTCGCATCAAGCGCTTCTGCCGCAAACGTCGTGAAAGCCGCATGAACTGAGTTGAGGTGGTGTACGTACTTACTGTGGTCGGCCCCACACGAATAAAGTGCCTCTTATATGGCGGAAAAGTGGCGGATAAAGTGTCGTGAAACATCAGTATTGTGTCTGCTAATCGGCGAAAAAGGCGAGGATAGCGTTAGCGAGAAACAACTGTCGTTAAAATAAAACAATTATTTGAATGTTGCGCGCTTCGAGGACTACGACATTGTTATTTTTCACAAATACAGTAGATTCAGTGTTCTTAGTTATCGAGATACAGATACGCGACACATCGAAGATGCCTTTGACAGATTGGCAAGTATTCCCTTTTCAACGCGGACTATACGAAAAAGTTCTGAGTAGTCAAATTGTACAGATGCGTGTAGAAAGACAACTACAGCAAGTAGTACATAGTACGACCTAGATGAACGTGTTGCTCCACCCAAAAAGAATTCGATGAAGACACTACCACTACTGCTATTAACTGATCCATATTACTTGCTTGTCTGCATTCATAGAGCAGCAGCCTGACGTGTAGAAAAGGATTCCGAAGAGATTCATCTGCACCGACAGATGTAAAACGTTGATAAGTGCGGTCCTGGAATTTTTTAATTCAAACCGACTGCTTCTATCAACATATCCGAGTAAAAAACCTTGGAAATGCGCAAGTGTTTCAGAGTGTGTTGTGGTCCGTTCGTTCTGCCTTCGAAAGTGTCTTTCTATCTCGGTGATCAGCGGCATCTTTCATCGTGAGTAGCAGAGGTTTGAGCGAACCATTTGGTACCAAAATTGATTCACGTACCCACGAATTGCGTCCTGAATCCTCCTGAGAGCATAAAAACCCTGTTTTAGTTTCCTTTTTATCCCGCCTACCAAGCATACTTTATTCTATATTTTGTCACTACCTAGACAAGGCGCCCAACCAGCCACACATGAGCAGCTCGCTTTCAGAATCTGCGAATCTTTAACCTCGAGCTACAGGCTAAAAAATGTGCTCGTTTCTGCTAACTTCATGGATGCTCCAAAACTTAGCATGGATCAACTTTTTCATGCAGCGTCGGGGACCTGACGCCACATCGGTCGTGGAACTCCCACAATTAAGGCTACCGATGAAGCAGCCTCAGCTCCATCCTTGGCCTCTTTTTCAAGGGAAGAAAGGGCTCAGGGATGGGCTCAGGGATCCGTCGCGGTAGCTCTAAGACAAGGCTTTCGCACGGTTCACAACCTGTTGTCGCTCACAGGAGCTGTCAAGACCCTACAGCCGTTTCTCAAGGTGGAGTCATCTACTGGCCGTAGTTCCCGCCCGAGAAGCACGCAGACACATCATGAAGTGGAGCTTGCAAGATCATCATCCAGAAGGGAGAGTGGCGAGAGGCGCACAGAGAGCGCTTTCGCAAGTGTACAGGAGGTGCTGAGTTCGCTGCGCTCATCTACATCTAGTACTGATCTCGATGTGCCGACTGAGGACTCGTCACGCGACCGTGCCAAGATGAAACTCGAGGTGCCGACTGAGGACTCGTCACGCGACCGTGCCAAGATCATCTCTGTCAAAGAATATAGCGTGAGCAATGATGGCAATACGTACTCTGAGGTGCACTCCGATGCACTCCGTACAACTGCAATCGAAGATACAACACGTGTCTCAGCGGTGGCGTTGTTCAATTATGGAGGATTAATTGCATGGTTCTGGTATTTGGTAACCTGAGTTTGATCCTAAGGGTTCTCTTCTTGTTTTCTCTTAGGATCAAACTCAGGCTACCAAATACCAGAACCATTCCTTAATATTAAGAGTATCTCAATCTCTGTGTTATGGACAATTGTTGGATCTCGATCTACTCGTCGTCGTCGTCTGTATCTATTGAATAGTAAACTAGAATTTGTTTATGTTTTCAAAGACGCACTCTTTACTCTAGGTATACAAAAAAAAAACACAACACTCAATCATAGGAATTGGGACGTCCTTTCTCTTCTTGTAGCTCATCTAATATTGTGGCGAGATCTACAACTACCAAGAGCTGATACGCGATGAGAAGCTTGAAGATACAAGAGCGAGCGACGGCCAAGTGATACTTCCGCTGTATGAGCGGTATGGTGTATGACCCGTGATCTTCAATAATTCAAGGTCAATTCAACAAGCACTTGAATCCTTCTTTGGTTTCATGAAAATTGAAATTTATGGGTTGTAAAACTAAAAAATAACGCTACATATGATGAAGTAGTACTCAATCTGAAACTGAAATCACGACCCACGCAGACAATCTATCACAAAACGAAAATTCTTTATATTTTTCATAATCATCGAACTTCGTGAAACGGCTTGACGGCGAATTTGCTATTGCTGTGCTAGACTACGAGAAAGACGAAGCGATTCTCGCTACCGACACGCTTGGAACGAAGCCCTTGTTTTACGCAACCTGTGTCGAACTGCATCTTGGCTCTGCGGAACTACCTACCCTGCACGTCGCAACCTACGAGACTGCACTTGAAAGGCTGATAGAAGAGGAGCGCGAAAGACGCAAGGGGAACAACGGCGAGCCGTTCGAATGTGGGATTGAACGCGTGCCTCCTAATGCTATTCTGCGCCTCCGGCTGACAGAAGTTGCAGAAGTGAATCCGGTATCAGCTTTAACTAGCTTCAAAACCGAAAGGACTACCCTGTTTGAATTCGACTTGTGGCAGTGGAAAAAGCAGACGTTTGATTTCGAAGCAGCTTTCCGGAAGGCTGTAGAGATATGGATTTGATGTAGTTTTTCCTCCCATCTTTAACAGACCACGATCAAGACTGACCCTTTTCCCCTTGAAAGTGTATAGGTCAAAGGGGAGCCTCGATGGTCTGCCTCTAGAGGGGAGAAAAAACGCCATTCATAAGAGAAACGCATCCGCTACATCAAGTTCGACCAAGGGAAAAGCGTCATTCTAGGTCTCTCCTCCGGCTACGAGTATGACAGGGTCGTCACTACCACTAGTTACAGGGTCACTAGCTATAGTACGAAGAGATTGAGATTGTTGAGATACTTCCTCTACTAGATTTTCGCATTGCAATAGCATAAACTAGATTTTCGCATTGCATTAGCAAATAAGTACAAAAAAATGAACATAGATAAAATGAACCTAGATTGATAGGTACTAGAAGAGAGTGGAGTAGTACGTCAAACGCCACACCCACAGGATTCTAACTTTCATCTTCTCAGTCGTTCAAACATAGCTATGATCAATGACTCCGCGTCAGCCAACAGGCGCGACGAGGTAATACTTGGAGGTGGAGTAGGTCCTTATCATTGTTTCTCGATGGATTGGTTTATCTTTATCATTGTCTCTCCTCCATCCATTTTTCTCTTCCTCCTCTTGTCCTCTTCTGGTATTCATTGTGCCAGTGGGCTCGTACATCTGGCCTTGTGTCTTGAAGGCGCTGGCGCGATCGCAGCCTACAGCGTTGCAGCGAAGGAAAATATGAATCGCATTCTAGAGCGTCTACAGCGATGCCAAGAAATTCGCAGAGGTGTACCACAAACCTCCTCGTCTGCACAACCTATGCTGGAAACGACATTCACTGAAGACCCCGAGCAGACCGAGTCAACCTCTTCTACGAGAGCGTCATCAAAGCAAGAGAGATCCTTGGCATCTTCAAGTACACCTCAATTTCCAGATGCTGAAGATACAGGACATTTGCTCTTCCTAGAGCAGGATGAATTGGAAATGGAGCATGCGTATCTTCGCCGATTTGCAGAACCTTTTCAGTATACACGAGCTGCAGGGGGAGTACCTTACACTAGGGCATGAAAAAGATAATATTATACATAGATCAGGTAGAAGAAGTTCCTCAGAAGTCCCTCATTCATAAAAAGGACAAAAGTGGACTCAATTAGCTAGAGTTAAAGGGTAGTTTGTTGCAGTGCGGTAGGGAGGACTTCGCACTTATTATTTTCCCAAGATTGATTCTTTGTAAATGTATGATCCACGAAAATCCTTGCTTCTTCATTGAGTAAGTCTACGATGATCCTGCTGCTCGCGGAAGCAGTTTTGTCTTCCGCAAAGCAACGCGTGAAAAGAAGCATCGCATCAACCTCTCTGGGGCTGGCGGAGATGAGCTGATGGGAGGCAACTACGGCTTCCTGGGACAACGACCCTACACACCTGCAAGTGCTTCCTCTGAAGGGCCTCCGTCTACACCACAGCCGCTCACGTATACGTGGAGCAGCGCAACTCCGACAAGAAGAGTGAGAGGTGTAGTTGTTTATGGCTAATAGTGATAGATACTAATGATCCATTTCATCTTCTACGGATGATAGACTAGTTGTAGAGATGCGTAGGTAGTTGATGTGTGCCTTCTAACTATTGCACGCATGGAGCAAAACACAAACAGGAGCAGTTTCTATTTTAGAACAACCAAAATTAGGATTACCACCTCAAGGATCTTCTGTTGAGTCTCCGCATCAACAGTCCGCCGACTACGTGCCAACTGCGCGTGACCACCTGTGGCGCTTGAAGGCGATTCTCTACGCTTGGTGGAAAACAGCTCAAAAAGAAGCACGCAATGGCAACGCCAAGCCTGCACAGATATTCACAACAAATGGAATTTTAAACGGACGCTCATCTACAGCGAGTCCAGATTCTATTGCGGTAGGTCGCGAACGAGAAGACAGCACATCAATCACGACAAGAATTCTTAGTCCTACAGCTTTAGGTTCTGGCGGTAATCTCGTCGTGAGTGAGATCGTGCCACGTAATACTACGTCATGGGCCATTTTTTCGGCAACGATGCAAAAGCTGATTTACTCCGTCTTGCCGAAAGTGGAACGGACCCTTTTAGCAGCGACAGACTCCGATTTTTGGCCATCCTTTTGGACATTGTTTTTATGGCTTAACGTTCTTGCAGTTGCTCTTGCCATTGGGTGTAGAATCAATATTTTTAAACATATTGAATGAAACTCTCTCTCATCACTCACTTTAAATTTTCACAGTATCCGTCTCTCTGTTGAGCAGAATTAGTAGTTGGACAGAGACAATTCATCGAGTTCTCAGAAGAATGTATAGGTACAATTTCACTTGTTCTTGAGAAGGCGAAATTTCAAAATGTAAAATATTGAGGCCTCGTCTCAAAAAATAATTCTCGAAAATTCATCAGACTCTAAGATTTTGGCAATTGATACCTGCTTTTCCTACGCCAGCAGCTGTCGGGATGGAAGTGCATACATTAGACAGTCTCGTCTCTGTACCCTGGCCCAGCGATGGCGGTTCTCGTCAACATCATGGAAGTAGTAGTTCTCATTCGACGAAATCATCTCGAAGTTTTAGTTCATCTTCGGCAACCTCAACAGCTTCCGCGCAGTTAAGAGAACCCACGCCGCATCCTGAACATGATCGTTGGCGTCCTTTTCAAAGAGAAAAAGCGCTCAAGGATGGTCTCAGGGATGGTGCGACGAGGTAGCTCTCTAACACAGCAAAGAACCAAACAGCTCTTTCTCGAGCACTTCTTTGCTTCCAGCAGAGAGCTTGCAGTGAAAGATGAAGGGATTGCAGTGCAAAATGAGGAAGTTGCAAGTAGCGGAAGTAGTAACACGAGAGAACAAGGAGATGTTCGAGATCAACAAGGTACTAGAGGACGAAAGCTAGTTACTGTAGAAAAACCAACCACGGTGGTACAGATGAAGACAACAGGAATGATCAAAGAAGGAGAGCAACGCCAGCACTTAAAAATAGAGCAAGAAGAGGAACCTTCTTTAACACTTTCATCTGGTGAGAGCAGTAACACGTCACAAGCAGTAGTGACGTTCATAAATCATGTGACGGATATGCTACTACGGGAAGAACAGGAATCATCGACCACTTTCGTTGAAGGAACGAACAACGTTGACGCAACGAACAACTTTGAGGCAACGAACAACGTTGACGCAACGGTAGAGTTCGAACAGCGCAAGGTAGGTCCCCGAGGCACGCTGGGTTACCTTTTTCCCTGGTAAGGCTACTTTCTCTAGCGGTTTTGAACCTCGTTATCACATCTCAATTTTCCTGTGTCAATTAAAGTTTACTAAGTTACCTCGTGTAGAACAAAACTGCTATTTACTTACTATTGTCATGCCCTCCCTCAGGATTACAAATACTGAAGAAGAAGATTCATTGCTAGAAACAAAGAATCCTCATCCTGTAGAAGAAATATCGTGGCTAAGAACAAGTTGTGAGTCACTGAATGTATAAAGCCCTAATCCTAGCTGAACTTTTTTGAAGGGAAGATGCGTGACTTTTTGATGAAAGAGGAGATGATCGCAGGTGCGCATGGAGTGGAGACTCGTTATCCCTTCCTGGACCCGATGTTAGTCCAAGAATTCCTTTGGCTCTCCGCTGACCTGAAAAACAGCATTTATAAGCGGCCCTTGTTGGACATGCTGCAACGATATGCTTACCCTTTATTAAGGCTCGGTTAGGGTTATTCCGGTTCGAGATAATTATTGATTACTAGACTAAATCGCTGCTGTCTTACCTCTGTCGTCGGTTTTGATTTTGTGACACCTCAAATTTTCATCATATACATATTGCGAGCTCTAATTTTGGAGCTGGGTAAGCAGGGCTTTTCGGCGCACGTGGTCACGGCAGCTGGAGATAAAGTAAAGAAAGTCTGTGCTGCCTGCATCAACACGAGGAGAAAAAAGCGAACCGGTACCCGGCTAGCGAAGACCTCGAAGAACACGTATCCTAGTACCACTCGCGCTCCAGGCGCCGGCTATCTGGGAACAGCCCACTTCGGACGCTTTCAAAATTCGTCTTCTGCGTGTCCACTTCCCCATTTGGAGTGCCATGAGTCGACGATCTAGTTCTTCAGTGTGAAACTTTCTGATAAAACTGTATCTGTAGGAGAAAGAGGTACACCAACAACGTTGACCTTGCTAAGGTAGGAGAAGATGTTGAACTGTATCTGTAGGAGAAAATGTTGACTTTGTTGACCTTGACTTTGATGTTATGAGCTTGACTCTACGCAAGAAGGAGGACCAATTTGACCATCCGACCACTGAAGAAATGGATCTGGCAACAAGTGAAACTCGGTTCAAGAAGAAAGATCTGAGAGAGAGAGAGAGATCGTATAGAGAGAGACAGTTCCTATTGATAAATTATAATATGGACGCACTCGTCGCACATGATGTTATCTTGTTATCTAAGAATGACATTCTTAATGGAGATCAGGTGTACTAGTACTATAGAAAATAGCAAGAGCAGGCATCTTCTGGCCGCATAGCTTGCTGTGTAGAACATTTAGAACGTCTTCTTCTCCTGTAAGATATTGTAGTACATCACGGAACGAGCCAACACGTAAGCTAGAATCTTGAATGAGCTAGTATCTTGAACGTGGTGCGTGAGAGGACTTTTCTAGAACACGGAATCGAATATGCAAGATTTATCTCTCAGCACTATCAGTCAGCACTGCTTTTTCATACTCCCGCATTGTGCCATCTGATTCGCTCAGTTCCTACCACTGCTGCCATCACACTACTGCCACTCGCTCCTACGAATTATCACCTGGGTCTCCACTATTCCTAACTCAAACTCTACAAGAAGGAAAAGAAAGAGCAAGAAGATGATCCAGTTTGCTCGTCTGCTTGCTTTGTTAGAAGAGCAAGTCTGGAATGTCGGAGATGGTTTAGGTTGCAGTGATAATTTTCGACTTCGAGCCTTGCCATGGTTGCACTATCATGAACCAGCTGAAGTAGACGGGCATCGAGGCACTTCTCCTGACGAGGAAGAATTCCGAGAAAGCACAACCAGCAACAGAGGACAAGCATCGTCATCTTCACCTCGTCCCGTCTCATCTTCGCAGAATAGGAATCATGATCATGAGGTAGAAGAGGCGCTTGCTTCAGACGTCGAGATTGTGGACGATCCGGTCTCTTCAAATAAGCAGCCTGAAGATGTGGAAGCACTGTGGGAGCAGGAATGGGCACAGGTTTCTGTCTCTAGGATGCCTGCTATCACGTCCGGCAGATTGACTCCTCTCAGACAGTTTGTGAAAGAAATGAAGCCTGCAGTGGAGCAAAGTGTTCGTTCCATCCTTCGACGGAGACAACAAGCACAAAAGCACAGGCAGCTAGCGAGTTCGCGTAGAACGGATGCCAGCGGACAGACGGCCGAAAGTAAAAAAGACGACACTACAGTCAGTGGTCCCCAGCGCAGAGGGAATATCATCGGAGGTCAAGACAAATCGTCCAACAACAACAATCACGAATTCTGTGCTGAAATGCTAGCGGCGATTTTTCCACGCGTACAAGCCTACCCGACTTCGGGTATAACAGCGGCTTCGTCTTCGGATCTTCCAGGACCAGACGAGGTCTTGTGGCAACTGGTTTTGCAAGCTGATCATGATCCTCATGCTGAAATAAGTAAAAACGATTCTTATTATTTCGCAGATAGTCATAGCATTAAGGGTTGAAACAATTCATTTTTACAAGCCTTCTTGACTTGAGATTGCTACTAAAAAAAGAATTGCTTCAACCTTTAACATCAGTGGGAACGTTCGACAACGACAAAGCGGTCTGGAATGTCCGCAGGGCCTATTGGCCAGTTTGGCCGCGTGCATTGCGAGAGGTGACGAAGCCACTCTGAACCGGATGGACCTGGTCGTAAAAGCGCTGCAGAAACGTGTCATGTCGTCATCTGACGCTTTCTCTCATTATACCTCTCATGATGGCCAAGAGCGACGCCATGATCATAAGCGACGCCATGATCATATCATGTACAAGAACAAGAATGTCCACGTGAACAGGCATAAGACAAGAAGACGAGGAGCGGATTTTGCTGTGGGACAGAAGAACGATGGAGGAATATCCGCGACAGAGAACGATAGTAGTCGAGTGACGTCCGCGACTGCGGTGCTGGACTTCGTGCGTTTTGGGCTGGAGGACGTACGGATTTACGCTAAAATCTGTAGGCTCAGTATCGAGATTAGGTACCGTTGCAGGGGCTCTGCAGAACCATTGAATTTGTATTTCTACTTTTAAGAATACTTTCGTTCTCTGCAGGACTGCTATATATCCCCGCAAGAGCACATGCTATTGATTTTCTTGAATTCGTGTACTCAACAAGCACATATTCAATCTCGTTTGGTGTCAACGTGTGTGTAGGCATCTGTCTCTTAAATGTGATTCGCAGGGGTTTGTTTAGCTTCATACTCGCCCCGAACGAGTTCCGACATGTCAAGCACCCTTCTGGTTGTGGACTTGCCCACCGCACGTAATGCCACGCGAATAAGAGGAGACGTAGCATCGAAGCGCTCAGTTATGGTCTTTTTTTCCCCATCCTTGTCAGCATCTTGGTAACCTAATTACATTTGCCCTGTATTATTCCTATGAAGTATTTCAAGGGAAGAAAAGGGGACGAGCTGAGGGGATACCCATCATGGGAAGAGCCTGAGGACTCTAAGTCAGAAAGGAGTAAAAGTGACCTTGCGGATTTCGACTTGGATCTTCTTCTTGCCTGGACTGCACTCTTAACGCCACTCGAAATGCACCAGGTAGATCCACGATACCTCACGCTTCGCCATGGATCTGTCAGCGAATTTTGGTTCAATTAAGGCTTGTGGGAAAGCATCTTCAGAACAAGCATCCTAGAGCCTCACGCTGGCTCAGGATGACACTCAAGATGGATTCCGGAAAGGTCTAATTCAATCTAGGACAAAGAGTCGAACAAATTTCCTCTTTGTCGCCAGCTATTAGTGACTCTCCCACCGACAAGGATATCGTTGATGTCACTTTTAGTTTGAGTAGAAGTGGAAATAGTAGAAGTCCGAATATTCCATGGACTTGGGCTCCCCTTGGCCTCCCCGCATTGTCCAAGCGAGGTGCGGAGGCATTGCAGCGAAATTGCCCACCTGCCGCAGCGATTGCGTGCCCCATGGCGTTGCTGAAGCTGAGAGATGACAACGACTCAGACAATGACAACTCACAACCAAGCGCTTCCACATCAATTTCAGCGACATCTACTACTAGAGAGGGAAACGAAATTGACCAAAGTATCGACACCGTGCGACGGCTTATTCAGCGTTGCTGTAGTAGTACAATCCTACGAGCGGGTCCGGTTAATATCGATAAAGTCGCTTTCCAAACGGCTCCACCTCTCCCGATCGCAGAATACAGCAGTTACCAACAGCGCTATAAGTTGCCGCTCTCTGCTCTCCGTGAGCATACACATATTCTTCGCGAAGCACGACAGGAACTCCTAGATCTAGATCTCGATTCGAAGTCGCCGCTGTGGTTATGAAACAAAAAAGTGTACTCAACATGATCCTGCTCAAATAATCTATTGAAAACAGGGATTTCTTCTTCTTGGATAGAAGATAGATAATCATATTCAACAGATAGATAAATATGATTATCTATCTATCCAAGAAGGAGAAATCCCTGTTTTCAATAGATTTTTAGAGCCCTCTCCGGAACGCATCCTCAACGAAATGGAATACACAAACTGATGAAACTCTTTTCTTCTTGACAGTCTATAAATTGAGATTGAGTACGCTTTTCCTTGTCATGCGTCTCGCAGTTGTTTCACGTGCCCGACGAAAGCAAGCATATCTGCCGTGGCGGCGACCAGGGCTGCGATCATGCGCATACTCACTGCTATCCCTACGACGAGTTGATGCCAAGAATATTGTTCGACTGGCATATGGCGAACCGCCAGAAGAATCGTGGTCAGAGACGACAAACACTACCTGATGAACAGAACCCTTCGTTCCGCATGTTGAGTATGGCAGAGTTCTTTACATTTAGTCGTGTAGTACATGCTTCTTCTATTCTTCTAGCTGAATCAGGCAGTGGCCTATGTAACTAATATGCCTTTCTTTTAGATTTTCCCTTGAATATTCGCAAGCGAGGCATCCACGCACCTTTTCTTCATTCTCCCTATCGGTACATGTATGGGCGAGTCTTTGGCGGCAGCGGAACGGTACTTTTCCGATGCTGGTGTGACCCCCTTCATCGCTGGCCTAGACATATTCCCTCAGCTCGCGCGACGTTTCTTGTTCAGTTCCTTATGGGACGATAGTGGAATATTCTTTTACTGCCCGACTACTTCTACTGCTATCTAACTGGGGGTTGAATTCATTGCTGCTTTCCCGCGTACTACACCTTACAAAAATACTGTAACACTAATTTCAAGTGGATCCACCTTCGGTTGCTAGTCTCTGTCATGTCCTATGTTAATAGAAGTAACATAGTCATAGTCCATCCAGTTGTAGAACGTAAGTAGTACAACATGGATCATACATACATAGTTCTAACTTTCTTAGCGGAGCGTCATGCTTCTGTGTTTTCAGAGGTGAATCGATCGCGCATCCACTTGTTCGAGGGCAGTTCGATGAGTGCGCTTGACACGGCAAGCTTTCACAGTGAGCTCATTGGGAAAAGCACGACGTCGTTTCGAGACGTAGATGAACTTGGCTTCGACCTCATAATCGACGATGGTGCACACGGTGCTGAGGAAATACCCATGACGTTTAGACACGTCTTTTTGCGCCTCCTAAACTTAAGTGTACATACAAGAAATCCATCTTCACTGTCATCTTGGTCCCGTTTTTTATTAAAGGGAAAAGGAGGCCCAAGATGCTGCAGAAGATGGGCTCCCATTTGTTCTAAGAAACCCGGGAGGGTACTACATTATCGAGGACGCCCACGCGTTGTTCGCACTGCGATCCGGTGAAGGTGCGGCTGCCGCTGATTTCATCGATAACGTTTTTATGGTTGAAGAACTACAAAAATAGAGCATTGTCGTGCTTTCGTTCTTTCAGGAGACGTGACCGTCAAAGCGATGACTTTTCCCTTGCAGGCGGTTGATGCTGAATGATATCAAGGCTTAGAGACTTCGGCGTTCTGTTGGTGGATCAATGAATTTCAATTTTATTGAGAAATATTCACATTCTTTCATAGTATTAAGTAGTACAACTCTTCTCTTTCTGGGAAGCGAAGTGCTTTCTTGTTCCTCGTCTCTTTCATATCACTGCTGTCCGAAGGCGAGAGCGGGAGAGGGAAGCTGGCGGGGTTACCACTGCACATAGAACAGCCTGGAAGGGAAATGGCGCTGATGCGTACATTGGACCCTTATTTTGCGTGGATTGCCTCAGTAGAGTTCTTTGGTCAAACACTAATCGTCATCAGAAAACGGCGCGCTGTTTTGTAGAGACGATAATTCCTGCGTTTCGTGTCCTCCACGAAGCTTTAGCGAGGCTACTTCTAATAGGTCATTGGCGTAAAGGGAAATACACGCTCTATCGCATTATAATGTTCTTTGATTTTGTGTACTGCTGAGTCCGCGTCCCGCACGTTGAGAAAAATACGAAGAGTAAGACTTGAAGATGAAAAAAAGATGAGACTTGTCGTGAAGTGTCATCAAACACTTGGTATGCGCGTTCCAAGTCCCAACACGTGTAATCTATTCTCTCGGGTTAAAAAGTCACAGCCTACAACTTGTACAGGCTACAAGGAAGGAAGGAAGGTTTGCTTCGGGCGCACGTAAGGATCAGGAGGGAACAAGATCTATTTGAGGCGTACGTCACTACACGGGATCCGAGTCTGCCTCACGAAAATACTCGGTTACGAGAGTGCACCAGTGATTAATATGTCCACGTCGTCCTAGGGCCATACTCTAAGCTGATCTTGCACAAGAGCGGCAGGTATGAAGAAGCAATGGTAAGAGATAGCAATGCTTCTCCAGTCGTGCTAATCGAAAGCGTCGTCAAAGTCTATACCCCTCCCTTGTGAGAGCCCTGTTCCTATATTATAATAACAATTGAGTTCTTAATTAATGGACTCATTGAGAGTAAGTATTTTCAGATGATGTGAATTCCAGTTTTATTGCTTGTCGTTGAAAAACTAGCCTTTTTTCCTTGCTGCAGCTGTCATCATTCTGCTCTCTAACTTGCTTTTTCATACTGCTTTTAAACAAGCTGATCATTCTGCTCTCTAACTTGCTTTTTCATACTGCTTTTTTTGATCATTGTGCTTTCAAAAATTAGACTCACATATATACGAGTTTTGAAATTTTCGTCTAATTAAGCATCTTGCTACAAGGAAGATCTTTCGCAAGAGCAATCATTGCTCTCCGTTTCCTGCTCCAATGAAGAGCTGCAAAACTTCGATAACCACTAACTATGACGAGTGCTGCAGTTAACTCGCCAAAAGAAGTATGAGTGGTGCAAATGGCTCGGGTTCTTCGGGTCCGCCTTTGGGCGAACCTTTAGCTTCCCCGGTCGTCCTCCATGTGCATCAGGTGGAAAGCGCAGACTCTATCTTCGATGCACTCGAATCCCGCGACACAACTGCGACGCAAAGGAGCAAAGCAAGACCCTTCTCCTCTTCCTGGATAGCTACGGCGCAAGGACAACCACAACATGATGAGCATTGTGAGGAAGCTACTTCACGACAACAAGAAGAACATGGTGAAGGAACTGCGACGGCCGAGTCAGAGAACATCAGTGGTGCTCTTGATGTTAGTAACAACCATGTTCTTGGTGGACGGGATCGGGAAGCTGAGGCTGACGAAGTAGGCACCATGATCAGGAGGTCCAACATACAGCGACAAAAAGCATCAGCCACGCCTGTCGCTATCACGAGTACGCCAACAAGGCCCTTCTCCTCTTCCGAGAATAATCCGATTCCTGAGGTAGTTGAGCGTGTCCAGGTCGCAGTGCGAGTTCGGCCCCTGCTGCCACGGGAGGCTGGGAGTCGAGCCTGCGTAAGGTGTCCCCAGGGCAGCTCAACAACTGGAACCACCGGAGCTCTATCAACTTCAACTTCTTCTTCTACAACTGGAACACCTGCAGCACTTCCGGTATCCATAGGAGTTGCACATACGTTTTGGTACGACTTCTGTTTTGGCCCAGAGTGTAATAATGACGACGTTTATCGCAGTTGTTGTTATGGCTTCGGGACAATCCTTTCAAGTTGGTAGGGTCTAGCGTTTCAAATGAAGATCCTCTAGATGTTGTTTATCTTCATTCTAGCACTGTTCTCTCCGCTTCAACGCTTCTTTCAAATCCATCTTCAGAGGCAGCCTGAGCCGTCATAATATCGTGTTCCTCCTCAGACATAACCACTTGCTCCAAGAACTGGAAGCTGCGAAGACGCGCTTCCAGATGGATTTTTTAGGGGACTCTAATGTTGTGCAGGTTTGCTCCCAGGCTTGCTCCAGGGATGGAACGCCAGCGTCTTAGCTTATGGCCAGACCGGATCCGGAAAGACTTTCACTTTGGGTTCCTTCGCCCAAAACGTCCATGGCGCACTTGGAGATGCGTCCCAAGGCGTAATCCCGAAATTCGTCGACGCGCTCTTTAGAAAACTTGGTGAAAGAGATCATGGGCGGAGGGCCATGTCGACTAGTTGCATGCCGGATGTGGGCAAGGTTATGCTGGCCAAGAACATTGAGTGTCCATCTCTCCTAGCATCTCTTCGTCTTCCGTATCCTTGAATACAAGGGAAAAGGTGGTGAGATGGATCCAAACACACTCGAACAAGGTTGCACAATATCATGCAGGAGGAAGCACCATATCATGCAGCTTTCTTGAGCTGCATGCGGAAGAGTTGAAAGATTTGCTGCAAAGGCGCGACGCCCCTCCACTTGTCCTCCGAGAAGACAAAACAAATGGTCTTCTACTGCTAGAGACTTCGTTTTGGATTTTGACCTTGCCTTACATTTTTAAGCATCATTAAGTACTACATCGATCTTCTGTTTATTGATCATAACCAACATTATCTTTGCCACGAGCACGACTAGTTGTACTAAAAAAAAAGAGTAACTTGATCTTCTACTATTTGATCCTTGTTATATGGTCGCTCTACTTTAGTTTTTTGAAACTAGACTGACAATCGTACTCTGAACATCAGGCGTCGTTGTCCACGGCATGCGCGAGGTCGAGGTCAAGAGCTCCGCAGAACTCTTGCGCCTGCTCGAGCGCGGAGCAGTCTACCGCACTACGGGTGCTACGCTGATGAACGATTTTTCCTCTCGCTCGCATGCTTTACGGCTTCCCCTAGTCCATCTTCAGAGGCATTCTGCCGAGGCTTTCCAAAGGAGAAAGGGATCCCTGGTGGGAAAAAACATTTCAACGTCATGCAGTTGTGAGTTTAAGAGGCTTTCCAAAGGAGAAAGGGACCCAGGACGCACCGCAAGATGGATCGGGGCTTAGGGTTCTAAATGCAGTTTTCACCGTAACGATCGTTTTGGAACCCGAGTGGTCGTCGTCAAAAACTGCGCGTTTGCGTTTTGTCGACCTCGCAGGTTCGGAGCGCGCAAAAAAGACGGGGACTGTGGGAGACCGGTTTCGTGAAGGTGTGTGCATCAACCAAGGTCTGTTGGCCCTTGGCAATGTCATTTCGGCACTCGCTGGTGGTGCTACCAGCGTTGGAGACTCTAGTTTATGGCTGGAAAGAGCAGACCCTAAAAACTTACAGATGAGAGAACAAAACAGATAAACCAGGCAGCTTCTGGTTGAACGACATTAGTTGAACGACATTACAGTTGCCTGGTTTATCTGTTTGGTCCAAATGACATTAGTTGAACGACATTAGTTGAACGAGTTAGTTAATTGTTTGAAAGGGCGGTGGCATATAGTCCTAACGCAAAAAAAAACTCTACGGGTGCTATGAACAGTACTATCGGGGGCATACACATGACGAGGAGATGAAAAACGCTCTCGTCCTCAGAGGATTGACTCCTGGGAAGTTGCTTGTTGTAGCGGTCCTAACATGCTTCACTAGTCGATCCTTATACAGAGGTAATCCATATCTAACAACTGCGATAGCAGCAACGAGCAGCGTTGGGGGAGTGGGATCGTCGGAAGTGGCTGCAGCAGGTATTCTCGCAGCTTCATCCGGTGCGTGGCCCCAACATATTCCCTACCGCGACAGCAAGCTCACGAGGCTGCTCCAAGACTCTCTTGGGGGCAACAGTCGAACCGTACTGCTAGCCTGTGTTTCCCCAGCCGAAACGAACTTCGGTGAAAGTCTGAATACGCTCAAGTTTATGCTTCCGGTATATTTGGTAACCTGAATTTGATCATAAGGGAAAACAAGAAGAGAACCCTCATGATCGAACTCAGATTACCAAATACCAGAACCATACAAGGTGCTAAAAAGATAAGGGGGAAGAGATGAATGAGAGCACACTGACTCTAACAAGTATGCCAATCGAGCACGAAATATTCGAAACAAAGTGTATCAAAACTTCGTGACTACTCGACTAGGAGCCTTAGACGAACAAGGAGTCAGCGCAGAGGCTGGAGCCGAACTTGCGCGATTACGACGGCAGGTTCGAGACCTGGAGACGCTGCTCGCAACAAGACCTTCGGGAGACGCCGGTCGAGTTGCGGGACTGTCGTTTCAGCCAGGTAGCAGGATAGGAGTCAGCAGTAACTCTGACGGACAAGAAATCTATGAATGTATATCTCTTCATCTGTAAATGACAATCTTATAATCTTCTTTCTAACTACAACATTAACAAGAATTCGTAAGGCTTCTATAAGAATCTACTTTGTAACTACTTACACTATGAACAAGTCGTGGGGCCTCGACCACGTGGCCAATGAGGCACATGATGCTTCACATCCTCTATATCTTCCAGGTTTTTCACGACATCTATAGCCAATGAAAAGACCTTGTTTTGTTCTAACTTCAAACGAATGTTGGGACTGGGCAGCAGCGTGAGCTACAACAGCTGACTCAGCGGCTGCGCGATCAGCTGCTTGCTGTAGAAGGTGAGAACGAGGCGTTGAGGGCTGCGAAGGACCGAGCGGAGGCGGCTCGAGAGCAAGCAGAAGCTGCTCTGCAGAGTAGCACAGAAGAATGCGCAAGATTGCGAATTCAACACGACTTTCTCGCTGCTCGGCTCTTAGCTGGTGCAAACAACTCGTCTGACGCCAACGCTTCGGTTAAGGCCTACCTTAAATAACCAACCCTCGTCCACCTACCTTAACCAACTCGTCCATTAGCCTTCCTTAATAGGTACAACCCTAGCCCTAGTCCATCTAAGGGTAAGCTCTAATCCTCCAGATGACTCTACTGATGCGACCTTGCGGCTATACTTAGAGGACATCGAGCGTTTGCAAAGAAAGTGCCGTAGACTAGCAACAGCTGCACGTAGTGCAGGATCTTCAGGGGAGGACAGGAACAATTTTTATATGGACGGAGGTCATAATGGCACAACACGCGAACACGATGGCGTGAATGCAGGTTCATCATCTCAAGATCTTCAGATTAGTGTAGGCTTGCAGCGAGAATTAGAGAAGACCAGGCTGGCGATGCGTGGTCTGCAGTTGGTCACTACCTTCGTCGGCGCACAGGTGCAGGCTGCCGGAGAAGGTACTACTTCTACTGGAAGAACGTCAGACGAACACGAGGCCCCCGTACAGAAAAGAGGCATCCACCAGGACGTGGACGTAGATTAAGGCTCAAAGTAACTCAAATTCATCTTCTCGTCCACAGAGTAGGTACTTGATACTTCTATTCATTGCTGGATCTTCTCCACAAAGTACTTCTAATAGGGATACTATTGCTTGATGTCTTAGTCATTCTCATTTCCTTCAGTATACACAACACACACGGTGACTATATACCGTCATAGTTACTGTGTGTGTTGTGTATACTGAAGGAAATGAGAATGACTAAGGCAAGCAATAGTAACTACAGAGGGATGGATTTCTTCGAGCTCTAAGTCGATGCGCTTGGAACCGTGGCGAGCCCAACACAAGAGGAATCTTCACCAGAGCATCTGCAGATGGACAACCTGTCACCAGAGCACTTGCAGATGGATAACCTGGAGAAGTGGACGCACGCGCGTGAGTCTGCGGCAGAAGAGGAAAAGTTTGATTAAGGCTCTAAAGAAAGGGCGTCCTCTTGAAGGTGTCTACTCCTAGTCCAGTTGTACTTATAATCAGGAAAAGTTTGATTAAGTACGCTCGATACAAAGTTCCACGTCCAGTTGTACTTAATCAGGAAAAGTTTGATTAAGTACACTCGATACAAAGTTCCACGTCCAGTTGTACTTATAATCAGGAAAAGTTTGATTATAAGACTCCTTTACCTACTGTCTTTCCTTTTTCTTTTCCTAGTTAGCTTGGCTCCACCCATATCATAAGACTCGATCATACATCAAAGTACATCAGCATGATAATAATAATAAGGCGTGGTCAACATTTTCTTCTGTGTCCGCGCTCTAATACGAAAAACGACAAGAAGAATTGGGAGACCGCGTTGCGGAGATTGAAAATGCTATAGGTAGCAAAGAAGAGTTGATGGAGCAGCTCTGCTACCAAGAAAAAGCCTTCCATTCTATGCGGGAGCGGTATGAGTCACGTTGTTAAGGCAAGCGACAACGCATCTTCCTCAGCATCATCCTCGCCTCTTTTCCAAAAGGGAAAAGTGGTCGCCAAGGATGGCGTCAGGCATGCGTGCAAGGTTGTACCTCTATCGTTGTCGTGATTTAGAGCGCACAGTGGCAGCGGTGCTGTCTGAAAAGGAGCAACTGGAGAAAGCTATTAGTGCTGCAGCTGGTACACATAGTGGTAGTACCAGCGTAGCGTTTACTTCTGGAAGTGGAATCAGTGGCACAACGACTCCTGGTTCATCATCAGGAGAGGTCGTGCGATTGCAGGGCAAGCTCCAGGAGGTTGGCAGACATCTAGCGCAGCTACGACGTGAACAAGATGAGGCCAGACGATTAGCAAAAAGTAAAGCTGAACAAGAGAAGCGCATCGGAAAGATGACGGAAGATTAAGGCGCATAACAATTCATCTTTACAGCGAGGCTCTTAAAGGCTCATTATACTCTGTGGAAGATTAAGGATGATCTTCACACAGGAAAAATTGTCTCAAGAACAGTTCTTGTTCCTTCTTCTTGAAAGATACTATTTTATTGAGAAAGAGAATGCTATAATGGCCTTATCGTTACTAGTGATAGAGATGAATTATCGTTACTAGCCCTAAGACGAGATTCAACGTTTGCGCGGTCAGAGAGACTCAGTACGGGACCGTATGAAGCAAGATGAGGCACGCTTCAGGCAGTGGCAGAAAGAATGGCAGGCTCGATGGAAAAGTTTGAGAGCCGAGAACCAATCCCTCACAAACCGCGTGAAGAAGGAAAAAGCTGTTGGAGGCGGACTTCTTCAGACATCGACGACCATCGGCTTTTCGAGTGCAACCTCTAGTACAGCTCCACTCGCCCAAGTGCGTTTAACATCAGAGCAGAGGAAAAGCAGCCACACGCGAAATAGTAGCACAACATTCTCATCGTCACTACAACATCCTTACTCAGCCGCTTCATCTTCAGTAGTGCAACTGGCGAAACATCATGTTGACTCGTCCAATGACGACAGCATTCGAAGTAGCATTCCTCCTAATATGCAGGAACGCCACGCGCCTCCTTCTATCCATGGTGCAGTGTCTTTCGCGGAATGGAGCGCTATCAACAAACAGAAAGGGAGAATCAAGTTAAGGCTTCCACTGAAGCATCCTCAGCACCATCCTGGGCCTCCTTTTCAGGAGGAAAAGCGGCGCAAGGATGGGCTCATGGATGCGACGCGGAAGCAGCTCTAATCAAGAAGCCTATGCAACATCAGGGACAAGGTCTCAATGCTGCTCTCAATGCCGCTGAAGGCTCAGGCGCTTATACGCCTGCGTCTCCTGATCTTGATATAAAAGACGGGTCTCTACTAGGCCAAGACCACAATCCCGGGATTGTTCCCTCTTTCGAGATCAGTGAGCGAAAGTTGTGGGTTGAACGTGAAATCGCGCGCGCGCAACGCCTGAAGGATGCGAATTCCCGTTTGAGCGCTGAGCTGCGAGACCGTGACTCCAAGCTAAGTGAGCTCCAGGACCTCAATGCCGAGTTATCTAAGGCATTGGAGCAGAGGGACGAGGAGAAGCTCGAACGTCGGCAAGCGGTGGAGGCTGAACTAGCCTTTGATGCGGAACGTATAGCGCAAACACGGCAGGAGCTTCAGAAATTGCTCTTAAACAATGCTGACGATGTTGATAGTGGAAATTTATCCTTAGAGCCCACTGGAGAAGGAACTTCATCTTCTACTGCGAGCAGTAACAAGGGCTCAAGAATGCTAGCTTTGCTTTTACAACTGACGTCTTCATCTAGTTCGACGCCAGCAGAGAAGAAGCTGCTAGATCATGAGAGAAACGAACTTCCTGATGAAACTGTACTATCTTCTCAAAGAACTGGAGCAGTAGTTCAACAGCAACAGCAGTACTTTTACGGGTAAAGGAAATGCATCGACAAAGCCATCTGGAAGAAGAAAACATGATGAAGAAATAAAAGGCACTTACTTAGATGACTTTCGGGATGCATTTCCTACCCCTCTAATGCTTCCTGGATCAAGTGCAGGAACTGGGTTCTTCCCGCGAGCTTGTCACGCTGTGCCTTGCTACCTTGGAGAAATTACAGGACTCTGAAGGCGAAAAAACGGCACTACAACGCCGTGCAGAAGATTTGGCATCCCAGGCGGACATCAACGCCGCAGAGGCCAATGCTGTGCGAAGCACACTCGAATCGCTGGAAAGGGAGGTGAGACGCGGCGAAGCCGAACGAGATCGCGCGCAGGCAGAGGTGGAGCGTTTACGCAGAGTCGTGTCCTCCACTACGAGTCGGGATGAAGCGAGTGCGAGTAGAGATGAAGCGAGGAGAGCAGAGGCTGCGGAAGAAAGTAGAGCAGCAGTACTCAGACTAGGAGGGGGATCTTCTACTCCTACACATTCTTCCAACATGTTGAAGGGGAACAAAATAGTAACTGTAGATCTTTCATCAGAGCCACACGATGACGAGGAAGAGGCCGGATTATCCTCTACATTGGGGACACAGCAACTGAAGGCGCAAATTCAAGCCTTGCGAGAGGAAAAGGAAGAACTACAGCTTGCTTTAGAAACTTCGAAGAGCCGACATGGGGAAGTGGAGGAAGAAGAGAGAACAAATGCAAATAACTTAGTCGTACAGAGTCAGACTAGTAGTGCACAAGCACCTCAAACTATGTCCTCGTCTAGTAGTACAGCCTCCTCTAGTACAGCTGTTCTCCATTTGAGAACAGTCTTCGAGAAGAAGAGACCGACGGAACCAAAAATCGTGTCTGCTTTGTACCAGGACTGTGAGCAGCTTCTCGATGACATCTGGACACAAGTGGGAATGCCAGAAGCGGAGCAGGAGCAGCAAAGGAAAATCTTAGAACAGCGAGTGTTTGATATTTGTGTACACGAAGTGCAGACCCAAGAAGCACGGTTTACCGCACTCCGAAAAGAAGCTACAAGATTACATCGCGCTCTGGCTCCATCTCTACAAGGGGCCGCGTCGGTCGCTGACTTAGTGGCCACCAGAACTTCCGAAACAACGGATAGACACCATACCAGACACCATAAGAGGAGGCAAGACATAAACGAACCGGACGACACAGAAGATACAAAATTGTACCAGCTTCTTGAAGACTGCGCAGTAGCGAGTAAAGCTGAGCTTGCGCTGCCTTCAGATCCTACGACGGGGCGACGAGAGAAAGCTGAGAAACAAGGTAACTACTCTTCAATTCCATCCACTTCTACATCATCTGCTATCCAGATCTCAGGAGCTGCTACTTCTGGTGAGCCCCTGTATTCCCGTGTAAAGCGCTTGCGTGTAGCTACGGCAGATATAGTGGATACTAAGCTCCGACGCATGCAGAGCATCCTCATCGAACTCTACGGAGCCAATTATGTCTGCACCAGACGGTCTAGCAGTAGCATTAGCACCAGTTGTAGTACGAGTGCTTTGAAATTGAAAGATGATGGTAGAAGTGGCACTACCACTACTCCTACTACACTAGCTCCCAATCCTGCACGCTTTTCACCAGTCACTACAACAGACGCATCTTCTTACTCGGTTCTACTGCTTCCGACCGTGCTATTGTGCCAGGACTCTCTGTCTCTTCCGTCTTCGCCGATAGAACAAGTGGAACATAAAGATCAATGTTCAACGCCTGCCCTTCTCACAGCACTCCAATTATCGTCCACCACGCGTGCAACAGCAGGCACACGATTTTCACTGGCGAATACACGACCAGGACCAGGATCTGCTTCTGCACTAGGAGAACGACCGCAGGAAGGGCCAAATCCACCTAAGACGCTTTGGTGTCCTCTCGGTTTGTTTGAGCAGAAAGCGCTCACTTTTGCGAGTAGCGACAAGATGAGCACACGGGAAAAGCACGAATTCCTTGCCGCCTCGCAAAGCCGAGAGAAACAGCTCATGGCCCTGCGGGAGTGCATCTCTGTTTGTCAAAAACGCCTACAGGATGAGGTGGACCTCTACCGCCGTCATCGAGCGAAGCTCTTCGCTCCTACACCAGCAGGTGTGCAGCAGGAGATGTTATGGCATGCTGCAAGCGCAAAATTTCACGTCATTCAGAGGGTTGTCAACTGCCGATGCTTGTAAGCTGCAACCCTTCTTCGTACAGCTCTTGCAGTGAAAAACAAAATCAAAATATACTACGTAAGGCTTCTAGCGCATATAATTTATTATTAAGTGAATCACATCCAAATTACAAATTACAAACATCCTTTCTTCTAAGAATGATCGAGAAGCAGAGTCGCGAAAGCGCCTCTACACCCATGGGTGTCCTGCTAGCTCAACAAGGCTCAGAGACGACAGACGACGACTCTACCTTGCTTCTCGACCAAGAGTCTCCCGCGAGCACCCTTCTACACGTATCAGGAGGAGGAGGATCAAAGTTACGATGCGGTTAACAAGTATAATACCTATATAATTTGCTTCATTCTCACAGAAGATCAAGAAGATTAAGATGGATCAGTTTGTTTCAAGAAAAAATATCGGGCAAAGATAGGCCTTCTAACACTGCCTTCCTTCCCAGGCTTATCAGCTTTGGAAAAAGAGCTGGAATCACTGCAAAGGGAATGCCTCTTGCACATTGACGGCCAAAAACGCGAGCTAGACTCACTTTGGGAAAAACTGGGTACCCCGACCGAAGCAAGACAACCATTTTTGATTCGCTTGGAACATTTTCTGGAATCTTCCTCGGATCAAAACCACCACAGCTCTGGCTCCCTTTGGGACGATATTCGCCAGCGTGAGATGGCCTACAAGAGAACAGCGAAAGAGTTCTTAGTTGTTCATACTGGTCTTCATACTAGCGATGATGGAAGCGCCGCCGCCGCTGAAGACATTTTAATACACCTTTTCCCGATTTTGGCGATCAGCAACAAAGGAGCTTCCTTTTCAGAACTTCAAAACATATTAGAAAGTAGAAAACGAGCACCCGCAAACCAATCTGACTCGCATTCCCAAGCAGCTGCTGCTCTTTTATCTTCGCTCATCCTCGCAGTGATTGAGAGCAGTTCTGACTTGCTATGCCGATCGCCTCAGATTAAAGGCGCTGCATTGCTCAGACGAGAGATCCGTCACCTCAGATTAAAGGCGGAAGCAAGAGATATTATTCTGAGAAAAGTAGCAGAGTGCAATCAACTCCGAGCCCAGATCCGGCAGTTTGAAACATTATGAATGGCCAAGGGCAAACACAAACACTAGTTGTTAAGATTGATTTTTAGATGTAAAACCTTCCGTAGTACAGTACTGATTCTCCACATCGATCCCTCCTGTTCTTGTATTCCTCGAAACAAATCGTTGATTTGACATTGACATACAGCTGGTCCAGCATGAAAAGTATAGAAATCATGTAACGAACGCGTTGACATACAGCTGGTCCAGCATGAACAGTATAGAAATGTAACGAACGCTCTTCTAAAAAGCGAAACAGCGGAAAAGGGCAGCTCGCGATTTCGTGGGAACAGTATTGCGCTGTTGCAGGAAGAGCAACAGAGGAATCGGTTCCGAAGGCGCAAAGAAAAGGTGCTTCAGGAGCTCGAGCACCGCGTTCGAGAGTGGGAGGATTGCTGTCAAGAGGAGTTTGTGGTTGCTACAACTGAGATTAAGGCGGGGAGAATTGGACTCGTCACACTCTAGTGATTCTCGGCTTACTTGTTGAACAATCGGTCAAGCTCAGTATGTAACTGAAACTACTGCCATGTTTCAAAGAAACTTGAGTTTCCATTTTTCATCATCGCAGGTGGCACATTCATACGTACCAGATGTCGCAAGTACAAATAGCTTGTTGTGATGAAGTAGATCACGCTTTACTCTCCTAGGTTCCCCTTCGCTAATACCTGTGGCGAATCAGTTTTGTTGCGCGACGAGCTTCTGGACATGAGAACGGCGACCGACGTTTGCGATCTCAGCTCTCGGACACCAGGAAGTCAGCTGTAGTATTAATGGAAGAGCGTCGATCGCAAAGAAAAGACGCTAGAAGTAGTGGTCTTCATCATGACGAGTGACGATACTTTTGATTTTTTTGTAGAGGAGGTACTTACAACTAGAATTGATTTTTTTGTGGAGGTACTTACAACTATAATTGATTTTTTGTGGAGGTACTTACAACTAGAATTGATTTTTTTGTGGAGGTACTTACAACTATAATTGATTTTTTGTGGAGGTACTTACGACTAGAACGATCTACATCTACCACGTTTATCCGCCATCGCTGTGACACGCAAACATCCACGAGCAATAAACATCCACGAACAATATTCACAATCATTTTTTTTCATATATTCAGCGGGAAAAGCGAAAAGGGTAACCACTTGACGACGGTTCACAGTCACGAGACTCCTCGCCCTGATTTCGTTTCTCACTTGCACTAACTTTTTCGTTTCTCACTTGCACTAACAAGACACCGCTTGACTTCCTATGCACCATGTTCTATGCTTAACGTGGGCATCTATCTTCCCATCCAAGCTTCATTATCCAGCTCCTTGCATCAAGATGGTTGACGGACAGCAAGAACCGTGCCCGTGAGAACAGAGTCACTCTTAGTCTACTTAGGTGATAACTCTGTTTCTGTAGCTCTACTACTATCCCGATAAAACTAGGTCAGGCTTTCGCCAAGAATAGATACATAAATTTCTTGGTAACATCAAGAACACGCAAAGACATAAAGAAGATGACAGTCGCGACAGCAGTGCCACACTATAATCCACTGCCAGACTGCTCTGAGGATCCACGATATTGTGATCGTGTGCTAGTGCATGGCATGGGTGTACGTAGCAGTTCTTGCTGATTAGCTCTTGCTACTCGGCAATGCCGTGGGCTCTACTACTTTTTAACAAGCACGATGGTGCGTGTGCGTGTCGCAGGTGTCGTGCCTGTCTGCCTCTGCTCTCTCGTCCATTCGATTGAACTCGTAGGCTTTTTCTGCCTTGTGTCAAGCCCTTTTGTCGAAGCGGCGTTGACGTTTCAGAATGTTGCACCGTCAGGAGTACGAGAGTTCGCGGAGCATGTCTACGTCGACTTTCATCATACTAAGGACAGGAGTGAAGTCCTCGAAAAGAAAACCGGAAAGTCTCACCGTGTTGATGTTGTAGCAGCATCAACCCTGTCCGGGGACAGCAGATCCAGAAGATACTCCTTGTCTCACGATTCACGTCAAGGCAATGGGCAGCAGGCTTTTGGAGGACCTAAGAACCATGATGAGGAGGTGAAAATGGAAGATACTGAGCGAGGACAACACCATCGTCAACACGCAGATGACTTTTATTCGGCTTTGTTGTGTACTCCGGGACAAGACTATTCCTTGGGCTTCTTTGTTCAGGGTGAAGCCGGGACACACTTCCGAGACCCAAGGAGAGACTATGTGGACTATCTAAAGCGGGCTCTGGCGGAATGGGCGCATACTAGAAGGATAGAAAGGAAAGCTGCAGGCGGGTCGAAAACTTCAAACAACGTTAAACGTGCGAGTGAAGAACCACATCAAAGTCGCATAAAACCGAAAGTCTATCGAGGAAAGGTTCTCGATGAGCAAGTACTGCAGAGGCACCTTCAGCGGCTTGCGAAGAGGGAGAAAAAGAACAGATCGTGGACAAAGAGCAGAAAAGTACACCACTCTGTATCTCCTGCTAAGGAAGCGGAAAACGCAGATGGTTCGTCTGCTACTAGGGTGAATCATCTGGATTATCATCAGTCTCAAAGCCCTCTGAATGAGTCGTCTCAAAAGCGCTTGCTACCAGACGACCAAGTAGTAGCATTTCCTCTCTCATCGGACCGATTCGACCAGCAAAAGGATAAGATTTGGCTCCGACGCCAACCACTTGTACCTGCCAAACAGATTCTACTCACTTATGCTTAATATCGTGGAGGCGTGGAGGTGTTGAACTCATCTTTTCTATAACATCTTCCAGTCGAAGATTCCTACGTACTTGGAAAGAGCTAGAGGTGGAAGATGTTTGTGTTACAGAAGATGTTTAAGTATGTTACAGAAGAAAGATGGGTTGTCGATGCATCTAAATTGAGGACTTTGGTAATCTACGCGGTCTTCCTCTTACCTTAGGCTCGGAGACTGAGCAAGTGCGGGGGAAGGAGAAAGCCGGTTCTTCTGGCAACAAGAATGCGACAGTGCCGCTACGATTATGGCTTACCTTAATTCATCTTAAGAAGCATCTTTGGCGTTCTTTTAAGGGAAAATACACTACAAAGATGCACTCGAATATGAATTTGGGGAAGCTCTAATACGAGTTCTACTTCGCAAGGCAGGATTTCAACCAGCGAGTGGCACTGTGTCAGATTCGACTTGTTGCAAAGGGATGCTGCAGGTGCTGAAATGATCTCAGACTTCGTGATCTACTTTAAGCAGTATGAAGTACGCAATCGTTCCAGCCGTTGTGGGGGCATCAAAGTCAGTAGTGACCAAAGGAATTTCGCTGCTGTCGTGCCTAGGTTTTAGTACCATGCTGTTTCTTCTTCTTGTTTCTCTCTTTCAGCATTACTTTTTCATTACCTACAAATACCACTCTCCAGGTGATGCGTCCCGTGGCAACTCTGCGTTTTCCGGTTGATGTAACCATCGACACCATAGCCTTTCGCTATCTTCCCTCTTCATCGCAGTCCACCATTGTTGGCGGGATCCGCTTTCCCTTACTACTGCGTGGCCGAGATGAAACTGGACGCTCACGGTGGCTCTCACACCAAACCTTACACGACACCCACGTCCGACTAGTATCACCCGGATCAGCAGAGCCCATTCGGAGCGTCTCTATTTTGGGCGCGTCGCAGGAGATCTTTCTTGAGTCTATCGGATTTTTATGAACAGGAATATAGTTGAAGTTGTACTAGACCTAGGTACTACAACTACGTCAAGCTGGATTGTAAGAAAGGACTCTTGATGTTGATCTATCTCTAACAAACACCAAAGACAGCTAGTACGCATTTAGTTTTACTAGTACAACTGGACCTCCAACAAACACAGCTAGCACAGCTACCTACTTTATAATTATTCTTAGTATTTAGTTGTAGGTTCTAAGTTTCAGCTACTTCGAAGAAGATGAAGAGTCGATTGAGGATGCAGTTGCGAAAAAAGCGAACACGCCTCTCATGGACGCAAGAGACCTGAAGAAATCACGTGGAAAGCGCTTTTTTCAACAACGCAGATTAGGGCATCGTCAGAAAAGAACTACCAAAAAATCGACTGGGACGATAGAAGGAGTAACTTCGAAGAGTGATGAAAGATCTGCCACATCAGTCACATCGACACCACAACAGCGAGTAAGCGAAAACAAGGAGGATCTCTACTCCGGTGCAGGTGCAAACAAAGGCGCTGACGCTGCGTCTTCGAGTACGATAGGAGGCGAAGATTGGGAGGACTACGAATCCGCCCATCATGTGCATGTTGGACTCGAAGCAGGTGACGATGGCATTTTGGAATTGGACGAGCACGAGCTCCTTGGGATGGATGATTTTGGAGAGGACGCAGATGAAGGCATTTTTTAAGGCTTCCTCGTCCAATCCATCGAAAGAACAAGCATCTTCTCGTGCACGTGTGCAATGAGAAACAGGACTCAACAAAGTGGCCTCTTAGGTAGTAGTAGTTAGGTCGAACTACGACAGAGCCGCACCAATGACATTATCTTCGAGATGGCTAATTCTTCGAGATGTTGGATGATTTCCTAAGGTGATTGAATTGATTCTACTAAGTTTTGAACGATCATGGCGAAGATGGTTTTCAGATCACTGACGAGAACATAATTGCGGAGCTGGACGCTCAGTTTGGTAAGGGGCAATGGCATATTGACCCCGACACTGGAGATCTTGTCATCGGTGAGCAAGCTGGAGTAGAGGTAGACGTAGATCATGTTGTGGCGGGTGAAGATTTGGACGCTGGAGATTCAGGAGGAACTGCGGGTATTGAGAAGAATTTGGAAGATATTACGGAGGGTCAACAGAGTAGGGGAGACCCTCAAACCTTCACGGATCAGCTGGAAGGCAAGGATGCAGAGTCTCTAGCCTCTCTGGCTGCTGATGAAGACCAGAATGAGCATGATTCACCAAGTAATCCTGGCACCACCTTGATTACGATCAATCATGCTCGGAAGATCGCGGCAAGGAACGACGCAGCTGGGCAAGACAACAGTGTTACGGCTGCAAGAAACCCATCTTCCCCAAAATCTATAAGTACCTTTAACACGTAAGGGGGGAACAGGGACCAAGATGAGACTGACCTGAAGAGGGACATGACCCAAGGGGGAAACAGGCTCAGGGAGCAGGAGAAGATAAAACCCATCGATGTTTGGTTGCAGTTCTACTGACGAGGAGAAGACAAAGCTCAAGCGGGATCGATGTTTGGTTGCAGTTCTAACAAAGACAACCCTGCCCAGAATTGGTATCTGAATATGGGCTTTGGACGTCAAGGTCCAGGCATGCGTGGACTACCGGATAGTGCAGTAGGGCCATTCATTTCGCTCCGTGAGGTCATAGATTTAGGACGATGTCTAGACATTGCGCCAGACTCGGCACGCACTACTGTCTTGGCGGGACGGAACGGGGGACAGCAGGGGCTAGAGACGGTATCGAGATCGCCACGACGACAAACGCCACGACGAGAAGAGAACACTTCTGAAAATGGTACGCGAAGTCGCAATAAGTCCTCGAAAAGAAAAGACGAAATTCTCTCTATGAAAGCGGCTTCTTTTCGTCCGCAGTCTTCCGCTTCGCTAAAGAGGACAGGAATACGAGGAATCCAGTCAGCTCTCGGTGCGAGACGTCGTCAGAAATTGAAAGCCTCTACTCTGGGATTAGCTGGAGATTATAATATGCCAGCGTCTTCCCTCCTAGCAACACCTGCGCGTGCAAATACAGCAGCCTATTCATCGTCTTTCTTCGCGTGGCTGATTGTTGCTGTCGGTTCGTGGTTTGCTCCTTCTGTATCGCAGGTTACTGGAGCAGAAGCACCATGGGTTCGAATCGTCAGAGACTTTTTTCACAAGAAAACGAGGAGTGATGGTCACTACGAAGAACAAGTCTACGACTACAAGAACATTAAGAACGTCCTCAAGCAGAAACCAAGTCCTCAAGAACGACATCAAGTACATTTGCATGATTCTCTTCGCGATGCTGCAATGTGGGAGGAGGAAGACGGGCAGATGCCGAGTCTACCTAGTGAAACCTCCACCAGCATTGAAATAGACCAGAAAAATGTAGTCGACGCAGTAGAGCAAATAGAGCCTTCATCGACAGCATCCACGGACGAGAAGCCAGCCGCTGAGAAGCCCGAACGCATTCATCACGTAGTGGGAGAAGGCTATCTTAGTCATGTAGTTGAAGATCATATCTACAACGGCGTGACGAGTGAGCCATCTTCCCGAAGAGGAGAACCAAGACATAATCGAGAACCGGAGCTCCACGTTTTCGCGGCTCCCGACATCAACAATGATATGGATGACGCGATTGAGTACGCTGAATGGCGGAGGGAGACGTTGCTTGAGTTCCTGGATGACCACAAGATCGAAATGCTTGACGAGGAAATCGAGGCTATGAGAGGGCATAAGAATAAGACCGAAGTCAAGAATCGGAACATCAAAAGGCAAAAGTCTGAAACTGAGACTTCTACTCGTTCTAGTCCTGCTGGAGGTGAAGGAGGTATGGAGGCTGCGACTTCTGGTGGTGCGAGTACCAAGAACGTAGAAGATGATGGAAATGGTACGAGTGCGAGCAACTACACAACTACAAGTGAAGCTAGCACGGTCACCACGAAGAATGCAGAGTCTGTAGAAGGAGTCGAACCTTCTACAACTGGAGCCTCGTCTCATCTTTCAGATGAAAAAAATTTCGAACGAGACAAAGAGGTCTCTGCTGAAAAAGAGGAGCAAGAGGAAGAGCATGTAAAGGAGGTAGCAGAGGCTGAGCTGGCGCGACTCGAGGATGACACTAGAGAGGAGGACGAGGAGGACGGCTACAGCGACTTACAGGTATGGTCGGCCTTGTTTAGTAATAAATCCGTCTAATTTATTATCACAGACATAGCATTTCTTCTGTGCTGTCCAGCTTTCGTTCCTTTAGCTCTAAAAGGAAGGATTGAATAGTGATACTTCCAAGAGAAAAGGCACTGCGTACGAGTAGATGAGGGGAGCGAGATAGACTTACGCACACTCTAATCCAGCTTCTTTTGAACCTAGATACGATGGACAGCAAGGGAAAAGGTCCGGTCTCAAGGCGTGCTGAAGGCTTCAGTTCTGATTTCTCTGAACGTTGGCGACATCAAGGTGCAAGCAACTCTTTTTAAGGCGCAAACTTTACTGGAAAATTTACTCTAGTAAGACACGACCTTTACTGGAAATAAATGCTGTGGTCTTCACTTGTCGTGAAAATTTCCTCTATCACTCTGATAATGTCACGAACACGATCTTTCTTCCTCTAATTCCACCCTAGCACATCAACATCCGCCTCGTCGGCGGCTGGTGTTGATCCCCTCTCTTTCCCGTTCTACGTCAGGCGTCCACAGACGCTACACCGCATGCTAGAATGGTGTGGGCATAAGAGGGGATGCGAGGCACTAACTCGCGACCTCGGAAGAGCTCTCAAAGCGGATTTGCGAAAATTCGTCACCATCTTTCAACTTATGGCCCGAGGATGCTGTAGTGTTTTACATTACCTCGAATGTTCATGTTGTGAATACAAGGACATGTTGCTCGCGGTGCACAAGCACATCGTTGCGCTTCTGATCATTACTTATGAATGTAATATTGGTAGTACAGCTACAGAGTTTTTTGTTTTTCATTCATTTTCATACGCCAACTACTTATAACTACAACTAGTTCAACGTCGGTCGTTGTGATTTATTTTTGTTGTGCAGTTGCAGAAGTAGAGCCAGCACAATTTCCAGTCAACCGGTTCTCTAGCTGCACTTCATCGCGCATTCTAATCAGCGTTCTCACCAGTTGGGTGTCGATGTGACAAACTTGCGCAGTCTCGAGGAGCTTTTTTCGACAGTCCTCGATGCCAACAAAATGGATCATCTCGAGATTCTGCTTTTCCGCTTTCAATACTTAACCCAGCCCACTGGTAGCAGTTCCCATGCAGACGGGAATAATGAAGATGCGGCGCAAAAAGGAGGAGGGGGCGGAGGTGCAGTTGTAGGGACGACACACGCACACGTGAATAACTTTGGTACTAGTACAACAGCTTCTTCCCGTCCTTTGAAGATTCTAGGAAATAAAGGCGTTGCAGTTGTCGGTCCTGCCTCCATTTCAGGCCCATCCGAGACGGAGTTACTACAGCACGCCGCAGCACACAAGGGTGGGCATTTTCCAATTCCGCATACGGTGAAGGATTCCCTGAACCTGTTCACAGACATGTGTATGGATGATGTCTATTCCATCTTTGTCTATTGTTCCATCTTTATCTTTATTACTGCCTCTATTTTCGTCTTAAAACTGTACAGCTGAAGAAGGGGAGACTCGATCCTCTCCCTAGATGGAAAAAACATCATCCATAATGTGGCGGCCTCGGTTGCGACAAGCACGACAGAGAATACTGGCAATTGCCAGTTTTATAGATATTCAGTTCTTTCTGCAGATGGTGGAGGATCCGCCAGCGAAGGCTACTCGATTGCTCCAATTGCAAGCCCAAGAACAAGCAGGAGTTAGAGTAGCGCGGCCAGTGGTTGAAGAGGAAACCCAAACGGCGCAAGCACGCGTAGCACCAGTAGTTGGAGGACCGGGCTCGGGTGAAGACAGCAGCGAGAAAATGCTAGAACTGGATAGCACACACCCACAACTAGAGGACGCACAGGGCTCGGGTAGAGAGAGCAGCAAAACGCTAGCGCTAGGAGTGCAGACACGACGAATACCTCAACTTACAGCTAAAACGTTTCACTACAGTGAGGAACTGAAGCGTGCTTTCAGACTCTCCAGTGAACGGCTGTCGGATTTGGAGCTGTTTTCAGAGCATCCCGAATGGTGGATTCCGCGAAGCCTTGGAAAAAGGTCATCTCCATCTGCACACACCGCAGAAGCTTTGGTTGCTGAGCGACACAGTAAGCACTATGACCAAAATAGCCAGTTCTTCCATCAAAGTACAACAACAACCAGCGATCTTGCGGCAAAACGACAGGAGGGTCGCGCGGGTGCTGAAGGAGCAGCAGACCCGTTGCCTTCAAAAAAGGCAACAACTGCTCCAACGACTAGCAGAGCTGTCCTGTATATCATGTTTTTCAATAAAGGGTCTGGGAAGGACGTGTTAAAGGCCTTACCAGGACTATCGGACCCGTATGAATTCCTCATGTACCTCTACGGCATGGCGCCCAACTTCAATCCGACTGAAATAGCGTACTTCAATTCCACTGTCCGTCGTCTCATAACCTTTAGTCATGAGGATCAAACGCTCGACTTGGACGGGAGGTAGGCGGGTGCCTAGTAGATGTAGAGTGTACTTAGTACTAAAAGGATGGAGATGAAATTTACGATCAGAACTTCAGGCTCAGGGACAGGGATGAATTTCGAATGTAAGCAGTCAGTATACGCACGGCCACGGAATAGAGAATCATAATCATTATCATTTTTACCAAAACCAACAGGTAGAATGATTCACATTCATCTACTTATAACCAACCCACAGCTTCATCAGCTTTTTGGATTATGAAAACCAAGTATCTTCACAACTGTCGCAACCTGAATCGTAGCAAAGTCATCAAAGAGCACCACAATCACAAATCATCGAAATCACGCCACAAGCACAACATCCACACCATCACCACAACTGTAATCAATGGCATGTATCCTGAGTCAACTTCAAGTACAGTATGGAGATGGCGATATTAAGTTGTGAATTGTCAACCTCGGCCTGGTGACACTTTAACGTGTTACGAAAGCAAAAGATGTGTGCGTCGACGTCTGGTCATCCGCAACTTGCTCTGTACTGCTGCTCCTCGAGAACAAAACGATGTCGTCTCTACTTACCAAAGGAGAATGAGTACAAGTTCATCGGTAGAAGAACATGGCATCTTCAACTTCAAGTAAAAAAATTTATTCTGCGTCCTCTACGAAAATATTGTTCACATGCTCGCTATGGCAGAAATGGTCGCTGTGGCAGGAAATCAATCAAGTCCAATCTCAGTCTTGAGACTCTTAAAAAACGCTCCCCTATTCTTCCGTCCTCGCTACCTAGTATTGCCGTCCTCGTGGTCTGCGTCTGACTTATCTCTCATCCACCGCCTCGATGAAATCCTTTCCATCCAACTTCTTCTTTACCTATAACCTCAACTATGGCCACCTACACCCGCTTCTTCAAGCAAAGAACCTAACTCTTGCGCAAAAGCCACAGACTCCCATGCCAAGGCCCGTTTTTGCGCTGTCTCTTGCACTTGTCGTGATTCGACATGCATGATTTGAGATTGCATATGCGACTGTTGCAGTGGAGGTTGTTGTGAAGAAACGCACTGAACTGGGTCTTCGTCTTTCGCAAGTCTCAATCCTTCCAGCACCTATATTAGAGCAGAGCGAAATACTTCTACAAACGTTCAAGTTCAACTACATCGATCTGGATCTTTCTTGATCTTGAGGCGACGCATCCAAAAACACTTCATGACTTGCGTTTCTACTTCATCTGAGACAGCGGAAGTTTCTCAGTAGGACTAACTGGAGGACTTTGCTCCCTAGATTAGAACTACTAGCTGCGACTGCGATAGTAATAGAAAAAGGCACTCGAAGGGCTTTCTCCGGACTCTGCTCCGCGAAACCAGTCTCCGGCGTTTCTGAGACCACGGGACTGAAAAAGTCTCATGTCCGCCGCGGACTTCAGGACTCTTAGACTGCTGAGTCCTGAGGTCCGCCGCAGGCCCCAGAAATCTCAAAGGCCCCTGTGGAGAACCCGCCTCATGCATTTTTGAGTCCATGGGACTCAAAAGTGCCTCCATGGGACTCAAAAATGCCTCATGTCCGCCGCGGACCTCAGAAATCTCAACGCGGCCCTCTGTGAGGAACCAGTCTCAGGCGTTTTTGAGTCATGGGACTCAAAAATGTCTCATGTCCGCCGCGGACCTCAGGATTCTGAGACTGCTCAAAATCCTGAGGTCCGCGGCGGGTCTCAGGGGTTTTCCCTGTCCTCGGACAGACCCAGTAGTAACACTTTTTTCCCTACATAACAAGCTTTTCGCATCTACATGACATTAATATAGTGCTTCAGAAGTTCTGATTACTCAAGTGTAAGTCAACCTCAACAGCAACCCAAAGCCTTAACTTTACCAATCTTTCCGCGCATTTTTCCTCATCCGCCATGTCTCCGCGAAAAACACCTTCTTCCCCAAGGACGTCTGCCGCACCAATTCCGCCAGTATGGATCAAGCTTGGCAGTCCGCACGCCGCGGCCTCGACAATAGTCATCGCGTAGCTATCGTATAGAGCAGGATGGAAGTTGAGGACGCTTTTTCTAAACACCTCTCGCAGCTGTGCCGCAGACATGAAATCGCGAACGATAGCGTAGTGTTGTTGTTTTTGGGCATCGTGGTGGTGGTCATCCTGCTTGTGGTGGTGATGCTCTATCTGGATACAGCCTCCTCTTTGATCCTGTTCCTGTCCATCTCCATCATCTCTATCATCTTCCTCGGAGATTGTATTTCTTGTACTAACAAGCTTGAAAGTGCTTTCAAGCTTTCCTTGGATCAGTTCCTTTCCCCATTCACTGTTCTGTGCCCCGACTAGAAAGGGAACTATGTTAGACACGGACACCCACCATATTATAGAATATATGAATATGATATATTCATCGCCTGCATATGATATATTCATCACTGAGTGCATCTTTTTCTTTCACGTGTTTCTTTCCCTCTTAACAAAGGGGTCAAAGATGCGTCTTAAGGTGAGTTTTCTATTAAATAGTCTTATAACTATGTTCTGCTTCTGAAGGGCTTCTCGCACCTCGTGGCGACAGATCACATCAACAAAGAAGTCCACTCTTTTCTCTGGTGACAAACGGCAGCAGCAGAGCAGGTACGACGCCGTTGGTGTCTTGCTGGAAGAGATGGGAGTCTCGCTCGACGACGAGCAGCTGGAGGAAGAAGGTGCCGGTAATGACGAACAAGAGCTGGAGGACGCAGGTGCCTTTGTCAATGTCGATCTAGAAGAAGCTTTTTTATTTGTGACTGATGACGAAGTAGTCGCAGACGAGGTAGTGGCCGCAGCTCCTTCCTCAACAAACCCCGGACGCAGCGGCGGGTTCAAAAACGCAAGTTTATTCTGTTTAACACAAGAAGGAGGCGTAGTTAACGTAGCCGTTAACGTGTTACTGATTTCCCTGTTCCTACTGATATCCATAGCCTCGTCATCTCCAAGGAAAAAGGTGGCCGCCAGTAGTTTTCGGTCAATCGAGGAACAGGACACAACTTTGTCAGCAACCCGCACTGCATTTCCCTCTTCTTCCTTGTAAAAGGTCAAATCTTCCTCTGAAAACTCAGTGGACGCAGAGAAGAGGCGGAACAAAAAGAGAACGAATAGCGGCTTTCTTTGATCTAGCTGCATCTTCTCCATCATTATAGGAGCCTGCCGGCTCTGTTACAACTTCCTAGGTAACTAACGTATATTTTAGTTTTCGTCTTCAATTATAAACTCATCTTTCTTTGACTTTGGCGTGCTTTCTCCGTACAAAATAAGGGAGGCATAATCCTTCTGAAAGTGCAACAATAGTACGGGAAGCCTTAACATCAGCATCCTTGCCGCTGCTGCTCCGCTCCAGTCCACTGCGATAATGTAGTCCGGCGCAAACTCCGTCGCTTTAGAGGTGCAAACAGTCCATCTTTCAGAACATCTGATAGCTTTAGCTTACTCCAAGAAGGAATTGGCTAAAAGATGGTAAAAGAGACGGGTTGTCAGTATCCATAGTAAATGCTGCTAGTACCCCGCCCCCGCCTTCATCATCTTCTTCGGAACTGGCCACTCGATCCCGAAAGAGCTCCCAGTCTGAGCCTCGGTCCAGTCGGTTCCACACGCGAAGGGGAATCGCGATTGTCTGGAGTGTGCCGCCTGAAGTACAAGTCGGAGGAATATCCTTGGCTGCTCCTGCTGATGAATGTTGGGATCTACTTGTCGTCCTTGGCTGCGACTGTGAGTGGACGCTTAGAGGTAGGTTTTTTCGGTGTTCGTTTATCCCGTTTGTCATGCTTGTCTCCCTTAGGAGAGCCATAACAAGCGGTAACTACAAGAACACCTTTTGCGTACCCTTACCATGTCGATCCTTGGCTGCGACTGTGGGTGGAGAGGCGATAAACTCTTACTACAGCTCCCTGAACCTCCTGGACCTGGACTTGAACCGCATGGACCCTGAGCACTAGTTCCGGAAATCACGAGTACATCGAAGCGAAGTTGCTCGACTAAACCCGTCACGATGGACCGTGAGTAGACGCCGTTCCCACTGAAGATCGGGTCCGCGTATTCGAGGGTGACAAGCACGGCGCGCTTGTTTCGCGAACAAAAAGACATTGATGTTGGTTCTCGGAGTTTAAGTTGGTTTTGGTAAGTTTGTTACTAAGAAAAGATGTGCATGTGGATCTGGATGTGGTGTTTTGTAGAAGAAAAATGCAAAAGGATAGGATTTAGCAGTTGTAGCACCATGTAAAACACTGTTGTACAACATACGTGGACGTCGAATCAGACACAATCAAGCTTCTGGACTCGTCTCGTTCAACATAGACACTCACATGTTGGATGTGGATCTAACATCTGGATGAGGTAGAAGTGGTAATTATATCAATTTTTATGTCATCTCTGTTCGCTCGCACAATGTCTGATCTGACTGAGTCAGAGAGAGCACGACAGTGTAGGCGTTTCCAACATTTTCATTCTACTAGCTATATTTTCTCTTCTCAATCTTCTTCTTCATTCGAGAAGCTTCGGCTCGTTTAGTTCTTGCTCTTTTTCGTGCTGTAACCGAGGGGGCGCTATTTTCATCGCCTCCACCGAAAAAGCGTAGCTCTTGCTCAGCCTCTGAAGGCTTGCCTCTCTGTCACACGCACACGCCACTCGTGGAAGGGCAGCTGCTCAACCTTCCTGCAGCGCAGATACGCTACAGCTTCACTTACGGAACAAATTTTAAGTTTTAGACTGAACAAAAGTAGCTATAATCATACAACTGAACAAAAGTTAAAGTATCTATGATGTAGTGGATGGAATGCAACCAGTTGTACCAGCTGATGTGTTTTCTTTTGTAGCTGCAGTAGCAGTTGTTGTGATTATGTAATAAGTAATTAATGCAAAGGAAGATGCAAAGGAAAAGGTAATTAAGTCGTAGTAGAAGGTAAAACGCTAAGAAATTATCTTCGACGAAGGCGCAGATCTGGTACAACAAGATGGACGCGATGCAGGCGAGTGGCTCTTTCAAATTGAGAGGTGTAGGCTTCACTGTCCGCAAGGCAGGACCGCTACAGTGCCGCAGTATTTACGGCTTACTCATATTCACCTGAAGAAGCATCTTAAGAAGTGCACGAAGATCCACAACGCGGGTCTAGCATGTGCCTACGCTCCAGATGTGGATATAGAAGTGGTGTCGTACTAATTGCTAGAAAAAAATTTGTGATGTTCGCCATGATCAATTTAGGTCAATTCCTAAGGGCACAGGTTCTGGAATCGGTGTGGAATGAAGCGAACGAAGAGGCTCTGAAGTTGTCGCGGGATCCTAATTGGGCGTACGTTCACCCCTTCCAAGGCGAGGAGCTGCACGAAGGCCAATCTGCGGTCGTTGATGAGATTCTTTTAAATGACAGAGGCTTAGGTCTTTGGAAGAGAAGGGAAAGACGGCCACAACATCAACAAGATGAAGAAACATACTATCCTGGCCTTTGAGGTGTAGGGAATTCATCTCAAAAGTCATCTGGAACAAAAACACAAGGACAAGGGGAAAAAGGGACCCAGATGATTTCTGGGATGCCATTAACCCGATACCTCTAACGTACTAGAGAAGGAGGTAAGTTTTTCGTACTGAGGTCGTCGGCGGAACTAGTTCTAGTAAGTACTTATTTGAATTCTTTGTACTAGTACGTGCCATAATAGAAATGGGGGTAGAACAAGTACTCACTTACGTCCATCTTGATCCAAGTATCTATCATACTTCTAATGCCAAACGACCTGCCTGAAAAGGGCAAGAACCTGGCAGGCATCGTTACAGTCTGCGGTGGTGGTGGCTTGGCTAGTGGAATTCTTAGAGGCTTGCAAAAACCCCGCACTACATCTACTTCGAACCCCCTTTCATCTTCTCGAAGTGGTCCTGTCCTCTTCATTTTAGGAATTCACTTCGAGAGATAAGAGAAGCAGGGTGTGCCAGAGATGGACGAAGCTCCTCTTGTCGTTCGCCTCTTCCTATTTGAGAGCGATAGTATCCTTGGAGGGGGCTTCTTTTTCAAGGAGGAAAGGAAGAACCAACCAGGGAGCCGCATGATATTAAGGAGACATGCATCAGCGATAGCTGAAAGGCATCACCTCTCGCGCGAAGTCCTTTCTTAATTGCGACTCGCTTTTCAAGACGGTAAAAGAAAAAGGAATCGCAATTAAAGTGCTGCCGAAGAACAGTACTAGCCCATAATGTCTCTCAACTAGCACAAGAAAATGGCCGACTTCTGGCATCGTTGCTGTCCTCTCATGGTCGTGAGAGTCGACTAGGGGAATGAACCTCGCTACGGAGCGCTGGCTTGGCTCGATAAGCCTCGCTGAACCTGCTTTGGCTCGATAAGCCTCGCTACGGGACGCTGGTGTTGTCGGAGGTAGCTGCTCTTTGGGCCTGGAAGTGCATCATAGCAAGCTCGCATGCCAGGTTCGTCGTTGCTGGCGACCATCGTTTCGGCAGCTCCCTCATTTTCTCCACGAACGCGCCGACCTCCACCTATTACATCAGGACTGCGGCCAGCCTTTCGTCCTCGATGATCTACTAGCGCATTAGAGGATGTGACTTGTCGTGCTTGCTGCGGAGCCCCTCGTTCACCGCCGAGTAATGACCGCAGATGAAACTGAGGGTGGTCGTTGGTCTGAAGATGATGCAGTGACTGTCGACTACAACTACTTGTATTTTCAGCACTGGCCTTGACTACGCCGGCGCTGGCTTGATCCCCGTGATGGTGTGGTAGAGGCCTACTATGTTCGTCTTCTTCCGATAATTCATCATCATCCTCAGTAGCTCCAGTTCCATGCGCCACGCCTGGGGCAGCAGAAAGTAGCGGCTGCCGTACATTGCTCCCAGCGAAGTTTTTTAGCTTCGTGGAAGCAGCAGCTCGATAGTTCAGGTGCTCGACCATCGTGTCTATATCCCGCATCAATTTCTCCCCAGAGGCTCTTTGCCCCATAGCTGGTTTGAGATATGGTTAGAGGACACGATCACGAAGTACAGCATGATCTTCTTTTCTCTTATAATGAAGCCTATAATAATTACAATGCATGGTTTTGCTCATGGAGATCTAGATCTTTCTGCTTACTTGTGAAGCCTCGAAAGCGAAACAAATTATATCAAGGACTACCATGGAGTACTTCTCAATCTAGATCTAGTATCTAAGTACTTAGGTTCATCTTGTCTTAACGTGGCGGCGGCAGTAGTGGGTGCTCCTCTTTCCTGAGCTTCGGGACAGATACGCTAGGCCGGTCAGCCACCGCTTTCATGCCATTACCATCTTCAGAGGGGACGGCTGGCTTTTGAGTCGAAGAAAGAGACGATGCTGAGGCCTTAGTGCTGACGCCTTGGCAACTGGATGACGATGAAGATGATCCAGCACCATTGTGGTCTACTGAAAAAGGAGACTGCTCTGGAAGGTCGTCTGCTTCTTGCCTTCGCTGCCTCGCTAGCAATTTGATAGAATGGGACGCTGAAGGAACTAATATTTTTCCTTGTTGTTCTCCTCCATGATCATGATCATGTGCAGGACTTGCCTGGCCACTCCTGCCATATCCAACAGCAGCATTTGTCGATGGGGACAGTGTGGAACAGGGACTAGCTTTTTTTAATATGGACTTTGTTCTAATGCTGGTACTGGAGGTAGTTGCTGATCTTCTACTCTTCGGACATCTTCTAATTTCGGTATGAATAACTGGGGATATATCCTCCCACATCAAATCACTTCGTTCTTCCAGGCCACTTCTGCGGTGTTTCTTCGATGTGGGTCGTGAGCCACGTTCTTTCTCTGCTGGCGAACATTCGTTTCTTGATGGAGCGACCACAGATGATCGCACTACGAGATGATGCGACGTATGCAGTTGTTCTCTGCGATCAGCATTTACGAGATGACCTTGTCCGATGTCTTCACCGTTTGGAGTTGTGGGAATCATCTCAAATTGGATCTCTGTGCCGCACACTTCCAATCTGCTCTTCTCTGCATACGAAGATAGTGGCTTTTTGTCGTGGCGGAGCAACAAAGTGGAACTGCCTCTGTCCTCAAGTGGGTGTGGATCTCGATCGCTTTCGGCTTGATGATTTGCCGCAGCAGGCTTCGCATGGTGAGCACGAGCGTACCCTTTTTCGTGATCGTGTGCAGGCACGTACAACCCTTCATCTTCTTCATGTTTACGTCTGTACACTAGATGATCCCTACTCCTGCTTTCATGTTCATAGTGTGGGTCGCGATGGGACTGCTTGTTCTGGCCGCGTCCTCGACTTGAAGCGTTTTCGGCCTCCTGATTGCGTCCTCGATTTGATGAAGTTCGTGCTGCATCTCTGTCGTGCAGACGTCTTCTTGAAGCACTTGTGGTCGAAGTTGCGAGAGTTGTTGCTTCACGCTTAGACTTCTGCTCCGTCTGTGATCTACTGGCTTTTGCACTCGCTGGGCCACGCTTTACTTGCCGCCGCGGCGCATCGGGTTGCGAGTCGTACTCGTCATCTACCCCTTCTTAGAGGCTGTTGTAGGAAGTCGAGTCGGTCCTAAACAATCGAAAAGAAGCTCCTCGGCAAGTACTTCTAGCGGTTTTGATTGTATCACACAGCACCTGACCCGTACTTTCTGAATACCTATGACCGTGACACGAGGAGGATAGCCTCTGAGGACAACCATACTACTTAGCCATAAAAATCTTCATCCAGATCCAGTAACGGAACTTCTCCTATCCCATCAATGAGCACCTCTGAGGCGACGCTTGATGATAAACCTGCTCTACTCGTCTCTTCAGAGCTACCTGTGCTTCCATCCGATCTTCCCTCTTCTCGTGCTCCCTCGTCTTCTGATTGGCCAGCATTCGAATCGTTCGAGCTTTCGTCAGCCCTTTGTTCATGCTGAGTGTTCTTGAAAGAGGCTGAGGATTGCTGTGACGCAGAAGTCTGACTTGAGGACAGGATAACTGGAGGCTGATGTCGCAACTTGGCGCTTGTTCGGGGACCGCTTCTACAACTCTTCTCGGTGTCTAGTGCAGCTACGTCCTTGTCACCTTTGTTCTCAAGAACTAAAAAAGGACCTTTTTTCGGATGTTTTTGCTCCGTGACCGTGTGAACTGCATTGAGGCGCGAGTCTGAAGATGAGATTGCCGAAATTGATGATAGAGAAAGCTCGTCTACTCCTTGTTCTAAAGGATTTAGACTTTTAGGAAGTTGAGAGGACTGCTCCTTATGTTGAGAGGACTGCTCCTTATGTTGAGAGGACTGCTCCTTATGTTCTTGAGAGGACTGCTCCTTATGTTCTTGAGAGGACTGAGGCTGGTGCGTCTTGACTCTACTCTCTGCTCGCTTCCCGCTTAAAGAGACAACAAATGCGTCAATGTCCGTCCAATTCTTACTCGGAACAACATCAACTTTGGTCCTAGCAATGGCCTTTGTTTTCTTCTTGTTTTTGTGCCCTTGTTGATTTTCGTTCCTCTTAAAGTTTTTGAATTTGATGTTGCAGCTCTTTTCAGTGCTCTGCAAGTTGTTGTTGTTACAACTCTTTTCAATCCCATGATCGTTCTTGAGGAAGCGAATGTCGTTTACTGCGTCTTCAATTCCATGCTCCCCGGGGATCTTTCTAGGGCTTGTTCTTTCCGAGTAGTAAAGTGGAGCGACCCAATTTGGCCTAGAGAGAGGTGGGTGATCTACTGCTGAGGGGAGTGTACTTGGTAAAGCACTTGGTAATGCGCTCTGCAGAGCGCTGAAGGGAGCGCTGTCACTCGAAGAATTGGCTCGAGACCATGATTGAGCAGGTAGATTAGATATTCAACATTGAAGATGTTTTATTCAGAGACTCAACATGAACTACATTCTTGTTTGATGTTTTTTTAATTAGAATTTGGAACCGTTCACTTTTTTTGGAAAGATGATTCCTATTTCTGACTATTATTCATTTTCATCTTGGTGTTCGAGACATGATGTAAAAGTAAAAGTTAGTACATCTTTATGTTGGACAGTGCTTCCATATCTATAAATGTATCAAGATCAAGATCTTCCCGCTCCATCGGCCATAATAAGAGTTGCGACGTCTCGTCGGAGCTGTTCATTTTCCTTGCGCAGCCGTTGTTCCGATAACAGCAGGGAATGCATATGCCCAATAGCTGACTTGGTGGATCCTTTCCCCATGCCTCCAGCATCGTGTTGATTTGTACTAAAAGTGGTAGCTGTATTTTTAGTAGCACCTTCTAGTATTCCTGCTCGACTACTCTTGTTCGTCGAGTAGAGGATCTTAGACGACCGATGGTGTTTGGTGGATGACGAAGTCGCGCCTCCACCACCTAGAAGCAAACTGGTCTCATGTTCATTGATTTCTGCTTCCAGCTCGTCCAAATTCAAGGTCCAACTAGGATCGTCGTCCGCTTCATCTTGCTCCTCTTCTATCATTAGACCTCACAGGAGTTACACTACAATCCATCTTTTCCCTCATCGACCTGTGTCCACTTTTCTACTTTATATTTGAACTTGCTCATAGAGAAATCGAGATGGCGCAAAGTAAGAGTCTGATATAATCAGATATACCTCAGATATTTTCTTATTATAATACCCGAGAGGTACTACACCGATTAGATGTGTGCCACGAGGGTGGCGCTGTTCACAGAGTACACAGAGAGATGGACACACAGAAGAGCGGAGACCTAGGATCTCTATGGTGATTCGATCCTAAATATCAATAGTAGATCTCAAGCTATCTGTGTCTTCCTCTCCGTCATCCTCTTCCTACTTGTGCAGGCCGTCTCTCTTAGACGCGAAGGTGAACACGGTGAGTAACAATATTCAACATGAAAGAAAATACTGCTCAATGCTGCTTCGGCAGCCCGTCTGCTTTTGGTAAACTATCGTCAGCAGACGAGCAGCATGGTGGTAGGATGGTCTCAACTACCACTAGAAGGAAAAAGATTCTCAGGGTGGGAGTCGCTAAACAGGCATTCTCACCACCATGATCTTGGGTAAAGAGCGAAGACTTCATCATAGAGGAGGATGAGTAAGTCGACTCACCTTCAGAAGTAATCTTAGTGTAATTCATAGGGAGTGTAGCTACTCACAGTTGCTACTTCAGATCTTCGGAGAGTGAAAACCTCTTCTTCTTGATTAAGGAGAGACTCACAGCCTTGGTTGTTCTCATATCTACGTCTTCGCCGACTAGGCACACTAAAGCGCTTTGTCAAGATGCGAGTTTCTGCTTCCCTAAGCAGTTCAATTATCTGGTCGAAGTTCAAGATTGACGAACAGGTTCGAAGCCGGACATCAAGAGGGGTCGCTTCGGCATAAACGCGCATATTTTTCTGCAGTCGCTCTAGCTCCTGTGATGGAGTGGGAGAGGGAAGGACTGTAGTATCCGCACGAAGGGTGAACATGGAGATATGGTAGAGGAGAAAGTATGTTCAAAACAAGAGGTTTCTCTTAAACGTTACTCTATCGAAGATAGGGAGGAGGCGTCTAATATTGCCTCCTCTGCATCAATAGTCTCAGGATCAAAAGATACTTGTTTTTAGAGTTACACGCCAGACCCATTTCACTCTCCAACGTCTGCGCATATCGGCAGATGTTGGGAGGAGGGATGGGGCTGGTGGCATAGCACCTTAGGTACCTTTATGCCAGGCTGTCGCTCGTCTGAGGAGAGAACACAGAGATAGTCAGAACTAGAAGAGGTAGACATCTGGCGCCTGCGGTGGATCGCAGGCGCCATCAGTCAGCCACTCCATCAGTGACTGCGGGAAGAAAAGGTGGAACGTAGTAAAAGCTCCCCAATCTTTCGTGTAATTATGAAACATTGCTCCCATTGACTTTCTAGTCCACCCAAAGTGGTCACAGATGCGATCTTTAACCTTGCTAGGAAGATGCTGAATGTCAAAGTAGCCATGTTTCGCAAGTTGCAGTCTGATGACCATGGCGGCAGCACGCCTGAAACCATGGGGGGTCGTGCCACAGGTTGACGCAAGTCGCCTAAGTTCATGCTCAGGGACAGAGAAGATTTCAGGAACGACCAGGTTTGTTGGCAACACATTTCCAAACAAGTCTTCACCCTTATGGCTCTTAATATGTTGCGAGAGCACCAGGGTAAGGGCAGGATCATGGGGCAGGACTTGCATGAGATCTCTAGAGAGAGACGCCATGGACGAGAGTCGTAGTCCACCCGCAATCCATGCTTTTGCCCTTGCTCTATCTTTGGGGCAGAGCTTCATTACCTTACTTGCTGATACAGGAAGTGCTTTCTTTCTAGCAAATTCATCCCTGAGTCTTGCCAGTGCTCGGTACATGCTTGTCTGGTTATCCCCTGCAAAGGGGGAGCCTAGGTCAAGTTTGTTGAGCATTTTCATCCGTTGCATAATGGTACCAATATGCAGATGATATGACTTAGACATGTCATGGTCAAGAAGAAACTTCCCATACTCAAAGATCTCACCACAGCAAGTGACTGCTGGGAAGAACATCTTTGCTACATCATAGCAGGTCTTTGGGATGATGAATTTCTTGCTTGGGTATTTTGTATTAAACCAACTAACCCAGGCTGTCCACTGAGACCTCCTATTTGCCATGGTCTGTGGGGCGAGGCTAAGCTCAAGGGGCCATATGCTGAGTTCTTGTCTATATTCCAGCCTGTTGGCGGGATCTCTTCCGAGATTTCTTGCCCTGGTCAGCATTCTGTAGCTGCGAGAGGTCAACAAGTTCTTGGATGGTTTCTGCTGCGGCCCCTTTAGCTTTATCGACCACGCCGACCCACTCTTCTAGATTTATCACTGAGTCAAGGGAACGGCTTTTCGTTTTTTCGATAAACGCCTTGAAGAGTTCCGGCCGAGTTAGTGCATCTGACGGATTGCGTTTGGATTTTATCCAATGGAGACTCATCATCGTGCTATCTTGATGTAGTTGGGCTACAATCATGCTAGCTAGAGCTCCCGCTAGTGGACACGAGGAGTGGCCATTAACGATAGCAAAGGAGGCTCCTTGGTTATCGCAGTGTATGATGAGCTTCCTGCCCTTTGTCCATTTTCTGAAGAGAGTTATAGCCAGGTAGATAGCTAACATCTCATAGAAGAAAATGACTCTGTTGCAGAGGGTTTCGGGCTCAAGCTTTGAGCTGGACTTTTTCATTGTGTACCTTAGGGAGAAGTGAAGTGGGTGCGGGAGGTCATGTGCAAAGATAACCGCACCCATCCACAAGACTCCATCGGCGAGAGATGCATCAGAGAAGATTTCTGCCGTTCCTGAAGAGAGGACTTCAGGGCAGAGCGTTAGCCTGTTCGTTGTGTCACCTCTTTCGATTGCATCCTGGAGCATTTTAGCAAAGATGACTGCTGTTTGCCGAACTCCTTGCGAGTTTTTCAGGATGTTAAAGAATTTCGGGGTGGTGAATTGCCACAACCAACTTAGAGCTGGGCCACAATGGAGGTAGTGGCGCCAGTAGAGGTGGTAGGTGGCTGTTCCTGTAAGCCGTTGCAGGTTCTTAAGCGACACAGAGTTTTTTCTCAGGAAGTCGATGACTTCACCACATTGCTTTACAGCTTCCTTTATCTTAGGACGCGGCATCTGGCATTCTAGTTTCCAACGTCCTTCATGGCATGTTGTCTTAATGTCAATCCCGAGTGTTTCCGAGCAGGTTCCTAGTTTTCCTATTACATCTTTTTTATCGGATTGCAAGAGGCCTAGGGCAGCAAGGAGGGTCTTGATAACTCCATGGAGTTGAGGAGCAAGGAGGTGATTTGTTAGTATGATGATATCATCAACATACACAAGAACAGGGATCTTGAGGACTCTGCAGCAGAACCTTTCAATGAGTCTGCTTACAGACCCACAGAAGTGGAAAACTGAGTGCAGGTTGCCGAAGGTAATCGCTGGCGTGACACAGTAGCACACTTTGTCTTTTTCAGGATCCCAGTAGGAGAGGGCATACGAGCCCAGAGGTGAGTCATTTGCAAGCTGGAAATATGCACTGCATAGATCAATTTTACTTACAACTGGGAAGAAGTTGAGGCCTCCAGGTGCCGGCTCTTGAGGGGGCAGCCCCGCGGTAATGGAAGCAACTTCTTCCCATACAGTCATCTCCGCACGTTCTCTCTCAATCTGTTCTTTAAGTTGTTTCTTCAGGAACAGCGCAGGGGATGGGATGTTAGGCGCCATCGCGTACTGCAAGGCCCTCACGATGACAGGGAGGCCTGGAAGTGAGAGATGTTCGGAGATGGCTGAGACGCGCTGGTTGTTATCTTTCTCGTTAGCAATTGAGCGGATTTTATCCCAAGCCTGCGTTGCCTCATTGAACTTTTGCCCAAGGCTAAAGATAGGGATAAGCTTCTCAATTTTTGTGGAGCCTGACCATAGCGAACCATCTGGCATTTCATATGGTTCAGGTATCGGCCACAGAATCGGGGCCACGGGAGGCGATGAGTTTTTTATGACATCAAGGCCACGTGCTAGGATATCTTCTGTCTCAAAGGGGTAGGGTTTTGTCCGAGCTGGAGGGCGAAGATTTAGTTGCTCAAGGATTGCTTCCTTAGTACTAGGACAGCGGTCAAGCAACTCCTCTTCCTCTTTGGTAAGTTTTTTACCATATTCCCACACCCCATAGTTAAACACTGGGCCCGATGTTGGGTAGCCCTTATTTAAGAAGCCACAGGAGCCATAGATGGCTTCTCTGCGCTCTTCGTCCATGTAGTCACACTTTTCTGCAAAGAAGTGAAACATGGAGGATGAGCGCATATTAGTCACTAGGGCAGTTGCAGAAGACCTTGTGCAGTGATGGGCCAGGAGGCGAGCTCCAGGCGCCATTTCGCGTTCGTCTGCCTTCCGGCGCGCAGTCCACCTTGTCGAGTTATCAAATTCTCGAGCAAGGTCATCCATCACCTTCTTGACCCGTTTTACCTCCACGTCTGCGCCCTGTTAAGGTGAGCAGATGAGGGGATATGCAGGGCGAAGGTTTTGGGAGGGAAAACTTTTAAGTATGTAGAAGATTGTTGGAAGTCAGGGCGCATAGCTTTATCCAACTTGAAGGTATTTATTTTAGGAATGAGTCAGTTGTACCTGGACAGTCTTTTCAATCGTACTATGATGATCGATCGCCTGCGCAAGATCTTTTGACAGCAACTGGTCATAGTTTCCAGACTGAGAGGACGACATTTTTCTTTATTCCTATTCTCACACCAGCAAGGATTCTGATTCTATGTTAGGCGAGGGGACTAAGGAGCCTTATTCATTAGACCTTATCTCGGCTTAGCCTTTGCTCTCGAAAAGACTGGAGTTGAGTGATCTAGGCACCAGCTTTCATTTGACATCCACAAGTCTTTGCTTACACTCAGTTATCGAAATCTCTGGAGGAGGCGCCTTATAATCGGCATACTCTCAGGTCAAGACACAATTCGAGTACTCTCGTAGTACTTGCTACACCTTAGGCAAGCATAGTTCATAGGTTGACTTTACTAGTTTATGGAGCGCCACTGGGCTGTTCTCATACTATGAGACTTGCAAACTTGCATCAACTTGTATTCGTCGGTACTACCGAGAAAGTTTGGGAAAAGAACGCGAGGGTCTTTAAAGCGGTGGTAGGATGTTTATGAATCATGACATACTCTTTCTAAGTTTATCTTTCAGTCAGATAAGCTAGCGATGATGGGTGAGAGGTCAGGGAAGGATATGTCACTACTCGAGTAAGTACTCAACTCAAGTGGAAGGCATGTACTTATTTGTGAGTCAGGGAAGTATTGGTATGACAAGGAGCTACTAGATTGTTGCTCATCCAAGTATCCTCCCCCACTCACTACAACAGCAGCTGGCGTCGAGATGTCGGACTCTGCTATCACCAGAAGGTCTGATAGCTGTAGTACCACAGCTAAGCGGCGTAGCTTCATTCCTTCATCATCGTCTGACCAACGGTTAGTCGTCCAAACAATCGGAAAACCTGGAGTAAGGGAGGGAATTTGGGCAACTTCGGGAGCTTCTTAGGAGCAAGAGAAGTTTCGTAGAAGTTATCTTATCAGTAATATGCATATGTTATGGTTAAAGGGAGCTAAATGGTAGTCAAGGCTCGATAGCCAGTCAGCCAGAGTTAGCTCTAAGAGGATGTATTATAAGTTGTTACATGCTAGAAGAAGGATTCGACCTTCTTATTCTGGAGAGAGCTGCGCGTAGTCTTGTATGCGACTTACGTGCGTAGCTGTTCTTGAAGAGAGGTCAACCTTACCGCTCATACGTCGGATTACGGGTTCTCAACTGCAGCTAGAAGACTGGTCCTAGCCACTAGGAACCTTCAAGAGACAGCCTACGACAGCGCAGGGATATTCCTACCAGATTTCCTCTTTAGAGGACTTTCGTAGTCTTCGCAACTTGCCCCGTTTTCCTATGTGTGTTACACTTAAACGGGCACGTTGGTCGAACTTGGCGACCCTTTGAGTCCTGGTATGGAGGTGTTGGGTGAGAGTTGGGGGCATTGAGGAGACAGGCTGTATTAGCATGATAGTTCTTAATTGAACTGAAAGAAGGACAATTGCCGAGATTGACAGACTTCCACACAATGAGCAAGGTGGTATCAGGTTAATATTAACCGAAAGTGAACAAGAAGACACGAAGGCCACTGCTAGAAGTACCTCAACGAGGACTTTTAGAAGGTGACACAGATGGACTGAGCAGATCCCTTCAGGCACTTCTGTGAGATCAGTTTTCTGACACAGCATCGCATCGCACTTCGACTGAAATTCGATGTGCTTTTCCGTTTGTCTGCCAGATGCAGCTGCGCCGCCTGCTTTCTTGCCGGAACCCTTCGCGGGTGCAGGCTCACGCTCATCTACATGATTACGCTTTTTCGCCTTCATTTTCATCTTTGTCTTCTTGACCGGGTATGCAGGATCCTCTGATGTGGTGGCGCCATTACCCAGCACCTTCTTCGGGGCTCGAGCTACTGTCTGTCGCAATTGAAGACAGGCATCCCTGACTTGGAATTTGTCAAGTGTTGCTGCTTTCATGGGGGTCTCTTTGAGGTATGCCGCAAAGTGCGAGACAAGGGAGCACCGATCCAGAGAGGACAGATGTTCGACCAGGTCAGGGACGGCACTAAGCTCCTCTTTGAGATCATTCAAGGTTTGCCATTTCTTGCTGCCAACACCTGCAACAAAGCAGAGGAGGAGCACAAGGTCTAGTGGCTTCTTAACAAGCTCAACTAGTTTCTTGTGGCTTTCGCTGTTATAGTCACGCACATTGCTGGACATTGTGACTACAGCCGCGAGGATGTTGTCACAGAGTTTGATCGCTCGTGAGAGCGAGTGAGACTCTAATCCAAAGAATCTTGGACTTATGCCATGATCAGCAAAGGGGGACGCAGCGCCAAGAATTACGAGGATTTCCCTCAGGGCATTTTTAAAGTCGATGCCTCCCCATGGTATGCACGACAAGTCTTTCATCACTTCGTCAACCTTCAGGTCGTACGAGGCTGTTACCATGTTAATGGCTAGCAGTGTGATGGCGTCGACGTATGTAGTCAGTTTAAGAGATCCTTCGGAGGATTCTTTTGACTTGACAAGTGCAATGGCATGCTTGTTGTGCAGGAGCTCAAGTGCTGCAATCTGTCTGGTTTCTGAGACAGGGACCGGCACATGTGCATCCTTTCCAATAGCGACAAGAGCATACCGCTTCACTTTCCTCCACACAACAGGATTGACCATCTTGGTCATCATCCCAAAGACTGGAGGGATAGTAGCACTCAGATGTAGAGACGCAAGTGGTATTTGTGCTTCTTCGTCCGGGTTTATAGCGGACTCATCAAAGTGAGACGGTAGAGGGTCTTCGACAAACGGGAAGCCCGTTGTCGGACACTTCATCGCCATTGGGCCATACTGCATCGCTCGCCCATTCGCAGTTTTGAAGTAGAGCTCATCTGCATCTTCTTCTTGCATGTTGGCATATGCGCCACTTGTCTGGAAGTATGGATTCCACGGCATGCCCATGCCCATTCCCATTCCCATCTGTGGGGGATAGAAATGCGGCAGACCATGCATGGCTGCTCCACGGTTCGCAGCTCTCGAGCGCTTTACATCTTCACTATCACTATCCTCTTGCTGCACATGTTGAGGATGAGATGATCTAGGCACGTATGGCCCTGATGCTGCAGCGGCTGCCTGTTTTCTGGACTTGTACGTTGGGCCATAGCTGCACTGTGACCGGAAACCCTGCTCAATAGAGGAAGCCGCAGCTTCTGAGATGGGTTTTTCCTGCATATGCCTACCTTTTCCTGCAAAGGTCAAGGTGGGCCTAGTCGGAGCGTGCGCACTCGCTGATGCTCTCGCATGTGCTGCTTTTTCAACTTGCTTTCTGAGCGGTCGAGCAGCAGTCACCGGCAGGCGCTCTACCGACATAGTGCTATGAGCTGAATCAGCGGAGATGATCGAGTCGTTCTTTATGATGCCTTGGGCAAGTTTATCCTGAACTTGTTTCGATTCGTCTTCACTGTCCGAGGAGGAGGAGAGCTCACTCTCAAGTTCCTCATCATCTTCAAGGATGTAGAAAGGTGCCCATGTTTCTGTGCAGAAGTGTTCCGACTTGAAGGACGGCATGCGATCGTACTTGAACTGTTTGGCAAACTGTAGCATGGCTGCAGGCTCTTTCTTGAGTCCTTCCTTGATAGCCGTCCACGTTCTCTGCTGAGTAACTGATGCCAGAGCACCCCAGTTCTGCTGCTCGACCATCAGCCTCGGCCAGATCTTATCAAACTCAGGGAGCATGACCGACCTTTTGGCAGAGGCTGCCTTGCCACTGTCATCGAAGTACGAGGCAGTGATCCTAAGGATGGAATACACTGCCGAGAGAAAAAGGTGGTGGATACCTTTTTGGTTCTCTTTCAAGTTTTCGCTCAAAGAGCCAAACTTGCCCGACAACACGTCATGGATTGCCTCTGGCAGGATTCTCCATGCGTGTACCAAGTGGCAGAGGGCGTAGCGCATCCTCAATGCTATTACTTTGAGTTCGTGTGGGAGGCTGTGGAACAGGCAGACAGCCGCATTCTTCACACCATGCGCACACTTATAATCTACCAGAACTTGATAGAAAATCGGGAAGAGGAATTTTCCCGTTACAAAGTAGTCGAGGAAACCACACATTTCTTCTTCGAGATGGTGATAGGCACGAATGACCTGCTTGGTAGTCTCGAAGAATTTTGGCGACCTTGTTGCATCACCTTCTTCGGGCATTCGGGTGCGAACTGTATTCTGCCCCATAAGATCACCATAGAGGACCATCAGAGCTAGCTCTCTCGGTTCCTTAATGGCTTTCTTGAGCAAGTCAGTTGGTTTCCCAACTGCGCTCCTAGTGGGGAAGAGGTCAGCAGCTGACTCAGAGACAACATCAGCAGAGAGCGCATGGTCAATCTGCATGATGAGGTCTAGCCACTGCGCAAACGTATGTTTGCCACAGTGCATAGAGAGGAGATGAGGGTGGTCAGCTGCCAAGAAGCGAAAACGTTCATGGTCCTTGTGCAGCCTACGCTCAGCTGATGCATGGTCAGAGATTACAAAGGAAGTGAGGGGCGGATGCAAAGCCTCAAGACCATTCTCTGCCAGTGGATGGAGGGTCTTGTTAGACTGGCTCCTCTCACTGGGCATACTCTTCTTCGATTTTGTAACCGAACGGAGTGATGCACCTAGTTTTTTACTACTATCTTCCCTGTCACGAGCACTTTCACCGACTGCAAGTGACCTCCCTCTAGTACACTCAGCATCCTCTTTCTTAGAGGTACTGCCTTGTGGATCACCACCCTCTACTGTGACAGCGAGAGGAGACTCCTCGTTTATAGTCGGGAGCCTACTAGGTGACGACTTCACAGTTGTATTCTGCTTCGGATTCGGTTTATGCGTATGCTTTGTACTTACTACTAGGCTATTACTGTGCATGTTTAGTCTACTAGACATAGGTGCTATCTTTCTCTCGTTGCTTATCTGTGATGTAGATGTAGTAGTATCCTTCGGTCTACTAGTTGGCACAGCAGCAAGCGTATCACTAGATTCTCGAGATTTTCTAGCTGGCAGCTCATCTGGGTCATCTTCTACGATTATCATCTCTACATCACTTTCCTTGCAGGTAGTGGAAGTAGATATACCCGGGTTCTGCAACCGTCTAACCTTTGCTGGATGAGGGGCACTCCCTTCATCAGCTTCGGGTCGCCGTTGCCGCACCTGCTGAGGCTGTTCATCTCGTTGGCGATCTTCTGTTGTCGCCCAGAGCCGACCCGAGAGGAGTAGGGAGTCTGATCGACCATCTCGTTGTGGATCATCAGCTACTTGCAGTGCATCACGATTTTCTTCTTGTGCCGCGCTTGTCGATGGTTTCAAGGGCGGGCCTGTATTTTAGATATCCAGGTGTGAGCCAGCAGTTTCAGGAGAGTGAGGATGCTTAAATATCCTGTTTTCTTCAAACTAGATGGTTCTAAACGTTAATCTCATATTAGATGTTTAGGATCACACTCGATAGTACGCATGAACCTTACACTCAGGGTTATGTCTTCGTTAGGTTAGCTAACGAGAGATTACTATAACCTGAATGTACCGTCTTCTCCGCAGAATGCACCTAGAGGGGACACACGCGAGCTACAGGGTTGCGCACCTAGTAGCATCACGTGTTTCTCCATCTGTAGTGCTGCCTCAAGCGATGCGTTGGAGGCTACTGTCAACTCCGGGTGGTCAGAGTCTACAGTAGTGTTGACGCTGCTGGACCAGTTCTGCAAAGACCTTTCACGTTGAGAGCGTTGAGAGGCTTGGGTCGAAAGCTGCGAAGTAGAGGCCTCAACAAGGAGCTTATCGCCAAGAGGAGGGCCCGTTTCAGGTTTATCAGGACCTTTCGCCGGTGGGTCCTCCTGATCGCTATCATCGTCTTTGATCTGGACGAAGGACGAGCAGTCTAGCAGGTTGTCACCAGTTTTCGCACACTGGTCTGCTCCAGGCTGACCCAATATCACTTCGTCTTCGAAGTCAACTTCCATCGGACAAGCGGTACCTGTTGCAGTGTCGAGAAGATCAGGTAGCACTTCCTGCAGGTCTCCTGACAAGGCGTGATCGTGGTCAACCTCCATTGGGTCATCACCAGGCTTAGGATCCGTATCGGTTCCATCTGATGCTCTTGCTCCTGGGTCACCAGGTAGGAGTGGAGGAACTGGGTGTCGCTCTGCAGCAGACCGAACATAGCCAGGAGGATCAACCAGGTTTGTCGCAGGGACACGAGGGAAGTCAGGTGGGTCACTGGTGCCGGTACTCGCACCACTGCTGCTCTGATTATTAGATTCACGGATCTTGCCCCCATCAAGGAGAGAAGATTCATCCGAACAGTCAATCTGCATTGGAGATGGACCGACCTGGTCTTCAGGTTCGGTCTTGACTGCTCGTTTGGCACGCATCTTCTTCGCCTTGACGGGGGCACTCTGTCCTTTAGAGAGGACAGAGGCATCATCGACGGCTTTCAGGGTCTTCATGGCTGCAGCACAGGATACTTCGTTCACTCCTGTGCACTTCGAGGTTGCAGATCCTTTTTGAAGGATGACAGAACCTCCTCCAGAGGCCTGTTTCCGCAGAATGCCATCATCAGCTTCACCACTTGCTTTCTTGGCGGAGGTGTCGTTAGTGGTTTTCGGCGGGGCGCCACTATCCCCTTTCGATACGCCTGGACCGTTGCCCACCTTATTGACCACTTTCATGGTCTTGGTGGAGGTCGTTGCTGCCACCGGAGTTTTCTTCGAGGAAGATTGCTCCTTAGGCCCTTTAGCAGAGATTGATGATTTCTTCATCTTGAGGGAGAGGTTGTTTGCGTGATTAGCGCAGAGATTTGCTAGCTAAAGGTGGTGTTTTTTGGGTATAAGGAGGCTGCCGAGTTACATTTTTCGTTATGTTGAGAAAGTTTATCAGCTTACCCAAGTCAGATATGCGAAAAGCTTATCTATAAAAGATTTAGACACTGCAACCGAGGACAGAAGTCAAAAGACTGTGAAAAGGGCAGAAGCTGTGATAAAGTCAGAAACTAAGATGATGCGATGGCTACATTGCTATCTATCATCAAGTAATCTGAGGTGCGCAGTAGTCCTAGTCAGCTACAACTAGGCGTCTTCACCCTATAAAAAGGAAAAAACGGGGCACTCATTGGTGACCGATAACAGATACAGATTCCACCTTCATGTGAGCAGAAAAAACAAGTAGGTGAGGCTTCAAATTCTCATCTCTTTTGTCTCGTAGTTCTGATTCACTGCGGGTCATATCACCTATCTCAACCGAGTCTGTACAGATTCGTTGTTCACGTGACGAGTCTCGTTTCTGTTCGGACTCACTCGCAGACAGTGCTTTACAAGAAGCCCATCCTCACCGGGGAGGAGTCCCGCAGCGCTCACTGCTGTTAGCGACAGTGATATATTAGTTGTACTACCTTTCCATCATGGTGCATAGTGCACATCTTTGCGCAACAAGAGGCGTCTTACTAAGATTACAGGAGGAAGAATTCATCTCTGTTCTCTGGTCATTTAGCCCCATGCTTGAGTTTCCGAGCACTCAGCAATGGCGTTATTCATTAGCATCAGAGAATCCAACTTTCTCTTTAATGAGAGTAGGTGAATGAGCTATTACGTGGAACTGAGGAAGCCCTCAGTTCATGCTGTTCAGCATTCTGTAACGCCTGTAGCACTCGGAGCGCCCTGAAGCTTGACGTCATCACAGCTGCAGAGCACCGCGCAATCTCAGCTAGCTGAAACGCAAGGTATATAGCACTCGCCAAGACCAGTCCATTCTTCATTCGCTGTACATTCCATTCGCCTTCACCTAGCAGAAGGGCAATCAGGAATAGTCTCGCCAGCGTAGTAGAGTAGAACTTCAGCAGGACCAAGTAGTGGTCCTTGTTAGAGAGATACACAGGTGGATGCCTCGTATGCTCAGAGAGAGGGGCCACTTTTAGGGTACTTACATACAGCTCCCTCGCTTATGAGTGCGAGGAGGAGACCCTCCTATGGCATACCACCTTCGAGTGTAACCTTAAGAGCTGTCCTCTGAGCTAGCAGCTCTCCGGTTCTTATTGCTCGAAGCTGATCCGAAGCCCACGTTATATTCGCGGCAGCGGCACAAACGTAGCCTCCCATCAGCGAGAGTGCTGCTCCAGGTACTGCACTAGCCAGGTTAGCCGATGCAGCTCCGAGAGCCCTCAAAGAGTAGAGGAAGTTCATGTTATTACAGTGAAAGGGAGATACCAGTCACAATGAGTATTTATGCGTCAGTTAGTCGCCCTATGCCGTGTACTCAGCAGATGCAGCTTAAGACTAGCTTCAACATGAGTTTTTGAAGTTGGTAGTTGTGTGAAGGTGATACATCTTAGAGGAAACAAAGAGTATAACCTGCTATGCTGCAGTCTCTTGTCACTCTCTCCGATGGTTCGCTCCTCCTCAGCTGCTATCTGCAGTCCTACCGGAAAAAACATGATACTTGAGGGCCTCAATCGTTTTTCATACAAGTGTCGCAATGTATCCATGCGAAGAGTGTGTGGAGAGCTACCCAAGCTCCGGTCAAGCCGCAACTCAGGTTTTACGCAATATATTGGCGAGCAGTGCTGCAGCACGACTCTCTCAGGAAGAGTCCCACTCCAATATACACTACAAAGGTTGCATAAGTGCAACTACAAAAGATCGATATCACACTATTTCACTAGCCCAAGGAAGACAGTCTTCCTTTTATCCTACGTTCTATCGCTCTTCTATCTTGACACTTACTTACACTTTTGACAAAGATAGATCAAAAGAGGAGGCCTTAACTCTATATCGATTGCGCTGCTAGCGTTCGCCTTCGTTTCCTGTTCTACAGTCTCTGTTCTGCCGAAATCACCGCTCGTAAGAGTACGATTACGAATATTGCGTGATAATATAGTAAACGTATTAACTGTCGGTATTCCGAGCAAGGTGCTCCTGCACCTGCATAAACGCGAATGAGTACCTAATTAATAGATACATGCACACGAGTAAGAGGAAAATGCTCCATAAGAAGCTTCTGATGTTCTTGTTCCGAGCGCGTCTTTCGTAGTGTCGATGCTGTGCGACTTGGATTGCGGCTGCCATAGCTCGGCTTTTTTTCCACGTTCTGCTGAGGTCTGGAGGTGTCTTCATTTTTCGAAGGTGAAGATGGAGCTCTTTTGTTGCAGTGAAAAGGACTTTTCCCAGTCCCATTACTTGCGTTTGCAGAAGAAGAAGATGGCGACTTCGTCGCCGCTTTGCCATGCACGATTTTTACTCCAGCAGATGAAAGCCTTGTGGCCGTAATCGTTGTACTTGTAGAAGACGGCGTTCTTCTGGTAGTTGGTCCTCCCGGCCTTGTTGAAGACGATGGCGTTGTCGTTCCTCTTGTGCTGACCTTGTTGAAAAAGTGGGATAGGTTGGATTTGTCAGGGGAAGATGACGATGAGGCGCCGCCATACCCATTGCCATAGCTGTTACCGAATGCGCGCGCGCTGGTCGTTGTGGTTGTCCTACTAGAAGTAGCCCTACTAGAATTAGAGTTCCTTTGTTGTGCCTTTGGTGTAGGCTTAGTGCGATCCACTCCAGGACTGCGATGTTCTCCTCCTTGCGTCGATTCGGAAGGAGCCTTTTTTACCTCGCGTCCTGTTGCTTGCTCAGAATGCACTCCACGTCCTGGCACTTGCTCAGAAGATTTTAGTCCTAGTCCAGCAAAAGGAGCACGGCCCGGGCGATGCTGAAAAGATGCTTCTCGCACTTGCTGAAAGGACGCTTCTCGCACTTGCTGAAAGGACGCTTCTTGCTGAACAAAGGACGCTTCTTGCTTTGCCTCGTCTGGCGTTGGGCTTGGAGTTCCCCTCCAGGCAAACCTCGCGCGTATTGCGTCCGCGAGTGCTCTCTCACTGCTCGATAGTTGTCGTCGAGGCGACAAAGAATTAGGATTTTCTTCCATCTTTCTTTGGGTCTCTACGCGAGGCGTCAGCTATCTGCCTTTGCTATCTCCCATTCTTCACTGCTTCATCATCAACACGTCTGTAGGTTTAGGTAGAAGTGTTTCTGAACTGAAAATGTTACCAAAGTAAGAACAGTAAACAGAATGATCTAGATGATATCAACCTTTGGTGAAAAAAACGCCTAAAGCTAGACAGCTTTTCCTAGAAGCAATCGAACTTGTTGCACTTCTATGTGCTCAAAAACACGGCTTATCTTCATCGGGGTAAGCGAGCCTAGATCTAGAGCAAGTATATTCTGTCCGTACAACAAATATGTCCGTAGTACAAGGTATGAGATCGTTTTTTAATAGAGGGTGGGTTGACCAGGACTAGCAGAAGCAGATTCAGAGACACAGCGTCGCTCATTGACATGGATGGGAAGAAAAACCGAATTGAATAAAGAGAATGACCGATGACAGAAATTACCCTGTGACGATGATTAGTAGTTCTTGTTGTTGCTCTCTGAAAACTGTCTGACAGCAGTTACAGATCGATGATAGTGGTGATGTGTCGTCCTTGTGCAAGGTCCAAGCCTTTGTCGCCTGTCACGCTAGTCCCAACGTCTTTGTTGAGGAAGGTGCAACTAGTATCAAGGGTTGCCGTAGTCGTGGTACCAGAAGAGGCGGGACTGGCACAACCAAATAAGGCAATGGCAACACCGAAATCCGGATACCCAACGACAGCTTGTTTTCCATACGTAGCTGAGAACTCAGCCGCAGCGCGCACTGCATCGCAATCGGACACACGAAAAGATATGATACTCGTTTTTTGATTTGTCTTCCGACGTAGTGCACCAACTTTGATTTGTCTTCCGACGTAGTGCCATTTGGCGTTCTGTCACCTGGCCCTCCTAACAGAACGATGCCCGACCACGCAGTAGCTGGCGAGTGGCGAAGCCTCTCTCTCACAAGCACGCAGAGGGGTCCTGCGTTTCCCTTTTTGTAAAGTTAGCGCTCAGTACGATTAGGGCGACTGCGGACAACAAGATTCACAAAACGCGAACGCCTCGAAAGCAAAGTAACAAGTAGCGCCTGTGGCACGCTCTCAGCTGGAGCATTTGCACACACATCTGCAGAGCGCGATCACAACAGACAACATCCGAAAAATCACAAGCCTCCTCTCATGTTGTAGTGCCATGAGATGACGATGACCAGCAACCATCTCAGCGGAAAACGCTGTTGCTCGTTATGAGTTCATAGGTCGACTAATGTGCTGCGCTACTACTAAATCTCTTGGAGTAGAAACGCAAAAAATCAAACTGGAAAGGAGGTGGGCTGGCATCTGCCAACTCCTCCTTCTCTCAAATAAACGGATACAAGATGGCCACATTCTAAATAATCTAAATTTTAAACAAAAACAAAACGAAAGAACAAATGGAAATCAAGTAAGGTAATGGGATAAATGACCAATAAGGAAATTAGTCAACGATGCTCGTCTCAAGTCGCAAAAGATGCGAAAACTCTCGCTCTGCTCTAAAAGTTTGTGCCTATCTACTTCTGTTGAGTCTCAATATGATAGCGGAAGCCCCCTAGACTCCCGACACTCTTGACACCACACGATCTACTTCTTCTTCTTGCCACCACGCCGGACCTTCGCTGGTGGTCCGATGTCCGCCTTGCCCTCATCCTTCTTGCCGCCTTCCTCGTCCTTGTCCTTCAAGGGCGGCATCAAGGACGAGCTACCACCCGCGCCAGCATTGCCGGTCTCGGTCTTGTCCTTCTTAGGTTGTGAAGCCGGTGGTGCGTCCTGCAGATGACGATGTTGTTAGAGTCAGACTGATAAGAGTACGACGAGGGAACACTTATGACGCTTTCACTTTTTGCCAGTATTTAGACCTTTCTCCGTAATCCTAAACCCCTTAAAAAAAAATCTAAATCAACATACAAAAAGTGAAAGCAGATCTAACGTTGCCATGGCAGCCGGCTTCGGGGTTAAGTCGCTCGAGATCGATAATCCAGCAGCCAAGTTGAGTGCTTGCACGTAGCCAAGCTCGCGCTTCATCTTCAGGTTCAACACGTCCTGCAAGCACAACGCAACACCACGGTCGCAGGCTTGTTTGTACATGAGGCTGGCGACGAGGCAGGTGGTGGTGTGGCGCAGCAGGTACTTGCCAAGGGTGCGAGTAGACTTGTGGCCGTCTTCTGCGCATTCCTGGATGGACGTCGTGCAGATGATGCCCAACTTCTCCAACCACCACGCGAACACGCAAGCGTGTACAAAGGCCAACTTCACTCCGGATAGAGCGACCTCGGCCACGGAGGAGACCACGAACTGCCGCGAACCAAGAGGAACGTCTTCGAAAGCTGTATATTTTTGGGAGCAGATTGCAGGACCAAGAACCAAGGAGAACTTATGAGAGGATTTTGGAGGTTTTTGGATGTGATAAGAAACAAAGGTGACGATCCTAAAAAATCTAAAGAATCTAAATCGTCGAGCGGTATAAGAAGTTGTTGGTAATCACCATCAGTTTCAGGGTCGGCCCTTCGCCTCTGCTGGTACGCATCTGCACTGACAGGCTGCGACGTCGATACGCATTCGCTGAATAGACTCCAGCCGACGTCCATAACGTGGCCGCGCCAACACGCCACTCGCTTATCACACCGACGAAGGCCACACGAATCATCCAACGTCGGCTACTGAGCTCGCTGGGTGAAGAGCCTGACTTTCGTTGATAGTCTGTTGTATTATTGACATGCGTTTGTTGCGTGATTGGTGTAAGTATGGGTAAAGGATCTTTCGCACGACTCACTCATGTAGTATGTTTTGACCCTTGATGGATCTTTAGAAAATTTAAGCAGGTAATTTACCTCGTCGAAAGCGAACTTCTTTGCGTTGTCTTCCTGTGGATGATGAAGAAGTGGCAAAGCGGTATCCTCCAATGGAGCCATTACTCCTCGATGTCCTTCCGCATGCGGCACGAGGCCTAGAACGTTCGTATCCTTGCCTCCTCCTACGTATCCGAAGACTCGTGAGTTCCCTTGTGTGAAAGTTATCGCTGTCGAAGGAAGGGGAGGCTGCAGTCGATGCCGTTACGGTGGCTGTCGAACAAGGCGCCGTAGTAGATACGGTCGAAGCCGTCACAATCGACACGGTCGAAGCCGTTGTCAAGATACGGTCTAAGCCGTCGTAATCCATACGGTCGAAGACGCTGGAATCGGTTCGGTCGAAGACGCTGGAATCGCTTCGGTCGAAGACGCTGGAATCCGTTCGGTCGAAGACGCTGGAATCCGTTCGGTCGAAGACGCTGGAGGCGGTGCCGAAGCCGAAACAGTAAAAGCGGCGCTCTAGTGCGTACAGGGCGGATGAAGCTGGTCTTGCGTTTTTCTACCCTGCGTAGATAGCCCTCGCTTGCTCGGTCGAAGTTTGAGACATGTTGGCTTCTAGTCTTGGATTATACGAGTAGCATTCTTTAGTAAAGCTACCTCAGACAGAGTTCTTCACGTTAGTACTTAGTTGATCCGGGGTAAGTCAAGACGTCAGTAGTTACAAATGACTTCGTTCGTCTTTAGGCAAAACGCAAGGACGTCCGCTCGCAGCTTGGTATTACCTGCCTGCTTGCTTAAATTTAGATCCTGTGTCTTGCCTGCCAGAAGCGCTCGCCCGATAGGCCTCCCTCGAAGAATTTTCTCAACTCCAACCTCTTCCCCGTGATCATAAACGTGAGGAGACACCGATAGTAGTTGTAGTCAGATTTTCGCGAAGTGATACTCCTAGGGTTCGCACTTCATTCGTTCCGAAATCTGGACTGTGCAATGTTAATATTCGTTTTCATGAGAGCCGAAGCCCTTCGGTCCTCTTGATCATGCCAGATAAACTGGATCGAAATGGAAAAAAGGTAGTACGTCAGGCGTATCAACAAGCCCTTGCAGACTTGTGAGTCGTCCAGCAGACAACGAGATGGAAATAATATTTTCACAACAACAGGTAACTACTTCAATAAACAATCTAATAGCTGTCAAGTCGTCTTTGAGGTTGGAGCTTCGATAATGTCCTCCATTCGTTCTAAAAGAAACCAACCACAACTCCCGCCACGTCACCGCATAATCTTGCTCTTGTCGACATGATTTATTGTCGAGTCGTCATCTCACACAACTTGTACGAACAACAGGCCCGCTGCTCCCTCGTTTTCCCCGTATCTACCAGGCATCCTGTGGAGATGAGTGGGTTTTCGAGCAAGATGATAAAATCCATTGGAGAACAAAGACATTCTCGCAAAGGAAACTGGATTAGACAAATAATACATAATGAAAGTCTCCGAGTCCAAAAAGTGCTAATTTGGAAAATATTACCTCCGCCTCCACTCCTGGCAGCGCCTTTCTACTGCGAAAGCAGTCACCATTCCCACACAGCTAGGAGCTCAAAATTGTTCCAGAACAAATCTGCATCCGTCGTCTTCACGTTTCTACCCGTCCCAAACCACTGGAAGAACCTTACCTTGTGGATGTGAAAATACGTCACGTATTCCTCGTCTCCGCTATGAAATTGGGGCTCAAGCGTGCGTGGGGATTCATGTCGGACAGTCAGAGAAATACTGAAAGGGGATGCTAAGTTGACTGCTGGCACACCGTTGGAGGAAAAGACTGCTGGACCAAATACAACAGATCCACTCTTATCTGCTTTTATGTCTACCTTTATACTCTATCGAGAAGGACTTATCTAAATACACAGTGAGCAATCCAACATTTAGCAGATCTTCACACCCATATGCTGAGTAGATCACGAGACTGGACTCCGCCTCCTTTGCGACATCGTGGTCGAGCACAGGAATTCGTTGCCCCGGATCTTCTTGGGAAAACGGCCATAGGTCGAGGTTCACAGAATCAAAGTTAATTCGCTTATCCGTTAGCATCTTGACTCTATCAGGGCAGAAAATGACGTAGTCATCCTGCTTCAACCGCATCTTCTTCGTCAATATCTTCTTATCCGCCTCCCCTCTGTAAAGATAATCGCCATCTCTGTGTTCATCCCAGTACTGAGGCCAATCCGACTCCCAATCGCGTAAGTAAGAGCCTCATAAGGTGGCGCCCTATAAGTAAGCGACGCATACACTTTACCAGACGGATACACAAAGACGGAAAGCAGTGCAGCAGCACAGCACCCCAGTGGGCGCTACACAGCCCTAGGCACTACAGCTAGCGCAGCATCCGCAACTACATGATGCAAATACGAAAACAAAATGAACAATAAACGCCCAAACTTCAAAACGCTCCAAAAAAGCACGCCGCCACACACGTAAGAAGAAGCCCGGCGGTCTAGCTCCCAGCGGTTTAGACCCCGAAGACTTAGTCCCCGAAGACTTAGATCCCGGCGGCTTAGATCCCGACAGCTTAGACCCCGACAGCCTAGGCCCCGACGGCTTAGACCCCGACGGCTTAGACCCCGACGGCTTCGGCCCTGACGGTTTCAGCCCCGGCGGTTTAGAACCCAACGGCTGAGATCCCGACGGCTTAGGCCCCGACAGTTTAGATCCCGACGGCTTAGGCCCCGACAGTTTAGACCCCGACGGTTTAGGCCCCGACGGTTTAGGCCCCGATGGTTTAGGCCCCGATGGTTTAGACCCCGGCAGCTTAGATCCCGACGGCTTAGACCCCGAAGTCTTCGGAAGGCTTAGATCCCGAAGGCCCAGATCCCGAAGGCTCAGATCCCGAGGGCTCAGATCCCGACGGCCCAGACCCCGCCGGCTATTTAAATCCCAACGGCTTGGGCCCCGCAGGTTTGGATCCCGGTGGCCTACGTCCCGGCGGCCTAGATCGCGAGGGTTCAGCCCCCGACGGTTTTTTAGACCCCGACGGCCTAGACCCCGGCGGTTTAGATCCCGACGGCGTAGACCCCGGCGGCCTAGATCCCGGCGGTTTAGATCCCGAAGGTAAAGGCCCCGAAGGTTTAGACCCCGGCGGCTTCAGCCCCGATGGTTTAAGCCCCGACGGTTTAGGCCCCGGCGGTTTAGATCCCGACGGCCTAGGCCCCGAAGGCTTAAGCCCCGACGGCCTCCTTAGACCCCGACAGGCTAGACCCCGGCGGCTTCGACCCCGATGGTCTAGATCCCGCCCGACGGCCTAGGATAAAGCCGAAATAGAAGACCTACAAGCAAGTTATAGAACCTAACTGTGTCTCTCGCTGCCACCTACTACCTTTCTGGGGCCTGAACTCCTGAATCAAAACATTGATGCTCAAGTTCAAGCGCAAGGGCCTCGATCTTCTTTTTTGTACGCCAAGACCAATGGTATCCGGCGTGCCTCCCGGCGACGGGTGGAGTCCATTTTTAACCTCTTTCGTCGACGGCGCACTAATTGCCTACGAGCGATCGCGTCAGGGATGCCAGGTGCGCCGACGTCACGAGCTTCGAAGTGTAGAACTGTTCGGCGCCACAGTCCACTTCGGAAAGCGCAGCCAGGTAGAGAGTCCACTGATTACTCTCTCCACTGTTCTTTATCGTTGTCCGCGTTGAAGGTTTCCTCGTGGTCCTGCTGTTCTTTATCTTCGTTGCCTTCAGGTTCAGCTCCATCTTCAGTCGCGCCAAGGATATCGTTGTCTTCCGCCCATCCATCTTCAGTCGCGCCACTTATAGGCGCAGGAACACTTCTTCCTATAAGAAGGGGAGCTAGAAGTGCAAAAGGAACTTCTGCTATAAGAGGAGGAGCTACTGCTTGAAAACGGGAGCTTCCCTAGCTCGTCCAAAGCGGTCAGAGGCGACTCCTTCCCTCTCGGCTGCAGCTGCGCTTACTTGTTTAGAACGAGAAGAAAGCGTGCCTTTAGAGAATATTCCACCCATGATCCTCACAAGCCAAGAGAGTGTGAGTTAATGGAATAGAACAAGAAGAAAGAAGCCTTCCACCTCACCCCTGCACTTCACGCACGACCGGATCGGCAGAAATCAAGTACACTTGGGACGACCTGCTCTTTGTAGTTAATGTTGCTTGCAGTAGTGGTAGACTCGATTAGACTACTTACTTGGATAGCGCAACTTCGCACTCATTCGTAACAACCACAGCACTGCGCACCAACGGCACCTCCCGAAGCAGACCTAGAAAAAGTCCATGCCGTAGTCGATGGCATGCCGTAGTCGAGCGGATCCGACTTGTTCTCCAGTGAATCCTAGTCCTTGTCTCAAGACATTCCTTCGTCCCCTTTTTGAAGACATTTATTTTGGTTCGCGCATATTGATTGTGGTCATGTAATTACGTAGCACCTGGTCACTTACGTACTACCAGTAATGCTACTGGTCGTTCACCTGGTCTACTAGTAGAGGCACACCAAAAATGCAAAAAAAAATGGATTTCAAACGAAATCAATCTTCATCTGATCTTTGAATCTACTACCAACTGACGTTGCTACGCATTCAACGAAGTCAGCTACTGATTAGTTAGCTGGTTAGTTCCTTAGCCAGAGAATAAACTAGCTATCTACATGATCCAATCAGTCAGCCGTTCAGATAGTCAGTAGCAATTCAAGTCGCCTGTGCAACTATGTGCATCAATATGTATTTGTAGGTACGTATCATCTATGACTGTGGTATCAGGTATGTAACTTTATGCAAGCTGTATCAATGCATGCTAGTAGCTAGATGCTTCCTAGATGCTAGCAATGATCGTGTCTCAATTTTCGAATTTTCACCTTGAGGAAAGGGTTGACCAACCACACCGACTACCTTCTATTAATGCCATTGTGCTGATGAAAGTAAGAAGTGTCTAGTTAAACTTAGGAAGGCTCAGGATCGAGAAATATAAAAAGAAGTTTCTAGCTGGTGCATCGATCTCTTTATTTACTGATTCCTGTAGAAGTTGTTGACTGTTTAGCTAAGTACTTAGTCGTAGAAGTCGACGAAGACGGTAAAACGTGGGGTAGTAGTGCGTGCTGGTAGTTGTTGTTAAGTACTTAACCAATTTTTAACGAGGTACACTACAGACTCAAGATTGAAGAGTGAACGCAAGTAGCGATGTGCGCCTCCTCCTGACTGCTCCGACTAAGAACCACTACTAAGACAGGTTGGACGCCGATTAAGAACCACATTCTTATCCAGAGGGATACCAACTGTGATGAGTACGAGGAACTACCGAAACCGAAGATTCATGCACTCACCCATTCACTCGTTCCGATGTCTGAAACGACCTGTTCACTCACTCACAATCACAAGTCGACACGAGTTTTTCCTTTCGAGGAACAGTCTCTCCTGCTGCTGAGACGAAAGGATAGATCATCCGATTTTCCTGGACTCCTTGTCAGACATCAACTCATCAACAAAACTCAACGATGAGAGGTCGGTCGCGTTCAGCGTCATCATGGCGCCCCATGTTTTACTACCACCATTTGGTACTACTGGGTTAACGGCGGGACAAACAGTCTAGCTCTGCAGGCGCGGTATACTTGCGCTCCTGATACAGCTCGTACCGTCAAAATAAACGAAATGGACATTCACTGTGTCATTTTCCCCTATAGTGGACGAATGAATTTGCGTAGCAGCATGTGGCGCAGTGTCCATCAAAATGAACCTTATCAATCTTAATATTGCATCTCTTGCGACTCTCCCTCCCAATCTATCACCTGTGTAGAAAATTCCTCCCCCCATGTCCATGTGTGTCCCTTCGCTGTCTACAACACAACCCTCTTCACCTCTTCAAAATTGACGCGGCCTCCTTCGACGGTGCACGACTTTCGGATTTCTTTCTTCATTAGCGACAAGAAAAAAGAGTACTTATTTCAAGGACAACATGACAAGGACAGGCACTACTCTTTAGAGTACTATCAATGGTTGACTTTCGTGAATCAATCTTTCCTAGTTGGGGCTCTACCACAACTATAGCCCCGCAACATGGTCCGTAATGTTGCCATTGATTATTTTTCCATTGAAGATTACCCTAGTTCTACTTGTTGTAGAGCCCTCACTATAAGAAAACAAACACGAAAAGGATGAGGCAATTGAGGTGAAAAATTTCTACTAAAAAAATGAAACTGGCCGTCTTCCAAGGTAGGACTCTATTCAGAGTCACAATCATTGATTTTGAAGATAGGGAAATAGTCCGTCCACAGATGAAACAGTCCGTCCACAGAACAATTTGAAATTATAACTTTAAGTAATAAAAGAAAATGAAAATATTTATTTAGATTTAAGCCTTAACGTGAGATCCTCAATCTCTTCATCAGAAAAGCGCTCGCCTAATCGTGTTAGCAAATGCGCCAGCTCCTTCACGCTGATGGTACTCACTTTGCCCAGTTTGGCTGCGGATGGAAAAACCTGATAGAACAAGAGTGTTTGGCATGCTAAGAGTGGTAAGAGTGTTTGACACGGCTATTCCAGAAACCTGGTGGAAGAGGTGTGGAAAAACCTGATTACAAACACGCACAGTCGACGGATATTCACCCCTCATGCTAAGGGTGCAAAAAAATCAATATCGGCGCATACCAAGTACTCGAAAAACTGAAATAAGCGAGTAGCCAAATAAATAAAGAAGCGGACCCGCGCCGCGCAGCCGATCTCCAGCCTCCCAGGATGTTGGAATCCGGCTGCGCGGCGCCGCGCAGCCGGATTCTACCTTCCTGGAGACCACAAGCCACGAATAAAAATTTCCGCGCGCGCTGCGCGCGGCCACAAACCGACTAGAGGGAAGGCTGAGCTTTGGGTCGTATGAAGGGCTCTCTGAGTACCAGATGGGCCCTTTCCTTTAAGAACGATCCCGGGAACCCAAAGTGCCGCGGCGGCCCCCCCTGGAACCCTGCTGCGCGGCGGCGCGCAGCAGGAACCCAACTAATGAAACGAAGAGGAAACAAAGGCTAGATGGCGATTCGTTTGTTGGGTTCCTGCTGCGCGGCGGCGCGCAGCCGGGTTCCAGGGGGGGTCGCCGCTGCGCTTTGGGTTCCGGGAATCCTTCTGAACGGAAAGGGCCTAGCTGAGAGCCCCACTCCAGAGCCACAAAGCACTGCTTGCGTGCTCTGTCTGGCCCAGAAGGTGCTACTCCTTGCTCAGAGGGTCTGGAGATCGGCTGCGCGGCGCCGCGCGCCCGATCTCCAGCGCCACGCGCAGATACAAAAACTTTCGCGCGCTGCGTTCGCGACTGCCATTACGATCGACGGATCTCCCGGGTCCCTTTCTTTATTTTTTCATCAACTCGCTTATTTCAAGTTTACGAGTAAGTTACCTAATGCTAATACTATTGATAGTGATAGAATAAAAGCCTAATTTACCTTACAGAATATCAACATTAGAAAAGGATAAGGATATCCTATAATATCGGTGCATGATACCTTATGATAGTAGTGTGCCGATCATTTGAGCACGCATAAACCTACCTTATCATAATAGTGTGCCGATCCTTTCAGCACCCCATCTAACGAAGCTGCGTCCTCTTTATTACTCGCTGTTTGCTCTGCTCCTACACGTTCCGCGAACTTCGCAAAAAGCCCAAAGTCGATGCTTGCTGCGGTCGAACGAATTAGAGTGAGGGCACGAAAAAAATGAGGAATGAAGTAGAGGCGTTATGATGGTCCAAGACTTTTGTCAACTGAGGAGAAAAATGAGGAGAAAATGTTCGATTTTTTGTCAACATGAACCTTACTAGAACACTCATAAGCTGACCTAGAACCTGACTGATTGATTGATCCACATATTCTTCTTGAGGTAAAGCTGGCACCTTCTTTCAAAAGTAGAAGTATACCTAGAAGTAGTAGAAGAAAACCTCAGTTGTAGTCCTGATATGGCCATGCCGTGGAAGATGAATGTGTGCATATGCATAGACGTAGCTACTTGATCATAAAGACAGCAATTCCTGCTGTATTGCTTGTAGTGACGCGGGAGACGGGTTTAGGCCCACTGCTCGCAACAGAGTGCCGATATCTTTGATCTTGACGCCCTCTTGATCTGGGTCGAAGAGGTTGAAAACCTCTTGCAATTGCTCGTGTGAGACGTCGCCGGACATTTTCTAGTTGTAATGCTTGCACTGGTGGACTCTAGTAGGAGATGTCTTCTTCTTCGCGTCTAGAACTCTATGATGTGTAGTAATCCACTCTAGAAGATTTAAGTTGTAACTGCAGTTACTTACTAAGGGCTGCTACTACCGATTGATACTTCAGAGTTGAATTAGTTTCAACGAAGTTGTACCAAAACAAACTAACAGAAGACATATATAAATCGGAAATAGAAGACGCTGCTCAACTATTTATAAACGCGGCCTCCTCTCATCATCATGGTTCAACCCAGATGTACCTTTTTCGCAAGACAACACATACTAGTAGTATTTTGTTCGCGACAAGACAACAGGTCAGGTAGTGAGTACTCTGTTTGCACAAGCAAACATACTAGTACTTCTACTTTGTTCGCAAAACACAGATATGAAAACAACAAGATGTTCGTCTCTCTCTTTTCTTTTCAGATTGCATACTTTTCCTTGCGTTTCACATTTAAGGGTTCATCATCTCGCCTATAGCACGGGTCTAACACAACACAAAGAAGAAATGGTCTGTATTCCTTCAGAATCGAGGTCGATCTGCTTCATTATGATGTAGTTTGCAAAAAAGTGCGTGTTGTGCGAAAATTTTTTGTATCATCTTCTCGTCATACATCGTCTGACGACCGGAATAGTAGATGTTCTATCTTGCGTAAGCGTCGTAAATTGCGCGTTTTTTGGGGTAGGAATTTCTCGGAAAAATACATAAAATACTACTTGCACACACCATCTAACTGCTTAGGCAATTTAATATGTCGGCAAGTATCTTGTGTCACGTTATGTTATTCATTTTTACGTACGAATTCTACTAGCCGTGGAGAATTTGCGTTTTCGCACGGTGCTTGGGATGTGGTTTCCACATTAGTTAGTAGTAGTACAGTGAATAATATGTAAGTACTTACTTCGTATGTGGTCTGCGTATCATTTTCCTTTATCTCCTCTTCGTACCATCATCGCAATGAGACATCATGTCAACAAGTACATCTATCTCAAATCTGTTGTCTCCGTTGCTCCTCAAATCTGTTCTTCGTTCCTCCATGGCAGGTCACAATTTGCGAAAAAATCGGTCGCATCGTCTTGCTGGTGGAGCAGTTCTTTGTCAAATTCCTCCACTGTCTTACTTTTGTCTTAGAGAGCTCAACAAAGTAAGTCATTCCAATTATTCTCTATGGCATCTCTAGACATCTGGGATACCACAACAAAGCAAGTCATTCCAATTTCTGTAGGTCATTTCTCGATATTTAGGATAGGAGTTGGCCCTGGATCACAGGGAAGTAAGTAATGCTCTATTCTCCCGTGAATTTCTGTAGGCAATTCCAGATTGATACTCATCTTAGGACCTAAAAAGGAAGGAAACAGAAAGGAGAAATGACACTCGGAAATGAATCAAGCTTTGGACCATAATTCTGATGCTCAATTAAATCGTCTTCACGAAGGCCACCCCTCACGGCTCCGCAACGACACGCGATACGGAGCAAGACGTTCCACGACCTGTCCTGGCTCAGTAACTTCGCATTTCCAACGGGTGTTAGAGCTCAAGCAATCAGGTTGCGTTAGGCTATGGATCCTTCACATCGAGCTAAATCCTTCACAATCGATGAGAATGATCCATTTTTCAAAGACTGAATTTCCATGATATGCCATGTGATTCTTGACTCAACCCAATTATCCATCTTGTAAAGTTAAAGAATATAATAAATTCTTAGGCTTTTTCACATTGATTCACCCATTCATCTGGCACGTTTAGAAAATTTTGATTACAACAAGACTAGTGCCTCTCGAACGAAAGCAAAATGGAAATGGATGGGGGCGGATGGAAATGACTGGTAAGCGTCAGAGGACGAGAGCCGAAAAATTACAGGTATGCGTATGATGGCACAAGGTGACGAAAATGAATTAGCAGTGAAGAAAAACGCGCTTCTCAGGTGGTTGTAGTAGTAGTAATAGTAGTGTATCCAATCGTGGGGCACGCAAGATCAAGATGCCATAAAATGACTAGTAATTTCCTTGCTCGGGACAGCGCAACGTTGAGCCGTTGACGCGAACCGACGAAACCAAGCGTCATTCGTAAATCCTGCTTCACTTCCTCAAGAAATCTCGAACGCACGGTAGACATAAAAATCACGTCGTTTTCCTAATTTTTTAGTGTTGTAGATGTAAAAATCACGCCGTTTTCCTAAAGAAGTTTTTGGTGCTGTTGTAGATATAAAGATCGAGTCGTTCTCCTACAGTATACAGATTTATGGTATTTGGTGAGTCAGTATTTCTATCCGATATCGATCGGTAAGACGTATCTCTTTAGATGATCATAGTAGTTGTAGTGATCACAAAAACTGGCACGTAAGGTGCTTAAGAATAAACTAACAGCACACAAGTACCTGTCCCTGGAAATTTTCCACGGTGCCGATTTTGAGAGTCGATGGCGCGGTCACGTGCAACTCCCTGCCTCTCAAATTGCGCCTTTCCTTCAATTTCTGGACTTGCTTGTGGTACGGAGCGATTACGCCAACATTTTCCGGCTTTAAGAAGCCAATGTATTAGACGAGATTATCATCGCTGGTTCGGCGAACTACGGCTTTAGGAAGCCAGTGTATTTGGTATGGGATTGGTTCAGGGCTCAGACAAGTAGCCGAAGAGATTCGAATCATCAGATGAGCTTATGGGTGGTTAGGTTATGCTGTATGTCCTGCACATCGATCATTTGTTATGATATGGTATTGCACTACAATTTTCATTGCATTCCTGTAGTTCTACACTATTGCATTTAGGATGTTCATTCATTCCCTTGGTGTCCTTTTTCCAATCGGAAAAAGTCAAGAATGAATGGGTGTGAACCAGAATGCAAACAAAAACAACGTTGTGCTACAACTTGTTTGCTTAAGTATAAGCTGTCTGGCTTTGCTGGTTCCAAAACTGAGCCTCTTCGCCGAACTCGTTGAATAGAGACTGCAAGTAGCTCCACACCACCTCAATTTCCTCGGTATTGAACCACGAAGGGCTGTCGTAGTCGCGGTCCTCCTTCCCCTCAACATGGTGGAATAAAAACGGAAAATCTGGGTTCGTCCTCAGATGTGACCGAGAATTAGAGGTCTTCAAGGTCCGTAAGTTCTTACTTCTGAGGCCTTCATGCCCTTCATGAGGTTAGGTCGTCACCCAGATTCATTCACTCGCTTCCCAGTAGAGGTCCTCGTTAAAACCAAGATATTGACATAGATAGTTCATAAGTACTTCCTTGTTATTTGACTAAAGATAGAGCAAGCTCATGAGTCATGCGCACTTACTTTCTTATTTGTTATAAATATATGAGTTCGTTTCCTTTGAGTTCCAAGAAGGAAACAGAGACCTGCAACAGTAAATTAATTTTCACCACAAAGGTGAACATGAAGTTGTAAATGACCTCCTGTAACTAAAAGTTCTTTTTTTTGCATCCCTAGTAGTTCTCCTAGTGTACCTGCGGGATAATAACTTTTATCATCTACCAAGGTCACTCAACACCACAAGAATTGTTCGACTGGCACGGCTAACATCAAGACAAGGTGTAGCATTGTGTTATCTGCCATAAAAGAAGAGAGTTGCGAAAACTCGAGCATTGCTTCGGGCATTCCATGGTGCACGCAGGACGTTGTAGCATTGTTGTAGAACAAGCTTGAATACAAATTGACCAGACGAGGATGAGCGCGATAGGATATCTTCAGAATTAGCGCTCGCCCGAATGATCCATCTCTCGGGCTGTATCCAGGGAGAGTACCTGTTTCCCTTGAAAAAAGCGCGAATCCACTAGCATCCTAGGTGCCTCTTTCCCTTGCAAAACAGCCTCTCTTCTAGGATGCCTTCTCTGAAGATGGACCATTAGCGGAGGCCGTAACAGAAACACGCACCCTTTCTTTAACAACTCCAGTTTTTCCAGGTCTTCAGCAGCCTGCTGGCTTCGACTTGCCACGTGTCTTCCTGCCCCCACTGTCGTGTCTGTATTCTTAGCACTGATGTGGGCTCTTCTATCTTATTTACACCTTTGTGGTCGCCTTCTATCTCGGTAGTTAGTACCTCGTCTTGTTTGTCATGTGGATGCGATCTTGTTCCCTTTCACTCTGTATAATATTCATATTTTGCAGTCGAGCAGACTTATCTAGAGAACAAGAGAAAAATAAAATATTTAATGTTGATATTGAGATTCTAGTAACCTAACGTAATGAAGAAAATGACGACCATCAACATAACCTTACTTTGCTGTGCCATGGTGCCATGAAGGTACTCAGCAACTCCCTTTTTTTAACGACCCGCTGGAGAGTCGAAAGGTGAAACTCAAACTTCTTCGCAACGGTAGATCGCACCACGGGTCCCAGTTGATTGGGGTCCCCACAGAGGACGACTACGGACCTTTCGCCTGTTACCTTTAATGGTACTGCGATCTCCGGCTCCAAGGATATGAAGAGTTCTGATACATCAGCAAGAACACCTTTAAGTTTAACCTACCCTTTAGAAATTGATGAAATTTTGATTCTTATCCACTGTAAAAAATACACATCTTCTGCTGAGTTTAAATTCTTCCATAAATGCTTGTCCAGCCTCGTCCACCAATAGGTGAGTGAAATAGGGATGTACCTCAGCAGAAGCGGCCAGTTCGTTCCGAGACAGAGGGATGTCGTCTGATGTTTGAGTTCTTCTCGCATTTTTAGAGCTCACCCCAAGAACCCATCTTGAGAAGCGTCCTACTTCCCTTTTCCCCTTGAAAAGCGTCTCAACGAGGATGCAATTACAATTAGGATTACAATTAGATTACAATTTTTCAACAAGGATGCCTCAGAAAATGGATTACAATTCGGCACCGCCTTAATATTGCCTTTCTTCTTCTGATTCGCTTTTCTCTTAGCGACAGCAGCAGCTGCAGTGTAGGTGTCTGGACCAAAACCAAGTTGCCAGAGGTAATTCGCTGTCACGCAGGTGCACACGATGAGTCTGTATTGTAGGAGCTCGTGGAAGGTCGCAGGCTTTTCCGGATCGGGACCGCAGTATTTGTACCGGACGGTAGGAAAGTTAGACCTTCCCGTCTATCTTGAAAGTCCTCCTGGGAAGAAAGTCTCCTTCTTCCCTTGGAAGAAAGTCAAAGTCCCAAGATTGCTTTTCCCTTGGCGGAGGAAAATGCTTCCCAGGATGCTTCTGGGGATGGATTATAGCTGAAGCCTTAAGAAAATGCATCATATCGTCCACCTCTCTGGATCGAGCATTCAAACGAAACATGTATTTCTCCGAGACGCCTAGTTGGGCTAAACGATCCACAACCAGATCGGCAGAGTGATTGGACGGCGTACACACCAAAATACGTGGATTGTCTGTTCGGAAAAGCAGTTTTAGAGATAGATCACGCCTATGATCTTTGGTGCGCCGTTTGATACTCATCGCTAATAATTTTTGATGCTGCTCTGTCTCCCAACATGCACGGCCAAAAATGATGACAAGGCGAAAAGGGCAGAAACAAATACTGAGGATGTCGATAGGAGAAGGGCGCTCCCCCTTTGTCTTCTTAAGTACTTAGGAACGACATTCCCGCATCTCCGTTCTCGATGAGTGGCATCACACAAATACAAACTTATCTGTACCCTTTGAATGACATGGCAGGAGTCTCACATACTAGTCACACACATACTGTCTTGGAGACTAAAAAACAATGAGTATCCAAATTCTGTACCCACCTTAACAATTGATACACGGTTTCTACTAAGGTTTTCGTTTTCCCGGTGCCGGGAGGGCCCCACAAGATAACTGGAGCACTCGGCTGACACATCACCATGGTAACTTTAGAGGACCTCACTGTCAGTACGTAGCAACAAATTCATCTTTATCAAGAAAGCGCACCTTTGAGCTTTACCTCTTAATTCAAATCGAAAAAACAATACTTTATATTTGCCAAAGTACGACTGAGATGCCTCTTCTGGAAATGTTGATCTTAAAGTGAATTTGTGAGAGAACCCTTAACAACTGCCTCCTTTTGTTCGGCATTCAGGTTAGGTTGTGCCCAAGACCCGTTTTGATTCAGAGCTTCCACTCTGTCATCTAAGGAACTTTCGTACTGGATTAGAGGCCAGACGCTACATAGCTCTTACTACCCTCAAAATCCAAAGGGAGAAGAGTAGTTCTTAATCTACTAGACATCGGTTAGCGAAGGATGGTAGTGCGGAAGGGGAGGGGGAGCAAAAGATTGATAATATGATAAATATCTATAAATATGTTGCTTATCATGCTTTCGCGCTTCCAGTTCCACCATGACCCTTCAGTATTTATATTAGTAGAACCATTTTCGCGATGTTGATATAGGTTACTGGATAAGGATGGTAATGCGCGAGCGAAATGAAATTTGGTTCGTAACTTGATGACTTTTTGCTGAAATGAGTGGACGGTGTTGACCATGACCAGTTGGCCGGTATAGGGATCGTACTGTTGCTGTAGAACAGGCTGACTCACTGTTTCGCTTTTCTGCTTGTGTTGCTTCGCCGTGATTTTCCCGATGGTGGAGAAGTCTTCATATGATTCCAAAAATTAACGCCAGTCGATCCCTATCCCTGCTTGAGTGGATTCCCTTTGTGGTCTCCTGTAGAAGTTCCCCCTTGAGTTGACTGACCTCTGAAAGGAAGAATCCACTGAGCATAGTAGGTTAATCCATGCCAGATGGTGACTACGACTAGTCTTAGGCATAGCACGTTAACCCATGCCAGAGTGTGAAGAATAAGAGTAGTCTTAACCAAACCACTCCGCTACATAGGGATGTCGGATCGCGTCATGCATTACTTGTAGAGAGTAAGAGTTCAGCATGAACCGGACGTCATATCGGCTCGATCGATTAGAGGCGGTAGGGCAAGGAAGGATCTCCATGTCGTCTCGATCCTTTTCTAGAGCATCTTTCTTCTGTTGCCGAGATTCTGCCTCCGAGAAGAAAGTAGAACTGGCCAGAATGAAGCGCAGGTAATTATTACAAGAAACCGGGGCCGCCCGATAACAGCACAGCCACAGGCACAGAGTAGAAACGTAAGAGAAAGCAAAAAACTAAGCGACTGAGGCACGGAACGCCCGCCCCCCTTGGCGGCCGCCGTTGAGAGGATGGAGACGAACAAAGACTTCATGCCGTCTTGATCCTTTTCTGGGGCAAAACAGCTACAACAGAAGATGTTCAACAACATCCAAAAACATATTTATTATGGACAGGTTACTTAGGCTAGGTTAGCAACATCCAAATAAATATGGTGTATGGTGCCGTAAAAAGGTCATCCGGACCGGATCCAAAATCTTCAGAGAAACACGCCAGTACGTGGTCGATGTTCACGAACCATACATGCGCAACATGCATCTTGGGCATGTTAGACTTGGAGGGTACCCAAATGAAATTAACCTTGAGAAGTTAAGTGTTTTGAAGTGCTGTCCCCTTGCAAACAGTACTAGGTCAAAGATGCTATCCCTCTTACGATTTGAGTCGGAGCAGCCTTAATTATGCCTTTCTTCTTCGTCGTCTTGCCGTCGTCTCCGTTGATTACGGCCTTGGTCTGTGAGGACTTTTTGTTTTTCTTACGTGATAGTTTTTCGTTCTCCCGCACCATGAGCTTGTCTCCCTTCATCACGCTAGGTCGTTTTTCCGACAAACCGGGGACGTCGATTCGAAATAATTAGAGGTATCAAGGTATCAGCTAATATTCAATTCGTCGCAATATCAGGCGTCTTATCAGATAATAAACAATAATTGTTTCCAGCTAATATTTGTTCTCTTGCCACGTGTGCCATCATCAAAATGGGTCACGCGAGCTGCTGACTTTCGGCTGTCCCTGTCTAGGCATTCGCAGACATTCAAACCCACGCCCGACAAACCGGGGACGTCGATTACTTAGAGGTAGCAACTAGAAGCATGATTGATGTTAGCCTTAAAATAAGTTTCTGAATTTTCCGCCTATATTCTGCGGAGCGCGTTGGACTGAAACCCCGCTCAGATCGTACCACTGCAGATCCGCGATTTGTTGCAGCTCTTCGGCTGGGCTTAGAGGGGTCTCGCAAGAATACTATAAACAAAGGGAAACGTCGACTCTAGTATTGTTTCACTATTTCACTTCTGCCACTATTTCACTTCTGCTGTATTTTAAAGTGCGGGACCTAGCGCGATTGTAGTTCTTACTCCTGTACATTTACAAAATCGAGTATGCAAATGGCAAATCGCGTCATAGGTACAGCATCAGCTGCAGTGTAGATCTGTAGCTCCATCTTGTCAACAGTTTCTGGAGAGGCACGGGCCTTGGTTGAGTTTTGCGTTTTGTCTTCAAAATCAATGCCGCTCTCTTCGCTCCTTTTTTGCAATTTTTAGCGCTTATACCACGACCTACCTAGTTACGACTAACCCTCATCTGAAGATGAATTAGGAGAAGCCTACTGGGTACTTACGATAAACACTAAGCCTCTCTTAAAAAAGACGGTGAAATAAGAGCAAGCTCCGCACTTACTTGATTCAAAGCTGAATTTTTAGTCGAACAATCAAGCCTACGTAACTTTTTTTCCCTTCTTTCCTTTGCCTTTCTCCACCAAGTTCTTCTTGGCCTCTGCTATGAATTTCCACCAAGGAGGACCGCCAAATAGACCGTCAGAAATCTCGTAAAACTCCTTAGCACTCATCGACCAAGGTACTAGCTCATACTTGTTCTCTTTCAGCTGATTTCCGATATCGCAAAGATTAGACGATGATGACGATGATGATGATGATGATGATGGGCTTAGTCAAATTCAATATCTTGCTTATGTTTAACGTAGCAAACTACACTTCTTGAGGTTGAGGCAGTCAACATTACTCTCAAATTGTAGGAAGGACACCAAGAATGAGAAAAGTGTGAGTGACCTCCTCACTGCCTAGGGAATGAATTACCAGTAACTCGTGGTCCACACTTACTAGTAATTCGTCTACAGGCCACCTCTCCTGTAAACAAATGAGTAATAATACATAGGACATCATCCTACGTCTTTGGTGGCCATTCTCTACCACTGGCAAGACAAGTAGATAGTAACGAACAGTGTGTCACAAAGACATCTTGATATAGAACCATAAGACAGACTACCTCCAACAATTTGGGAACGAGAATCTTTCCTTTCCGTCTATCAATACACTGGAGAAGTTTTTGCGGCATCATGTATGCCAAAACTCGTCGCAGCGGTGTCGTCATTCTTAGACCTTGTTCCACCTTCCTAAGAAACTAGAAAAAACAAAAACCAGAAAAGATGGAAAAAGGCATCATTGTGACGTCGTCTTTTTCCCTTGTAAAAGCACGCCAGAGATGCTTCTACTTAAGCTGATGAACTTGTTCTTGGGGAAGCCTTAACATTGAGGAAAAATAGTCGCCTTGCTGCAGAAACAAAGGCTTTTCGCCTTCTAAGATCTCTACAGCACCACTCCAGTCCGCGAAAGTTCGGTTCGAGGTCAAGTCACGCATTAATTGACCCTCTTGTTGTCTATCGAAGAGGCCTAGTTGCCCGTATCCCACTCGCAGCAACTCTATCATTAAAGGTGGTCGATCATCCTGTTTGTTGAGTGACTCGCATTCTTTCTTCCCTTGTTTAGGTAACAGACTTCAATTCACGAAATTGGTCAATATCAAGTAAGTCATCTCATCAATTTTCCTCTTGACTTCATCCAAGGGGAAGAATCCACTCAGGCTCAGCCTAGTCAACAGCGGACGATAATGATCGACTACTCGTAACATCACTTGACGGGCGATCGCTGCATCCGTGCGAGCCAAGAGAACCAAATTCACCACCAGCTCCATTATCACTACTTTATAGTTCTCTTTCATCTTGATATTACTTGTGCTCTGCGAAGTGGGAGTAGAGGTTGTAGCGAGAACTACTCCTGTTGATTCTACTTCTTGCAGCATCCTCGCACAATTATGGTACATTTTCAGACATGCAAACTCCTTTCCTTCTATGAGGGGTTTTGGTTTTGAAAGAGCTAGACTTTGATGTCCTTCTTCATTTTCATTGTGAAAATTCCCTTCGCCTGCCTTACTTGATGTTGTTCCAGCACCTGTGCCACCTAGTTGTTCCAGTACTTCCTTCTTGTTGGTGTTGGTTTTAGAAGCACTACTTTCTGAGACGAATGAAAAAGTCTGAACGAGCGCTGCTTCGGTTTTTTGCTTCAGCTTGTCATCCGTGAACCATTTCTGTAGGTCACTATTACCAGTCGGACACTTCTCGTTTGCTACTGTTAGATTGTCCCTTGCGATCTTGCAGAAAGCCTTGAGCGCGACACTTGCCAGTTCCTCCAAATCTTGATCCGGAAATTAGAGCTACCGAGTCGCGTCTTCCTCTTTGACTCTTTGAGAGTAATAGTGTCCTTGGATAAGGCCTCATTTTCCCCTTGAAAAGGAGGGACCAAGGATGTGACACTGAGGATGACACTGAGGGGCGGCAGTCTTAAGGAAAGTTGCGTTCAAAAATTTCTCCGAAAACGCTCATTTTATTGCTCATCTGTTGCTGCTGCTGGTGGGCGGATTCCTCCGCTCTCTTAGTTGTCTCCTGTCCACCTAGAAACTCTTCGTTTTTTGATTTAGAGCTGTCGTACCGAATACCAATAAGGCTGTAATCTTGATGTCCAAGCATCCTGAAAGGACGAGAAAGCACCCTCAGGACCTTGCTTTTCAAGTTCTTTAGAAAAAGAGCTGAGGACATGTGGAGGGTTCGAGGATGCTTTCTACTTTGTGGATGCCTTGCCATAATTGATGTTTGTTCTCCACGACCTTCCTCCCGTTCTAGTTCTACATCGAGTAAATTGGTGCCGAATTTCCGTAGTTGGTCGAGTACGTTGAAGGAAGTTTTTCCTTGTTGAGCAGGTCTTGACTTTGATGTTTTTTCTTCCTCCTCGTTGTTCTTTTTGTCGCTTCGCTTCCCGATTCGGATTCGTGAGGTAGAAGGAAGCTTCAGACCAGATGAGGGAGCTCTGTTGAGGTTTTTTTGCAGGAAAGAACCAAATATCCTCAAATTTTCGAAGACATCGATTTTCGTAGTTACTCTGACGGGTTTCACACTGATGTCAGAAACAAGCTGCTCGTTAGAACTGGACGAGTTAGACGCTGCTCCGCCTTCCTCCACTAGATTGAAATACTCAGCATACTTTTCTCCAGCGGCATTTTTTTCATTATCATCCCCTCCCTCGTTCTCGTCGTCGACCAAGTCTTCATATCCCGCATTCATGAGAAAATCCTTGGCTTCCGCGACTGATTCCACGATTTTCAAAGTCTCCAAATTGTCTACGAGGAAACTTCGCCACTCGTTGATGCCTATATCGAAAATCGCCACCTGTCCAATTTTCTCATCGTAGGATTTGTTGCAATGCTTAGAGTGTGGCTTCAATTCAGTATTTTTTCTCTTTTAACTTCTATCAGTCATATGTTGTATCATAGGATGAAATACCTTATTCTATTTCCTTGCATCGTCTCATTTCAGTCGTCTTAAATTGCATTCCCTTCTTGCATTTTCTTCTTATAATAAGTAAATAATCATTTCGTTGTGGGAACAAAAACAGGATACTGGAGAGACGCTCCAGGAGAGGCTCAATGACAGGAGATGATCAATGACAGAAGATGATCAATGACAGAAGATGATCAATGACAGAAGATGATCAATGACAGGAGATGATCAATGACAGGAGATAATCATATTCATAACATGGTGAGCCAAAGCAAGCTCGTTCTCTTCATACGGTCGCAACTCTTCGGGTATCAGAGGTGGTAGGCACGTTCCGACTATCTCTTTGATGTTACTCGACGCTGCGGCGGAGGACCCATTTTCGTTCTTCGTTGTCGTGCTGCCCTTGGTCGTGAATTTGACGTACACGACACTTTGTGTGAGAATCCACTTCAATTTAGCGAGAAAGACCTGTCGAGACAGCGTGCAAGACAGGTCTTTCAGAGCTCGAAGCTCCCCATTGATCTCCCGCTGCTGGTCATACAGAGAACGGGTACTAGTGGAGGCCGACATCATTTTGATCTTTTTATGTTTGTAGTGGGGATTCTGCGGTTGTGAACTAAAAGGGTACTCGATTCCGATTCGATTACTCCACTAGATAAATGGATCCTTTTGGCTACTAAAATAAAAATAATACATAGGTTGGCGTAAATTTAGTCGTATCTACTTGATCATGATTAGGGGCTGTTGTGTCTACCTCTACTCGAAGTAGTTGTCTCTCCTATTTTTATGCAGTAGCACATGTCCTTTCTACTCTTTTTGAGACCTGGTTCTTTTAGGTTTCTCGATGCTTTCACGTTGGCCTTTTTTAGTGTAGGAATGTACTACTGGTCTGCAAGCCCGTTGTGCTGATTAAATATCTACATCTACAGGCCCCTTGTGCTGATTAAGCATCTACATCCAAAATATTGCGAGGTCCTTCAGTTTGATCCTGTCATCTTTGCTGTTTCTGATCATGATCATGATCAAGTTAGCAGCTTAGCTGTTCTATGTCCCTGGGAAGAAGCGCAGGAGAGCGATGGGCGTTCATCATCATCATCATCATCATAGCGTCTCTAGTGATGGAGGTTGATAACAGCCACTTCATAGCGTCTCTAGTGATAGAGGTTGATAACAGCCACTTCCTCCACGTGTATCATCTCTCCATGCTTTGAACAGAGATGTGACTGTTCATTCTAGTGAACGTGATAGAGGGAGGACAGACGTGAGAGAAGCCGGAAAATCATTGTTCGTAAGATTAGAATTAGAAGATTTCTGGCTTGATTTCAGAGGCCATGGCTATAGAAGATCTGGGCTTGGGGCCTGTCTCACTACTGCGAGTGATTATGGGTAGCTGCTATGGCACCCGAGGAAATTTCTCCGAGGAACTTCTTTCCAGATCTTCCAGAATCGTGCTGTTGTTGTACAGCCGCTGTCAGCTCATATTTTTTTTACATTGTTGTGTTACATCCATCATGTCACCATGGGTTTTCATCATGTCCTCAAAAATAATACTGTAGCTTCGTGTCCGTCCTAAAAACCACACAACCGAAATCCACATGCAAACATCTTTGAAGGAATCAGTCGTATTTTCGCTCGCTGGGAGGAAATACAACATCGAGAAGACGAAAATAACCAACGTGAGTAATGATAGATATATCTGACTCCGCATAACATTCAGATTATGGATAAGACAAAGGTCATCATGTTTCCCGTTATTGTCCCACCAGTTATTGAGGAACTATCATGCGCAAAGTGAAAAGAAAACGAATTACGGTTCTATTTCTTGACAAATGGAGCCCCCCGTATTCCTACATGCCTACTCTCCGGCATCCGATCCGCAATCCGCAATCACATTCTTCCCCCAAAACGAGTCGATGCCGAGATGAAAAACGCAAGCACGACAAGAAGTCGTACTAGTACGAATTGAAGTTGTATTAAAAGACGTTCTCACGTTGTATTCTACCACGAAGATGTCGTTAACAATAAGTATTCCTCTCTATGATTTCTTTTATCAATCAGAAATCTGAATCTTTTTATTATCATTGATTTTCGTTATCTATGGAAAAGCGAAGCAAACTGAAGTAAATCTCAAGTGACAGACTGTGCATTACGAAAAATCGAAATATAAATAATTCAAGAAACTACTAGTACAGCCCCATGTTTAACATGTAAGTACATGAGAAAATATGAAGAAGACGTAAACAAGTCCGCATATTTTCAAGCCGTAGTTCAAACAATTTCTACTCTAAATCTATGTAAAGATGTGTCTTCAAGTAGATGTGGCAAATCTTTCACCATAATCATGGGGTTAAGAAGTCTTGTATTCTCATAAAAATGATCCTACATTATGGTCACAAGCATACCCAACCAAAAAAACCTTTCAACAATTCCAACAACGACTTTCTCCTGTACCCATAGCCCTCTATATGTATTGAGAACCATTTGCTTCTTCTTAGAGAATAGACACCATTCTTCTACTTCCCTTATCTCCTCCTCAGAACAAACCATGTTGTCTCTTGAACGCGACTCGTTTCCACTCGGGAAGGTTGTGAAACTGCAGTGCAGTCAATCCGAACGTCTCAACGAAATCTCCGCCACTGAGATAGCGCTCCTTCATCGTGGGATCCACGTCAGCTGGTCGGTCCGGACCACGTAGCAATACATTAGCGGATAGAGATAGCGAAGCTTGCCCCTGTGGGTGGCCCCAGGATACAAAAAAAAAAAGAAACTTTTTCGGAAATCTCCAAATCCAAATCCAAAAGTACTGTTGAACCTACAGAAGTACTGTTGAACTAGAGTGGAATTTTTAGAGAAGATAGAATTAGAGTAGATGTTGTAGAGAAGATAAAAGTACTGTTGAACTAGAGTGGAATTTTTAGAGAAGATAGAATTAGAGTAGATGTTGTAGAGAAGATAGAAGTAGTGCTAGTGTTGAACTAGAGTGGAATTAATATGTGAATAGACTACCTGTCATAGTCCATTCACATGATCCATCATGAGACTACGTCATAGTATCAATTCACATCAATCATGGGACTACGTTTCCCTTGCAAGGATTGAAAAGCAAACTACAACCCCTGCTACAGCAAAAATAGCATTATCATCAGGCAAAATTCATAAATTCGAGTGAGTATTTGGTGACACTCGGGTCGGCGTATTTTCCGGGAACCTCAAGACTTGGTGGACGTAGCGCTTCCTTAGCCTGCAAAATTTAGACCTTACATGTATAACTCTCGAGAAGCATCTTCTTTGACGCATTGGCATTTTTCCCCTAGGTAGTAAGTCAAAGAGGATAGGCTAGGAAGTGACTCGCCGTCCACAGTGTGACCTGCATCATCGAGCGAAAAGGGTCAAAGATGCAGCTTCCTAGGATGAAAGCCTTAAAAAATACTGGATGGCATCGAGGTTGCTCCAGAAGCCGAGGTGAGGGTTGAGCTTCCGGATGGTGCTCCTAGGTCATCCACACTACGTTGCTTCTCCCACATGGCTTTCATTAGCTTGGTTTTGCCGCAGGGAACGACCTGGGAGTGGATGGCAAAAGCGATATGGGTCATGAGAAAAACAACATTAGAAGAAAACCAGTAGAGGCTGCCACATGCTCGAGATTAAAGCAGCATGAATATCCGAGAAATAAAGCTACCAGAGGGTACAACCACGCGAATTAGAGACGTGGAAATAAAGTAGTCTACAATGAATATAAGATCATGATAGTTGAAGCATGGTCAGAGAAGATACAGAATGAAATGTTGATACTCTCGTTTGTCAATATTCATGTTGAAAGGCCTTCTTCTCGTAATCCTCGTTCTCGGTACGGCAAAAAAATCACAAGCGCCAGATCAATCTGAGTACCGTAAAGTCTAAAGTGTTTGCAAACAAAATGAAACCAACAACGAAATGGTCCACTACGTAAATAGTTTCTATAGATACTGCCCAAGAATTTAAGTAGGACCTAGACCTATTTAGTTTACTTACTGAGACAGTAAACTGATGACTCGAATCTATTCGACAAGGTGCCCAAGAATCAACAACAAACTACAACAAGAAAATCTGAAAGTACCTTCACATCCGCCTTCGCCTGTGTCTTCGCTTCGTCGCCCATTCTATCCATCGTCTTGACCGTGAAGGCTGGCTTCGAGGGAGAGTTCAAGGGCGAGCGGATGTCGGACACGTCCGCGTTCGATCCAGCCTCAGTAGAATCCGTTTCCTGAGAGAGAGCGGTCGGAGACATAGCTGCTTTGTTGATCGAGCAGTTGTTGGCCTGCACATGATCCTTAACGGACGGCGTCTGGAGTCCGAGCTCCACGTGATCTTGATCCTTCGACAGCGTGGCAGTGGTCTCCACATCTTCAGTAGAAGCTGCATCCTCAGCCTTCACACTTTCAGTAGAAGCTGCATCCTCAGCCTTCACACTTTCAGTAGAAGCGTCATCAGGAGACGCGTTTTCCTCTGCAGCATCGTTACGCGTCGCCACTGCGTTTTCCTCTGCAGCATCATTGCTCGTCGCCACTGCGTTTTCCTCTGCAGCATCATTGCTCGTCGCCACTGCGTTTTCCTCTGCAGCATCATTGCTCGTCGCCACTGCGAGTGCAGCACGTTCGGCCTCGTCCGTCAGTGCAGCTGTACTACCCCTTTTAATTTCATGTTCATCATCTTGTTCAAAAATCTGCTCCGCTTCTTGAGACGTCTTCTCATCTGCTTCATGCTCCTCCACCTGCTTCACTGTGGTATCTTGAGCACCTTGATCTCTATCTTGATCATGAGCAAGAACTTCTTCCACACCAGTCTGAAGTTCCTGAGTAGATGCAATCGATTCATCGCCATTTTCCACTGGAGAATCCTGAATGCAGGAGGAACCAACATCGACGTCCTCGCTCGTCGTACTCGAGGAACCCGTCTTGATATCTTCAGCCAAAGCGTCCTGATCAGTCTTGACATGTTCAGCCAAAGCGTCCTGATCACTCTTGACATCTTCAGCCAAAGCGTCTTCACCAGAAACGTTCGCCTGAACTAGGACAGATGTGGTCTTGATATCTTCAGCCAAAGCGTCTTCACCAGAAACGTTCTCCTGAACCAGGACAGAAGTCTCAGCCTTTACATTCTCGGAATCTTCCTCGATCGTGGTTACAGTTTCAAAGGCTTGAGCAGTATCCTCAACATCTCCCACCTGAGTACCTTCATCTGCGGCTTCACCGGTAGTCTCCTCAGCCTCTTCTGACACATCCTGTCCGGGACCAGAGGGCACAGAAATATCGTCCACGACAGCGTGTTCTGGGTCCGTCGAGGTCTCGGAATCCTCAGCGACAACATCGGCCCCAACAACGGCGGCTTCAATATCAAGCACATCCTCCGCTGGCTCCACGACAAGCACTGGTTCCTCAGTGGAGGTCTCAGCTAATACTGCATGGTCCTCCTTGGATGCCTCGTCCCTGCTGATGCAAGCCCCCTCGTCCGCGATCACATCTTCTGGCGTATCCGTTGCAGCTTGCACTTCTTCGGTACCTGTCTCGACAGTTTTCTCTGCGGTCTTCTCAGCATCCGCCGCGAGGCCAATATCTTGTGTTTCACCACCAGCAGCAACTTCGGCTTCAGCATCCTGAGCCTGTTCGACATCCGTTGCTACCTGAGCCACGTCAACACTTTCGACCTCTCGTCTGGCCGTCTCCTCTTCGGCGCCCTTTACTAGGGTACCTGTAATAACACTTTCGACCTCTCCTCGTCTGGCCGTCTCCTCTCTCGCCGTCTCCTCTTCTTCCGGCACAGCGTGGAGGACACCGCGTTCGTGGTAGGCGAGACGCGCGGTGAAGATTTCTGGCTCACAACCTTGCTCGATGCGGAACAGAGCCCCTTCGCACATGGCAAAATACTCTTCGACCGCAGCATCCGCGTGGTCCTGATCAGCATTCTTTCCGACCCAGACGAAAGGCATTAGAGGTGCATAGTCAGAACTTCCAGTGCTGGATTTGGATTTGGAGATTTCAGAAAAAAGTTTTTTTGTATCCTGGGGCTACTGAAAGAGCGGCCTCAGCTTTATCCAGTTCGCAAACCGGCGGCAGGCCACCAAAAGGGGCACAGTACGTTTCCAGTGCGTGAAATAAACAGCACTGCGTCACTTGAGCACATCTGGCAAAAGTTTTATCCATGATGTTTTCATCTGAGTACTATGAGTTGTTGTTGTGATCATGTAATTATATATCTCCGACCGTTAACATGGTCACGACCAGAGACATATTTATTGATATCAGATATCCCTGATAGATTTAATGAGTAGAAGGGTGATTCAGATTCAGGTGGAGAGGCCTCCATAAGAACAAATCTCCGCCAAGCAAAACCGACAATTTGTCCGCGGAAAGGGCGTCACGGGATGGTGGGAGGTGGGTCTCATCTCCGTGGTTGTCAACGTGGAAGAACTCATCACGCTCGTTCTGCTGCTCGACTGGCAAGGCGAGGAGTTAGAAGAGGAGGGTCTCACTTCCCTTGCTGAGAGGTAATGGTAGAATGACCGTTGTTTCCGTGCTATGGCCCCAACTAGAAGAGATAACGAATGGTCATTGTTTGAAGTACTACAGTATCTATTAGGTAAAAGGGTAGAAAATCTTGATACACATGAAACATTGAAGAGGAAAATCGCAAGCATAAAGACCCGCAGAGTCTCCCCCCCCATGCGTTTTTTCGGCGAACAGATTGGTAAAAAAAGCTGGCTCTAAGCCTGGGACCACGATGCACAGAACGCCAGTCGTGAATTCACGCGCAACTTTCTCCAGTGTTTCCTGAGTGACTTTAGAGCGCAAGCCTTTCCAGATGAACGCGATCTTCTCTTCGTTCTCGTCCTTAGCATCTTGTTCTTGAGCATCTTGTTCTTGAGCATCTTGTTCTTGAGCATCTTGGGGCAGTTGACGTTCCTGAGCATCAGCACCAGAACCACATCCAGTTCCAGCGTAGTTTTTGTAGGAATTGTAAGTGTACTCGACCACAAAAGCCGCGGCGGCTGATAATTCTGCAGTAGACGCCGGAACTTCCGTTTTTGCACCAGTTTTGTCAACGCGAAAACGCTTGACAGTTTCGTGACCGGCACGGTTCAAACCCAACGATGCTTGCATCAACATCTTGATGATTGTTGTGTTGCTGTCAGTCTGGTCTGACAAGATCTAGACTAGGAGGTGTCAGCGCTAGTTTGTATGTAGACGCTAGTCGAACTAGTAAAAGTAATTCTTTCTCGGAGTAAGTGGATACTCGCAGAAGGAGTTTCTTTAGTCGCTCGTTGTTGTAGTTGTTGTTGTTGTTAAACAGAAGAACGCTACTGCGATTCTTACTTTGTTGATGATCCGAAGAACGCTACTGCGATTCTTACTAGTAGTGGTTGCTAGAAGTAGCAGTTGCTGTGACGTGACGTTGCTTCAGGTGCAAATGTTGAGGCATGGGATGAGGCATTGATGATCCAGCGACGATAATCAATCAAATACGCATGATACTAAACAGAGATGAAGCGTCTTCGACTACAAGAGTCAATGTGCCAGCTTCTATGGTGAGCAGATGACATAGCGATCTTGCAGAACTTGCTGCGCGTGAAGCAGACGCACGCTAAACGTTATTCCCCAATGCCGCGGGAAAGAACACACATTTGATCTACTAGTAGAAAATCGGCTTTGGCTCAACCTCAAGTCGGTACCACTTCGCTAATACGAAGCTATCTATCCATGTGCCTCTGATATGATCGTTCGCGATCACCCTAGAAGACGCAGGAGAGGCAGGACAGCCTTGTGGTAGTTTTTTACTAAGCACATTGAAATAACAAAGGAGCAGTCTATATTCAGTGCACGCTAGAACTTTCTCCATGTTGTTGTATTGCTGCAGCCCGCGCACATGCGGCGCGCACATTCTATTCATTGTCCATTGCGTTAGCTTTAACTGTTTCAGACTAGGCACAAATGTTTTTCATCCTACGCACTGCAAACTGTAGACAAGTAAGTAAACTAAGCTTTTTTGGCGGATTTTGGAGACTTGTATATAATCAATGACATGCATATGATGATGTAGGAAGCACACGCCGCAAGAATTTGGCAATATAGTTAGAGGCTGCGAAGTTGCATGCTTCAGATCATCCCTGACCCTTTTCCTACTGGAAAAAGGTCAAGGATGGTGGTGAAGAATGCAATGCGGCAACCCTTATAATATAAGCTCTGTGTCACGACTTTATCAAGAATGAGACTCATAGAGAGAGCGGCATTCTCACTCATCCCAACGCGAAACGAAATCGAAAAAGAAAGAGGATCCTTGTAGCATTGTCAATCATGATCTCTAGACGACTTCTTGCATTCTTATGAAGCAGTGAAAAAATCAATCATCTTCAGACGACTTATTCGCTCCTGCCTAAGCTAAGATTAGAACTAAAAGAAATCCATCTTCGCGCGCATCCTGGAACCTTTTCCCCCTTCAAAACGGTCTCAGGATGCCTGTGAAGATGAATTTGTGGTAGTCTAAGCTAAGAAGAAATCAATCATCTTCAGACGACTTATTCGCTCCTGCCTATACGCTAAGAAGTCAATCATCTCTAGACGGCTTCTTGCATTCTTATGAAGCAGTGAAAAAATCAATCATGATCATCTTCAGACGACTTATTCGCTCCTGCCTAAGCTACGAATCAATCATCTTCAGAGGACTTATTCGCTCCTGCCTAAGCTACGAATCAAGAATCTTCAGAGGACTTATTCGCTTCTTCCGCAGACTGCTCTTCGCTCTCCTCAGCCTTCTTCTCCGGATCATTTTCCTCCTTCACTTCGACACTTTCCTCCACGGTTTGCTGGAGCGCCAAGCCCGCTCTCTCGTACGCGTCGACGCTTATACCTTAATATGTGTAAAAGATGATCATGATGCTCATGATGGTGGTATCGTCCTTGCTCAGATGATGTAAAAGATGAGCATGATGTAAAAGATGATCATGATGGTAAGATCGTCCTTGCTCAGATGATGTAAAAGATGATCATGATGGTAATATCGTCCTTGCTCAGATGATGTAAAAGATGATCATGATGGTAATATCGTCCTTGCTCAGATGATGTAAAAGATGATCACGATGGTGGCATCGTCCTTGCTCATTGATTGATTGATTGATGTGCCTGGCATGAGGTCGATGTTGAAGAGTTTATAGTGTCATGATGGTGGTATCGTCCTTGCTCATGATAAATGATGTAAAAGATGATCATGATGTAAAAGATGGTGGTATCGTCCTTGCTCATGATGTTGTGTGTCGACATTTATAGCTGTCTGTTGTGTAGAAGATGATGTCATGTCATGGAACCTCTTCTTACGTCATTCTGACGCATGATGGTGAAATTTTTGACATACCCAGTCGTTAGACAGGTCTGGTTGGCTTACCTCAGCGGAAAGCTCGTATATTCGACACAAAGCACTGGAAACCATGCAAGAGTAGAACAAACTCAAAATTGATTCAGGAGAGGAAAGGAGGAACTCTTGGATGTACCTTCTCACAAAAGCAAGAATCGTGTAGTTCTACCTCTCGCTCGGAGCTCCCTGTGCTTCGTTATTGTGTGAAGCCTCCGCTCTAGGTCTTCTGGTAAACTACAATGCCTCACGTCTACTCCCAACAGACTCGCATTTTTCGACACGCATTGGACTAGAATGCCAAAGGGTGACTCCGGATCCAGGTTCGTTGCATCAAATGTCTGGTGTGGTAAGGTACGTATTTTTTTACGTGAAAAGCATGATTCGAATCGGTATATTTTTGGTCTATCATTATCAAATCTTAATCTTATATACATAGATAGCATGATCAGAGACAGAACGAAGAAGAAGGAGAATGAATGCCGACACACATGAAAGGATATGCATACGAAGTTGTGATGTGCATGCACATTCATCGAAAAAAATTAAAACTAAGTTCACGACTGGAATTCATTACAGAAGATACAGACAAACAAATACGATAGAAATACCTCCTTGCTCGTCTCCTCTCCTTCTTCCGTGTTCCAAAGCGTGTTTGCTGACAAGTCCAAAAACTCCATGGTTGAATTTTCGGAGATCATACTGCTCAGGTAGGCGAGACATCTCCATGTCAGATCGTTGGACGACAGATTTAGCTTCTTCAGCCTCTTGTTGATGCACAAATCTTGCAGCAAGTGGCAGACACCTGATGCGGAGGAATTGAGGATGACATATGCTCGTCAGACCTACGAACTATCAGGATGACCTATGCTCGTCAGACCTACGCTAGACCTAGACACCAACCTCAGACCTAAAGATTAAGCAAGTTTCCCTTTCCCCTTTTTTGGTGTATTTTTGCATCGCATCAAGATGTACCCCCTCCAGATCAAAATATCAGTCACCTGTTCCAGCACCTATGCGCAAAGCCGAACCGTATAATACACTTGAAAGATCAGTCACCTGTTCCAGCACCTATGCGCAAAGCCGAACCATAAAAAACTTAAAAGTCAAAAAATTGTACCATTATCCTCACACCGATTTAGCCTCAGATTGAGCGTCTCCAACGTCGTGTTCTCTGCTAGATGTGCTCCAATATGCATACACCCGTTTGCATGGATCGCGTTGTCACTCAAGTCGAGAGTTTGCAAAACATACTGCTTGTTCAACAGTTTCGCAAGTCGCCTGCCGCCTCTGTCACCGATATTGTTCCCAGAAAGATCGATTAGAAGAGGGACCCGTAGTTGCTGGCTGAGGGGAAAACTTCTACGGCAAGAATATAGCTGCTCACGAGATGCATGGTGGGGACGTTAAAAGCAAGCATCATTGTCGAGGTCCTCATGCTCTTCTTAGCGAGTAAAAAAAAAATAACGCCATAAATCCAGATCTGTGAGCATGACGCACGTCTCCAGACCCTGCATGAGTATTTTTGCTAGCTCGTCATCCAACATATTGCATGGCAGCGAAAGCTCTTTCTTAGATGTTCCTCTGGATGATGCTGATGATGATGATGATGATGATTGTATGCAGAACTTTAGGTGGAAACGGAACGATAGGAGTGAACAGGTGAACCCAACATAAATCGGAGCGTTAACCAGTAGCGAAGGACGCAAATATATGCGTCGCAGTCATACAATTCTAACGCAATTAAATGAGGCCGAACGGGCATCATTTGAGGATAATTAAGCGAACAATCAAGGGAGCGGCGACCTATTCACGCGACGAACTCACTGCGCTCCAAATCAATGAGAAACGACAGAACTATCGAACGCGGTGTGGAGCAGTGGCGGCGAACAAGATGGCAACGCGTTGCATGTTGCAGATTTTCACAGCTGCGAAAGTGTTCGCTTTTATTTGACTGCGGCGCATACCTCATGAGCATTCTTAGTCCTCGCGGGCGAGTCATACATATGCTTCGACGCGCTTGCGCAACAGGCAAGAAAATCAGGCACGTCTAACGATCAACAGCGAGTGCACCAAAAATGTTGGAGTTGAGAAATAGCGCCTGGACTGTCAACACTGTACAGATTCAACAAATCGAAAAAATAGCACGAGCACACAAAGCACCAAGGGGAAGGGGGGGGGCAGCAACGCCATGGATGGACTTGAAAGAGAGGCGATGGACTAAGTACGTCGCCACGCCAGTGCGCTTCGAGTCACGTTCGGCGCGTCTTAGTCGCTCAATTACTTAACGAAACGCAAACAACTTTAAAGCCCAGACTTTTGCTCAGCTCAACCCTCCACAGATGTCCATTAAGTAGCTCAAACAGATGGGCGCACGGTGGACCCCTCTGGGCGCCTATCTAATTCGAAACGCTCAAAATTTGCGACGCTGGCTTAAAGCCTCAACAGATAACCAGCAAAAATCTCAAACAGAATAGAGCCGCGCAGGTTCGTCCCTCAATGCAGCAGCTGCAGCATGGCTCCGCACTCGACTAGACAGCCCCCGGCCTCTTCTCTTTGACAAGCGCGGCGAACCTCTAACAGATCGCAATAAAACAGCCTCAACAGATTGGCGCTGGGTCGTGTGGACTTCTCTCCCATCGGCGTCGTGTGCACTTCTTTCACATGCTGCGCAATACCCTCAACAGAGTCGCCGCCCAATACTCTCGACAGATTTCATTCCGAGCAGAGTCAGCGCAATACCCTCAACAGACTCGCCGCCCAATACTCTCGACAGATTTCATTTCGAGCAAAGTACTTATGACGCAAATTGTGCCAACGACCTCCGAACACTGCTGAAACACTACGGCAATACCCTCAGCGGGCTATCCTCTTAACTCTCACAAAAAGTCATCCTCTCAGCAGACTAAAAGGCCAGAAATACCCTCAGCGCACAGACTACGCCACGGGCGCAACTCGCACGACAGAAAACCCTCAACAGACCGCCTACGACGTAAATTGTGCCAACGACCTTCGCATCTTTTGCGATTTCGAACCATTTCACAAGTTTCGCCCTAAACCGACTGCAGAACGATAGACGAGAACACGATCTAGGAAACTTTTCCCGGGATAGGAATAAACACACAGAACAGGCAAAACTGCGCACGATTTTCACAATTCGGGGCGTCGTTGATTCCTCCCGTCGCGTTTCTCTCTATCGTCGGGGTCGCTCGGTGTCAGGATAGGAATAAACACAACTAAAACGGTGACGGATGTTTATTCCTATCGCGTTACGCTCTAAAATTCTGCATGTACCTATACTAGAGGTGTTTGTTGTTGTTATCGAGGCACGATAATGGAAAAAAATCCTTTAATACCTACGACCATTGACCCTTGTGCGCCTGGCACCAACTTGTAAAAAAGTCCGCTCTCCTTCACAATTAGTATGAGATACCTGATCAAACGTTCTGAACGACTATTAACAGATCCGGATAATACTTCGTTTCCTGTGCATATCCAGCAAAACATGAGTCGCCTTCTATGTCTATCTTCAACGCACCATAATTATGAGCGTCTGGCAGCACCGGATATACCTCACGAGATACTGCGCATCCACGATTTTCATACCAAACAACCCGCGTTCGTACTCCATGCCCAATCGCTTGTATGAATAGGAAGAGGAAGTTGACTCAAAAAAGTCGCTCAAAAAGCATAGGAGAACTCAAAACTCGTATCACTGTCGAATATCGTCAAAACACGTATGATCACTGAGATTCTGACTGGAGGACGCCTCGATGTCGGCTTTGACAGGCCTCAACCTCAGAGTACTTCTTTCGGGTTCATCGGTAGTAGTCGCATCATACTAAGAACTCAAAATGTACAACATGCTGTAAACATCCATCTACACAGTCCTTTTTTCCTGTGAACATAATTTGCGTCCGTATGTTATCTGCAAGCTGCAGAGGTTTGGCAAAGGATCCAGTATGGCCGATACATCGAAGTGCGACGGATATTCTCGCACCCTTAATTAACGCTAGTTTTTCACTAAATGCCCGGTCGAGTGAGCTCCCCTGCTTCTCCCTGTTTCCCCTTGATGAAACCAAGGGGGGGCGTCACTCGAGGTCGAAATGACGATATCACATGAGATAGTGAAGATAAACTGCTTCACTTAACTTAAGCAGAAGATATGCTGCTTCACTGCTTGCACTATACTACGCAGCTCCTCCAACTCAGCTGGCTCGAAATCGAGTGGGAATTTCTCTATGATGAAACCCAACTCCGTCTCACAATAAAACTGCTTCCAACTCATACCTGACAGGGGATGAAGAGGGGGAGGACAGTACTTAGTTCTTAGGGGGAGGACAGTAGAAGAGCACGGGTCCCTCTTGTACCATAATAGAAAGAACTCTCTGTCTAGGTGAAGTATCATAATCGGGAAGAATCATGAGGTTCGCAAGTGAACCAGGGTGGAACCCCTTTAACTCATCTTTTAACTTAAAAGTTTTAGGAGGAGCGATAAGCTCCAAGAAATCTATATGTTTAAAAATGTCCCATGGTTGTTGTGCCCCAGCGATAAAGTCAGTAGCTTTGTCGCAATATCTAAAAAACCGACGAAAGGCACGACCTGCCACAGCAAGCATCATTCACCTTTCCTTTTTCAAATATCCCATAGTAGCTTGGATCATTGTCGTGAATTCAGAGAGTTGGAGGTCTTGAAGAATCGCATCAAATCACTATCACATGCACAACAAGAATAACAACATTTACAACAAGGGCAACAACGTAGACATACCATGTTGATCCACCAAGCCTGTGTACTCGCCTTTATCCCTCTGCAAGGTCCGCCTCTTCCAGTAAAACTCGTCGTCGATCCACTTCGCGGCAGCTGCCAGTGGTATGTCACAGTCTAGAATCGCATATACTTCCTCCAGCTGCCTTGCGCGGCTTAACTCTCGTTGGAGGACCTGGTGTGTCGTTTTGTTGATGCTAGATTATCAACACCATTTTTGTCGAGTACTTACCACTTCTGGTGCCATGATCTTCATATTCAATACTCAACATCATCTTTCTCAGTGCAAATCTTCTAATACCTGTGGATCGAATCGCAAGAAGCCACTAGCGATTTTCCGCAGACATATCTCTACTAATGAAGGCGGATGTGTCTTGACTTTTTCGATAGACGGAAAGAGGAGCTGCCGTCGGCCCGCTCCGGAGGGGCCTGATGATGAAGACGCCATAATATTCGGTTTCTTACCCCGAAAACATGTGAGCTACCCGCGAAGCACAAGTGAAGCACAAGTGCAGAAGTCGTTCCGAAACTATGAGGACAGTTCGACTCCTTGGTTCTACGCGACCCTTTGGCTGTTTAAAAAAACAACGCGTTTGCTTCTTCACCTCCGTGCTGCTGTCATAAGCTGCTTCGCGCCGCCGCCTCGAATCGCGGCCGCCGCGTCATGATCTTTTTATTCCGTGCTAGATAGGTATTCAGCTCTTCCTCTTCCTGAAGTATCCGGTAGCTATCTGCTAAAACTACCTAAGCGCCGGCGATTCGATAAACTGAATCGCGGCCGCCGCGTCATGACACACATTTTTATTACTGTTTACTTATACTCGAAAAACTGCAATAACCGAGTAGCAGACCACGAGAATAACAGAGATACTCAACAAGGAAGAGTAGCCTTTCGGGACTCCGTCCCTTATTTCAGTCAGTAACTCGCTTATTTTCAGTTTTCGATTATCCTGTTTGTGCTTTCGGTCGATCTAAAGGTCCTCCACATTTTTTTGGCAAAGCTTTCACTCCCTTTTTTTTGGCCGTCTCTTTTAGTTGACTACTCTTCAGACACGCCTATTTCGATAACGAAGGAGGCACGACCACCATTCGCTAGGAAAAAATTGTAAGTCCCACCTCAGGGAATTTTTCTTCTAGACTGGAGCCACTTGGGGGGAAAGTCAGCATCTGCAGAATGGAGCAGTACTAGTGATATTACCTTATACTAACTTCATCAACTACGCTGAGTCCTCCCTATGCGCAACGCGACAGAATCTTCACATGATTTTGCAGATTATTTTCATGACGCGAGTGTAGATCTACTAATTTTGCCATCGTACTGTACAGTTTCAGTTTTAATTGCGAAGAGATGTCAAGATTAGGAAGTCCATATAGTATTGTTCTTGTATAGAAGGAACAATAGTGTAGTAGTATTACAAGAAAACCTTATGTTTTGAACGAATGGAGTATAATAGAGCCTCCATGCCGCAAATGGACAGTCTTGTCGAAAGGCCCGCGCTGGTCCGTCCTCGCCGAACGCCGTTGCGCTGGTGCTTGCTCACTGGAAGTTATGAAGCAAGTTGAAGATCACGGGAAGGGGAACAAACATCCAAGACTCAAAGAGGGCGAAAGAGGCTCTAGGCTTTTTTAGTAAACCTTCATTGGGATGTTGCTACTTTGAGTAGTTTTTACTTTTGAAGATCGAAAAAGAGTTTCTTCGTGTGAGTGCGAGTACTTCTTCGTAAAAGTCATATCGCGGAAGATGGTGTCTCCCTCTCCCCTTTTACTTCCATTCTTTGTTTTCTCCTCCAAAAAATGCCTGTGCTCTTCCTCTGACTTCCAAGTAGGACACTCCAGCATAGCATTGTTGTTCACGCGATTCTTGATATCGAGAGGACCGTCTGTAGCCGTTGCTTTTTCGCTTCCTACGCAATTGTTGGAGGCTAAGGCAGTTAGATGTACATGCACATCAACTAAAGGCTGTGTGATTGTCTGGAATACATGAAGGAGCTCCTACGACCTTCATCATCTAAAACAAGCATAACCTTTACTTTAGCGCGAAATAACTTCATTTCGCAATTGTCTTTGAATGCTTTTGAAAAAAGTTGATTCTCTTTTTCGTGTTTTGACGCAGCATAACTCTGTGCCGGGGTTTGTCGTGGCTGCCCAACCTCCTTCCCCGTCGCCCCACAAAGCTACTTCCAGGTCATGATATTTACGAACCTCTGGTCGGTGCGCGATGGAGAAATAGGTAACACGCGAAGCCGCTTAGGTTAGAAACAGAGAGAAACTGAGAGACAATAGAAACTCAGGAGCTTAATGTTAATGGGATAAGATAAGATAAAGAAACACCTCAAATTTTGCAAGAGATACACACACAGCAGAAGACCGAGCCAACGCCCACATCGGTCACACCCGATCCGCCAGGACCCGCTTGGTGCCAGCGCGGGACCCCTCGGGGCAGCTTTCTGCCTGCACCATGCTCGAACACCTCAAAAGCCAAAGCGCGCAGCCCTCCGAAAACCGCGGCGACGCCGATGTCGATGCCAAGGACAAAACAGACCGGAGGCGCGGATCCGTCTGCGAAGGGGATGGACGCAGGCGAGGAGCACGGCTGCCACCATCCACGCAAGCACCTGCATGCACGGAAACAAAAGAGAACACAAAACGCAAGCGCAGCCAGTGCCCCCCTTCATTCTGGTGGCAATGCGCCACGCGCTTCAGCAGCTGCGACCGAACAAAGCAAGCAACTATCTGGCGGAGGAGAAGGCGCGAGGCCTAGAGACTCATACGCGCAACAACCTCCCCATGCTCGGTATGTTTCTGCCTCCTTTGCGTCCGGCTACGTGAACAAGCGGGGCCCCTGTCCGCCCCTGCTCCTTGTTCGCCCGCGAGCGCTTCCCGCTTCTGCCCATGGGGTGCCGCAGTGATTTGCGCTATTCTTTCGGGCCCTTCTTGCAATTTGGAGCCTCCGGGCCCGGCTGCTGCCGCCAGCCGTTCTCAGTAGAAGCGTGGCAGGCCTGGGCGCTTTTCAACTGGGGGAAGCCGCAAGCTGTTCGCCCCACGCGCTTCCCTGCTCGCCGTCAGCGGTGTCGTCAGTTTGAGCCAGGAAGCAGCTGCCAGCGCTTGCTGCTGTTGTTTTCCATCTCCGCGCGTACTGCGATGAAGCCGCGCAGGCGGGGGCGCGCTCCATCATCTTCAGAACTGTGGCCAGCCTTTTCCCAAGCTCTCAGATTTGAGAGGCGGCGCAGATTGAGGGCACCTGGCAAATGTCTGCCCCTCGGCGTCCTATCCACTAGACGGGGAAGGCTGGCAGCCAAACTGAAGACACCGCGAGGGCGTCTGCCACTCGACGCCGCGCCACACCCCAGAACGCGCCCGCCTGTTGCCTCCCTTCACCCCCCTGCTGCAAAAGCAAGAAGGCTTCGCGGCTTCCCTGTGAGCCAAAACATTCAACGACTCGAGCGCTGTAGCCCCTGGCGGGCCCCATGGCGCCACTGCATCCGTATGACAGATCAGCGGAAAGCAGAGAGGAGCGACAAGAACTTAGAGGGAATCATGTAGCCTTAACAAAAGGCGGTAGAGATTCTCCTGCGCGTCTTGGCTTACCGCACTGGTTGCCTCGTCTAGAGCCGCGAAGGCAGGAGCATGAAAAAGAACCCGCGCAAAGCTCAGCTTCTGTCGCTCTCCTCCCGAGAGCATCTGACTCCAATCCAGTCCTGTTTCCTCCGCACGGCTAATAATCACCTGCGAAAGCTCCACGGAAGCCAGTAGACTCAAAATACGTTCTGTAGCAATGATGTAATTGACTTAAATTTATTACAAGACAAGCCGCTCACGAAAGCAAGTATAAGAATTTCCAAAAACCTCACTAAACAAGATTCCTTTTCCCATTTCCCTCTTCCAACTCTAACTGTACGTAATGCAACGTTATAAAAAAATAAGAATCAACTATTAATTACTACATGATAGCAGGTTAGGTTCGTTGACACCTCTCGCTTCCCTGTCGTCTGGCCTTGGCAGCTTTGGGTACCATATGTTATCGATAAGCGATCCGACGCAAACAGAGATTAGAGCCATCCCTATTTCTAAAGACAAAAACAAACATGAGGGTGAAAAAAGAGAGCTACACATTGATTACAACTTAAGTACTGAACCATAGATATGGCGACTGCGGCAAATAGAAAATCTGCGTTGCGCGATCGCGCTGGTGTTGCCGTTCGAAATAGTGGCCGTCGTGTCTACCTTCAGTACTTGAAGTTCCCGAAAATGTGCTCCGTATGAAACGCGTCCCAGCTGTAAGAGACCGCATCGCAGTCCTACCAGGCCCCGCAGGGTCCAGCTTGCGATCCAGAAAGCGCAAGACAGGGTTATTCTCCAATGCGTATTAGAGACAACATGTGTGAAATCCTTATTTCATTAAGCTGATCAAAAATATAGACGAGTTTTTCTTTTTCGGAGTCCTACTAGATAAAAACGACGTACATCATCGCTAGGTAACCGATTAAGAGTCGCAGAATCTCAGTACCTGTAATCTAAATCTAGCAAGTTGGGAAAGTCCTCTCTTAGTACAACACCATAAAGCTTATATTTTGACTCGCATGATAGGTTCGCATCGACGCTGGTGTTTTCTTTTGTGTCTTTAGCAGATGAAAGCTCCGATGCTTTCCAGGCTTCGCGCTCACCAGGCGCGGAGACAATAACTTGCCCAAATTTTGGTTGCCACAGCAGAGTATGAAAAAGGGTACCTATGCATCATGATGTAGTTGTGATGTATTCTAGTTATGCAGAACAACTTAGACATGCTAGTTGAACTGCTTTTCCCTGTTTCACTTGTGAAGTATTCACTAGTAATTGGAGGACGAGGTCTCTCGTCTTACAACCAGAGGATATTGTGAATAAGTGATGACAGGAACATGAGAAAGCCTGAGTGGTCCATAGCCTGAAATCGTGCGAAACAGCGAGGTTTTACCACACCCATTTGGTCCCGAGACTAGGACACGAGTTCCTTGTCTCACCATTAGATTCAAGTTTTTCACTAGCAACCTCCCTTCTGGCGTTTCGATGGTCAGAGCTACGAAGCGCACAAAAGCTTGCTGTTGCAGCAAGAGCGTCGACGACGACGGTGTGTGCGGTAGCATGGTCCGGCTTCTCCTGACTGGCTTTAGTGCGTCTTTACCCTGAGACCTTTTCGTCCAGCTCGTCGGACCTTCGGTTTGCGCACTGAATGTAGCATTGTTTTTCGCACTAGATGACACACCTCCAGTATTGGTTCCACCTGTACTTTTACCCAGTTTTTCTTGAAAGAGTGCCAAATCATCGGTCGTGAAGGACGCGTAGCGTTCTAGGATTCTCCTCTTATTTGTAATGGCCACTGCAGTGCCAGACGTCTGATCAGCACATGACTCAGCACCGACTGCGGAGACAACCGGCGCCACACGACTCGAAGACAAGTCTATTATTAGAGCGTAGTACTTGCTTTATCAGGTGCCTGACGGCGCTGTATATGACAAAAATATAAAACTAGAAGCGACTACTTCTTACTACCGCGATATTGTATTAACATTAAAACTACTACCATAAAAGGGTATTCCGCCTGGTGATACTCGACGTTGAACCGATACTCTTACTCTTCGCCAACGCCTCTTTCTGCGGAGATGATGTCCTAGGATCTGTCTTCGATCCTTGTTTCCGTCTATCTTTTCTCGAGCTTAATGCTGCACTTGTGCCGCTCTCTCGAACTTGAGCTGAAGATCGTTCCAAAATTTCCGAAACGCGGATAGCGTAACCGTAAATCGTGTGCAAGTTATTGACCGCCATGATCAATTCGCCAATAGCTCCTGCGGCATTTCGTATCAGTGCATCAGCAGTACGGTGTTTACCGATGAGCTCCTTTTTCGAAATTTCGCCCTTCATGAATTGCTGCATCAAAGGAAAGGAGATAGCCGTCATACCGATGATGGTGGCTGCGTATGGAGTTAGAAAAGTAGTCTGATAAGAACTGGAGGATTACAAAATTAGGATAGAACAACAATGGACCCCAATGTGCAGGATGATAATAATCATAACGCCAACTTCTACAATGACGCTTTCGTTCACTGCGAAATTCATCAGAACCAAGAACTAGTACGCTGTAATCTCTTGGCCTTTTTACAGTGTCAGTGCTGCGAAAGCAACAGGAGTAGAGAAACTATTTGTACAGTATAATGCAAAAGCAACAGAGCAACGTGTCTTATGCAAATATTTCGATTCAATAGGTTTTTCCACCTAACTTCACACTCCACTGATCCAGCACCGCTTGCCTCCATTTCGCTGTGAAGACCTGCTTCTTGAAGTCCAAAAAGTTCCCTAACTTTTGATCTATGAGGAAATGCTCTCTGGCTTCGCCGCCTAGAAACGCTATCTCCTCTGCATGTACCCTAAGCCGGTTATGAGCGGCAGAAAAAGCTGACTGCAACTGCGCCTCCACGGCCTTCATACGGGAGAAGGGTGGCTTTTGAATAGACATGATCATAGCGTTCACAATGAAGTAGCTGTAGAGGACCAGCGGGGACTGAAAACCAAGAGTACGGAAGAGTGAGCGCGAGCTCATTACCACGTCCATGGCAGGTTTCAATTAGCCGCTGCAAGTTGACCTATCCACTTGATAGCATATCTATGACTACTTTCCTATTTACTTGAAAAAGTAAAAGCCGTAGATAAATGCTTACAGAGAGGTCAACTCTCAACCCTTAATTTAAAGTATGCGAGTACAGGTGCACAAACTCCGTAGCAAACGTACCAACATCTTCCGCTATCCTTTTATCTGCATCGAATTTTTGGCTTCCGCCAGATTTTGATACTTTCGTGGAGGGATCTGTGACATTAGCAGTGTGCATTGAAGATACCAGTGATACTACAAGTGTGCTAGAGAGGTCGCACAACTCCAAAGTCAAAAATGTATCCACATCAAGCAGTCCTTCACCTGTAGCTAGTCGTCGTGCGCGAAGGCAAACAGAAGATGGCAACTTCCAAAGTTGTACACGCTCAAGGTCAATGTTGTAATCTTAAGCACAATGGCTGGCCCTGCTCCCTGGCTGCGCGACAAAGCAGTAGACTTCGTTGCGCTCAACATCGCAGAAACATCATTCGCAGTACTGCTTCCTTTCCCAAGGACTCCGTCCAAGCCAGATGCTCCGTCTAAACCAATCGAAGTGCAATGAGTGGTTTCTTCATTATAGTTCTCGTTTTCTTCTGTTCCGTTTTCTTCTGTTCCTTGAGCTCCTCCGTGTTCCTGAGCTTGAGACGCAGACCCCATCAACATGGGAGGTGGTGAAGCGGTGCGGAGAGACGCAGACCCCATCAACATGGGAGGTCGTGAAGTGGAGCGGACTCCACCTCCACTTGATGTCGCTGTTCCGGAAGCTGGACTTGAAGTCACTTTGCCTACTGAAAGCACGCTGGTTCCTTCTGAAGACGAAGCTGCTCCAGGCCTCGCTCTAGAATGCCACGTAGGCGAGCGAGGCGAGACTGGATTGGAGGTCCGTGCATACCCATCTTCAAGATCTTCGAGTAGTCTGTGTCTTAGGTTCTGATGTGGTCCTCCTGCTTCCCGCTGAGCACTAGAGTCGCCTTCCCGCTGAGCACGACTAGAGTCTCCCTCGATCGTAGCGAGCGAAAGATGATAGTAGTTCCTGTTTTTCAGATACAGAGCATGAATATTTTCGGTCGTCCGACGTTGAACCGCATCGGCTATGTAGTTTTGGCACCAACGCAAAGTGCTGTTCACGAAACTAGAAACGCATCCGTACAGCACGAAGCGTGAACAGTGTGCGAGAAAATCCGCCCAAACTCCCTCTACAACCAACGCGGTTGCAACACCGTAGAGCTCTGAGATCCGAATAGAGAGCCAACTACGGAGCATGAGTACGGACCCATGCAGCGCGAACCATAGCACTTCTTTGCGACCCACACCGAGAGAAAGGATCAACATAAGTCGGGAAAATTCAGTTTCCTCCTCCACAGGTCTCCTCAGTTTCCTCCTCAACAAGGCGTAGGCATCCTTGACTTTATCGACAAAAGACTTGTTTCGTCCACCTTCTCCGTCTCCTCCCCCAGCGCCTCCAGGTCCACCAAGCAATTGCTCGTAGCCCCTTGCGAATCTCCACCGACTGAGTGCCGCAAGAATGCCATTCCAAAGTTAGAGGCATCGTCAGTCGTGCATCTCACATCAGATCATCATCTGGATCTGGGTCGTCCCTTTTCCTTCTTACTTTCTTTGTCCAGAAGATGACTTTGGAGATGGTGCACTTCGGACGCTCATAACAAAGTGCGAGAATCAAAAACACTCTCCAAGGTGTTATTTCCGCTGCTAGCTTGCGCATTAAGAGCGGTGGTTTAGCGCTAGCGGTAGACTGTTCAACAGCTAGTCCTCCCATTGTATCCGTTTCGGGTTTTCTCGCGCTCGTTATTATGGTTGGCTATGTCCTTGAGCGGCCATTCGTGCGGACACTGTCTTTCTATCCCTCGTCAAGAAAGAAAAACCATAGTGCGGTTGCAGACTATGATGGGATCCGCATAACTGGGTCGATCCTCTTCCACTGCAGCGGATGATGGAGTCGTTCTTTTAAGAAACCTCCATACGTGGACGTGGTCATTTTTGCAGCCTTGTGAAAATACATCTACTGAGAACGAAGACACGGGCGAAAACATAATCAACATGAGAAGAATTATGGGCAAAGAAAGTAACGAGAAAAGTTTCAACTATCAATTTTGCCAGCAAACTTTCAAACACCGTAATGAATGAGCAAAAAGGTCCGCAACCATCATTAAAAGCTCCATTCTCAGATTACCGAAATGACCCTTTTCTTCTAGCTTTCGCAGGAGAGGCTCAGTCAGCCGAGGCTCAGTCTACACCTTGCTGCCTTTCCTCTGGCTTCTACACAACAAGCTCATACCAGAGGTCTTTTCAACACGACAGCTAGCTGGATTCCCACCTCCTGAAAAGTGGAAATAATACGCCCCCCACCGCACTTCGATTTTTCTATCGCCAACCGGTATAAGTACTTTTCCCTTGCAATATAATAAAGTCAAAAGTTTTAGTATTGGTGTATATATTTTCGTTGCATAGTACGATCTTCATGCACTTTTCTTTGATGATAATTTTCTGTTAAAATGCATGATTATCGATTCCCCAGACAATTCTTTTATACAGTTGTAGTTACGATCTCAACAGCAGAAATTCCTACGCAGAAATATTCAATTGTTTGTTACGCAGAAAAGAACATGACTTCCTCGGCCGGCCAGCCACATGGAAACGGGCACGAAAAGCCGTATCTTTAGCCCCTCCCTAATCTTTTATTACCAACGAAACCAAGCTGCTCCTCGCTGAGTTCGGGACGGATTCGCGAAGGAGTTCCGCGATGTCCGACATTTCCTTTGCTTGTATTCTACTTCACTCTCTCACTCTTTTCGAAAAATTATTATAAGTTGATAGATAAAAAACATAACAAAAAAAAAATCTATATTTATATTATTAATCTTATATTATTAATCTTATATTATTAATCTTATATTATTAATCTTATATTATTAATCTTATATTATTAATCTTATATTATTAATCTTATATTATTATTATTAATCTTATATTATTATTATTAATCTTATATTATTATTATTAATCTTATATTATTATTATTAATCTTATATTATTATT